AGATGCTCTCATCGCCAAGCACCGCCGCTGGTACTCTCAGTTTTACTCGGAAAACAGCCCCACCTATGAGTCTGTGACCAAGGGCGGCATGGACTGGTAGGCCGCGTAATCTACCCCACGCTCTGCGGCCTTCAGTCCCTGTCCGTCACATTCAACCCATGTAAGCGGTTGGTTGGTGCTGTTATTTTGTTTTTGTTTGCTTTTCTTGCTTCTGGCGAGTAGCTGTCGCTGGTTTTGTCTCTTTTCGCCACAAGGCAAAGAGTATCCGTTGTGTGCTATCTGGTCATTTTATATCGTTGGGCCTTTTGTATTTCGCAATTGAACGTGAGTTATATCCTTTTTCCTGACCGAAAAAGTAGCAAGCGGCATGCTCGCTCTCTCAAACTCTCTCGTCTAGAAAAACGCGTGTGCCTGCTCGCAGCGATGCGTTGATGAACAAATTACCCGTCACATCCGTTTACAAAACAGAAGAACCATCAACTTCCACCAACCCCACCGTCACCCCATGCCAGAGCAAGCAGCAGGTCAGCTAGGCGACCCTCAGCCAGGAGGCAGCTGACCGATTCGCCCCACCAGCGCCTCTCAAATTTTATCAAACTCAAACTCATACTCCCTCTCTCTCTATGTTGGACTGGAGTATGAATTGGGCCAGTTGCTCACTGTCCTGGCTTGAACCCAAAATCATCAAGCCTGCTGCGCAACCCATTGCGTTGGCTTGTGCCAAAAAAACTGCAACTCTTCACCTTGGTCTCTGCTCGCAATGGGAGGTGTTGGCTCTGGCGCGTAAGGACCCAATTAAAGCCCATCAAAGCACTTATCATCGGCTGCAACTAAGCGTCAATTTGCCAATCAGATCCAGCTGAGGAAATGAATACTATTCAACACTCGAAGTGGATGGCACTTTTGGTTTCGGTCAAGTTGATATGGCTACAGATGAATGAGCTCAAATTCACGTCGCATGCTGAGTGGCTAAGCGTTAAGCTTGGCCCGTTGGGCTACAGGTTGCCCGTCATCGCTGGCCGACCGCTTCATGCGTGACGTGTCCTACACATTTCGGACTTGTTACGTGAGAAGAAACAGCACCCTCCGTTTGCAAGCAATTGGATGAGGAGAAGATGACAGCGACAAACCATACCTTTTGGAAAACAAAGGCAGCGTACAAGCGGCTGGCCTTTTCCAGGTCGGAGAGAAGGCCGTTGTCAGCCTCTGCTGCATCGCCTTGTTCCTGTGAGTTTGGGTGTGCACAAAATTGAGGCTGAAAGTAGCGAAAGGCCTCCTGATGATCAGCGGGCTCGCGCTCAAACAGAGTGTCGCGCCTCGATCGCTTATTGCGACCAAAGGACCAGTTCAGGTCCCTCACGGGATACAGGCCGTGGCGCTCCGCCAGCTTGGTGAACACGCTGAAGAAGGTCAGATACTCGGTCGCGCCGCCCTCCACGTCATCCGCCTCGTCACTATGGTTTGTTACCTGTTGTAGACATAAAGTAAACAGGATAACATGAGAGACTGACGTGATCGATTCCCTCGGGTGGGATATGAGGCTCACTTGCTTGCGCGAAAGAGAAAAAGGAGGGAGTAAAACTGTAAAAAAAAATTGAAAAAAAGGGGCAAAGACCACCTACCGTATTGGCGAGAGCAAAGGTATAGCCAGATCCAAACTTTGACGGCTGGTCCCATAGCGCCTTGATGAGTAGCACGCTGTTGCGGTATTCCTTCTACGCAGTCCACAAGAATGTGAGCATCACGCATCGACCACACGATGGCCTGGCTTGCGTGTCATGTCGGCCAAAGCCGAGTTGGTCTGCAGCAGTTACGCACGCACCTCTTTGCCCAACAATGCCAATACGCGCTTCGCACAAATGGTTGTGCCATAGAAATAACCCCCTTCCTTGAGCGCAGCGGCCGCGTTCTCAAAAAACTGATTGGCTGATTCTTTTGACTCGAAGAGATAATGTGCTGTTGAGAAGCAAAGGAGGCGGATGAGAAGAGGCAGCATCAATGTGACTCGATGTGCTTTGATTACGCAAGGCGCAGCAGTTGGGGTCGCACCGGCAAACATGCAGGAGACCGTATCAAAGGTTTGGCCCCATTCAATGTCGTGCTTGCCGAGCGCTACATTGGGGAAACGGAAGAGCACGGTTAGTCATAGGCAGCACGCAAGCACAGGGAGCGACGTCAGATTGAGTTTGCGCACCATCCGACTCCATGAACTCGGCAGTCAAGTCATGATCTGGCTTTTTTTGGCGAATCTGCGGCGCCCAAAAGGCAAATGCGATGTGGGCAAACGGACAAAAGCGGTGCATGAAGATACCAAGACCAAGCCCTGTCGAGAACTGCACCGGCAAGTGTACGTACAATGTCGATGCGCTCGCGGGCATCATCCAGTAGAGAGGGGGCAATGTCAACACCAAGCACATGGTGGATTCGAGCGCCCACCCATTTCCAGGCGTCACCACCTCTGCCATTTCAAAAAATTTGACTGATGGTCAACAGTTGTAGCCTTTGGGCTCGCAGGCTGCGTCAGCAGGCGGGGTCCTGTGCGACCACGTACCGGCCACAGGCGAGATCAAGGTGATCCTCCACCTCCCGCGAGAAGCGATGGATCAAGCGATTCTTGACATCATTGTGATATTCACGCAGCGGCTTTGTGACAGCTTCCTGCCGGGATTTGTGGGCCTCTTGATACGTGCGACCATGATGGGCCTGCTCCCCCCGCCATCACAACACCACAGACACAGGTGAGAAACTTGCCCACGAGACGAGGCTGCCGCACATCACACGACGCACCTGGTGCACGTAGTGGCTCTTGGCATCCATGGCTGTACAACTGCAGCCAACAGCACACTGCTACCTAGCAAAAGTCACAACGCCAAGCCAAGCTCCAATCAAGAACGCCCCCCTTCCCTCCTCCTCCTCCCTCTAGCTACCAACGCTCAGGCAGAGGAAAAAGAAGCCGCCAAATCTCTCTAAAACCCTCTCGCTCTAAAACTCTCTAAATCTCTCTCTCACATGTGGTAGTTATGCTTTTCCTTTGTGTCTTTGCTCTTTCTTTCTTTTTTTTTCTCTCTCTCTCTCTCTCTCTCTCTTGGATGAAACGATTTCAACCATTCTGAAATTATTTCGACCATGTTCTTCGAAGTTTTGTCATCAGCTCAACGTGGTCTCTCTCTCTCTCTCTCTCTCTCTCTCTCTCTCGCTTTTTAGCATTTTTTTTGGTTTAAAAAAGGGCAGCGCGTCCAGTTCCCCTGCTGCTGCTGCTAACTGCTGCTGCTGCTGCTTACTACTGCTACATCCTGGCTTTTTAAGCCTTATCTGGTCAGTGCTCAGGTGCTTTTCTTGCCCGGCTGGTTTGTCTTTGAACTCGCTCGGCGCCTCCTGGCTCACTCCTTCCTGGACCGGCTCATCTCTTTAGGGCGTGAGTGAGCCTTGATTTTCCATCGGCGTGAGTGAGTAGAGGCCTGCCTCCAATGGCAGTCCCAGTGCATTCGGAAGGCCTTGACGCGACAAGCTGGTTGTCGCGCGAGCGTGTCTGGCAACTCGTGGCCGTCGGTCTGGGTCTTGGTGTTGGCGTTGCAGCCTACCGGACTTGGCTTGCTCCTCGATCGGCTACCTCGGCCCCCCTTGCCTCAGCCCCTTCCACGTCGGCTTCTGCTGCAGCCCCAGCCCCAGTTCAGCCTCAGCAACAGCAATCCCAGGCAGCTTCACGACCTCAGCCTGTGATTGTGGCCCCCACCCCGCGCCCCGCTTCTCAATCCCCCACACATCGTGCCCTGGTAGCTGCTGCTGCTGCTGCCGCCCCGCAACCCTCAACTTCTCCCGCAACGCACACCATGGATGATACTCGCGATCACTACGACTCGTCTGCATCCCACGAGGATGATGTCCTCAACAACAGCGATGGTGACGAAGAGTGGGAGGATGTCGAAGCGGTGCGTCTTGACTCGGCGCACAGACGGGCATTGTACCTGGCCCTCTCCTGCCGCCTCGCTGCATCGAGGCCCAGTGTGGAAGACCATTGTCATCCATGTCTTGCTGCTGATCCAACGACTCATGACGTCCTTCATGTCTTGATTCCCATCCAATAGCTTGATGAGGGTCTCCTCCTGAGCCTTGAGAACATGTTTCAGGTGTGTGCTTTGTCCCAGCCTATGCGAGGCCAGTTCAACTTTTCTTGCCCTCTCCCTTTCCCTCATGCTTCCGTGCATTGTTCTGAATTGGAATACGGCAGGAGTTGCACTTGCCCAGCGTACTGGCCACGGCATCTGAAAGCATCACTTTTACGGCCGGCAGCGACGAGTACGTTTAAGTGCATCCAGCCGCGTGTCGGATGTGATGACGCTCCTTGCCCCACCCATCGCTGCCTCACCCGTGAACCCTTGCTCAATGCTTGCTCAACGCGCCGCAGCGTGGAACAAGATGCCATTGTCTTTGTATCTGGCACCGTATCCCCGCAATATCCGCGTCAGGCTGAAGCCGTTGTCGGCGCTCTTTCCAAACATGTCCGTCGCCTGCGTCGCACCCAACCAACCAGCCCCCGTTGCACCCAGACTCGTCATTTCAAAGTATCTCATCCATATCTGCCACTCCTGCCGCTCCTTGTGCGGGCACCATAAAACCAGGACAACGTGCTGGTCAATCTGAACATTGCCCCCTCTGTGGGTGACAAGGCTGTTGCTCCATATGGCAAGCACCTGATCAGCAACCGCCAACTCGACGTGGCTGACATTATCGCCAACCACCAGGTTAACCCATCTCCCCTGTCCTCCTGTCTTGCCTCCATTCTTCGCTCACTTCGCGCACCCGACCACTGTCGTTGCCATCTCAATATGTGCTTGCCCTTTTCCGGTCCCGGTGTGCTAGGTGGTTGTGCTGGAGTACTGGGCTGCGTTTGCGCCGCCCAGCTTGCAGATGGTCCAGCAAGATGCTGCCGCCGTGCAGCATCGTCAAGCTGAATGGGGCGACCGCGTCACCGTCCTGGCCTGCAATTTGGATGATGATTTTGCTTCTGCCCAATCGGCCTTTTTGCAACTTCAGGTATGCTGCGGTGTCTACAGCGCTGTGCAAATTATGGCATGGTCGTTTGCATCGCATTTCTGTTTGGACGATCGCCTTTGGTGGACAGATAGATCGATGCTAAAGCGTGGTTTGAGTATTCTTTCTGACCGCTCACGTCCGCGTTATGTCCGTGCTTGATCCTTTCTTCTTTTCTGGTGTCCAGGTCAGCTCAGAAGTCATCATGCCTCTGCACGTCAACGCCGAGGAGAATGCTCGTACCTACATGATTGACTGTGAGTACGCTTGCCCTTTTTCGTGTGCGTCACCCGCGCCGTCACTGCTTCGACTCACCCTGCGTCGAAACCGCACAGCCGTACCCATGGCAGTGGTCATTCACAACGGTACCATCAAATGGCGAGGCCATCGCGATGATATCAATCTGATTACATCCATCAACAACCTTCTGGACGGCGGAGCTATTCAGGTTTGCCCCCTAGCTTCAAAGATGCTTTGAGCATACGAACAAGCCAGGGCCATGCTCTGACGTTTTGGTTGTTGGTTTGTTTGTTTGTTTGTTACTTGAGTATTTTGATTTGGTTTGGGTATTCTTTTTTTTTTTTTTCTTCTTCTTCTTGGGGTTTTTCTTTTTTTTGGCGGGGGGGGTTTGAATTTTTGGCTTGTACTGGACCCTTACCTTGTTTGTGCGGACTTCTTCTTTCAGCTTGAGACTCGAACCCCTCATACCATTGGTCCCAAACCTGGTAAGACCTTGACCATTCTTGTTGTCACCTCCTCGACAACGGCATCGATGCAACGCATGATTCGCACTCATGTGTACAATGCTTGGTGCCTGGTCGCTAGGCGTTCCTGACTTGGCCTCGCTGGATGAGGATGCCATCATGGAACTGTGTGACAGCATCGCTGTACGTAACAACACCTCGACTCGCGCTGTGATCGATTCAACCATCAGCGCCACCCCCCGACAATGCTCACGCCCATGATGCTTTACTCGCTGCAGCGCTGGATGTCAAGCATGCATGGCATTGGTCTGCACGGCCTCAACTGTTCCTACGAGCGCGTCATCAAGATCAGCTCGGCAGGTCTGCTGACCTCATTGGCTGTCCTGGCACCTTCTGCACGTGGCTGGCTCGAGGCCAGGCTTGATGAGGGTTGGTTGTAATGGTGGTGGCTGTATTCGTCTATAGGTCGACGTGAGTCCAAGCGCCTCATGCTAACGGGCCAGGTGCCTTTGGAACTGGTATGTGTGCAACGCGGGCAACCTTGTCGCTTTTGATTGGTTTCGAAGCCACTTACACGTGGGCTTGGTGTGTAGAAACCGCAAGTGGAACGTGTGCAGGCTTTAATGGCTGGGCGGGTTTGCGGTGAGGTCCTCTTTGCCGTAAACTATGAAAACTAAAGGCGGAATCCCTTGCCCCCACCCCACCTCCTCCTTGGTGGCTTGTTTCTCGGCTCCTGCTTCCTCCGAGAACACACTTTTATTGAATTTTCTTCTTAACGTTGCTCAGTGGACACAATTGATGCAAAACGTTCAACTCGACCATGAATGGACTCGTTCTTGGACGCACTCACTGTCGCAGTAGCCGAGTTGCTGGGTTGTGTCAAGCTGTCGGGGGCGGCGCACAGCGTCATGCAGTCGCAAACCAGTCTGCTCTCTTTCGGTTTTTCTCTCGATTACAATGGTCGTGATCAGTCTCTAGCCTTAGGCTCGAGTCTCAAGGATTACATCGGCAGGAGGCTGTTCAGTGGCGGTGCCCTCCAATAGCTCTCGCGCCCGAAGCCCGCGGGGTGAGAGGGGATCCTGAGAAGCAGAGCGTCGCGAAAATTTTTCTGCGAGTAAAAGTCAGCAAAGGGGCAAGGGGCTCAAGTGAGAATATACAAACGGCAACAATGCAAGCACGGATGCCAACTGTACCTGGCGCATTGATTGCAAACATGATGGCAATAAACACTGAGCCTGTTCCAACTAGAAAGGGTGCCCCTACGAAACACAGGTATATGATTTGATAACAGTGGGAAGTGACCAACCACACTGCACTCGCACGACAAGGTGAGCCAGGGTCGTGCTCTGTCCACGGGAGCATGCACAAACCTGGAAAGTTGGTTTGAACTGCGACCAGGGTTTTGGGGCTGTTGTCTTTGAGTGGGATCTGGGCGATTTGAAAGAGCAAGCCAAAGAGCGCGGGGCCCAACCCAGTACAGAGACTTCGAATGCCCGTCACCATACCCTGAACCGCGCCCTGCTGTTCCGACGTTGCAGACTGGGACAAGAATGCGCTGATCGCCGGGTATGTGATGGAACTGGCGGCCACCAGGACACCAATAACAAACATCATGGACTTTGAAGAGCAAATGCCATAGAGCCCGAGCTGAGTGGCTTGTAGGATCAGCCCAATCATAATGACAGTTTTGGGATGCAGCCGCTCTGTCATGAAAGACATCATCGACCTAAACACGGCAGACACCGCGCGACAGATGAGGCCAATAGCCGCAGAATAGGAGGGCAAGCTCCCATCTCGTGTAGCATGCTTGAAAACGCGGCTAGTGCACAACACTTACGTTTGTGCTATAATGGAAAGAACGCCAACCGCTGCAATGTAGCCCGCAAGTTCGGGTTTCGTAAAATGCATTGTATTCTGTAGGTACAGCATCATACATTGATATTGGCCTGCCTCGGGCAGGTAGCTGAAGAAAACAATGACGCTCCATCGCAGCATGACTGCGTTACTGAAGATGGTCTAACGAGCACAACGAAGCAAAAACACCCTCGCATAAGCGCGGTTGCGCTTCAGACAGTGCCCGGCGCGGGAAGGTTAGGGATTAAAACTCAAGCGAAACAAAAAAGCTTTGTGCCACGGCACCTTGATGGACTGTAGAGGGTTAATGCCGGTCCAATCAATGTCTTTTAGCTTGCTTTTGCTAGCTGTGGCTACGCCTGTGCCCGGAGCGTCATCGGACTCAATGTACAAGCTCTGTGAAGGCATTGGAAAACAATCAAGGCATGAGCCCAGGGCAACCTGTGCGGGCCTCTCGGATGGCTGTTGTTGGCCTGGACGAGTGCAAATGGGGGCGTGGGGTGCAGTGGCGGTATTGGCAACCGATTTGAAGCATACCTCGGGGAGAAAGAAGAAAATAAAGGCAACATCCAGAGCTGCAATCAGGGAGCTGATGAAAAACACAGACCCACTTCCGTACGAAGCAACAATGACGCTGCCCAGCGCTGGGCTGACAACGAGGGAGGCTGCGAAGGTGGCTGAGACCTGAGGGTGCGAAAAAAAGGCAATCAAATGAGCCACCGGTACAAGCATAAAGACTGCACAGACACCGGGCAGTTGATCACCTGTCCAAAGGCCGCACTGCGCTCTTCATCCGAGGTGACATCGGAGACGTAAGCAAACACAATGGAGAACGTAACGGCAAAGGCGCCAGAGACGGCCACGGCAATGACATGCCACCACAGGTTGTTGAAGAGGAGGAATGGCAAGGGTATGCAAGTACAGGCTACTGTGATGAGAAGAAACAGCTTGCGGCCGTAGCGGTCGGACATGGCACCGAGCAGGGGCGCGCTCAGGAAGGATAGAAAGCCTTTGAGACCTTGCGTGAGGCCCAGAACAAGCCACATGCGGTCAACGCCGAAGAAAGCCTCGATGGTCTGCGGTTGCATTGGGTTGCAAAAGGTGAGATGTTGAATGCGCGGTGTGGCGAGGCAAGGCGGGAATGGGGGGGTACATCACACCTCTGGGAGGATGGTGGTGACAAGGCCCCACGCGAAAAATTCCAAAAAGATGACGGCGGTGGCATAATTGACAAATCCCTGTGCGGTTCGCTGAGGAAGGAGACGAGGCGTTGGCAGAATGATGTGAGTCAGGGCTCTGGTCGGTTTTGCCTTGATGGGGGGTGTGATCTCGCTATTCAGACGCGGTGCGAAGAGTGGTTGAAAAGTACCGAGGACAGATTGGATCCTGCGTGAAGCTCGTGTTCACTCCCCGTGGGGCTGACGGTGATGGTGGTGGGATGGCGGTGGTGGTCGTCATCTTGGCGAACAGGTGAGTACCGTGTCGTGCGCGACATCCATTTGAAAAGGGGACGTAGGAGCTTCATTGCGGCTTTGTGCGCCTCGAGCAGGAGCGTGACTGATCTGGCAGCGGCGCTCCGCTGATGAACGCCTGCCCGCACGGATGTTATCCGATCCGACGCTAGAAAGAGGCAGGATGGGAGTGGCCACACGCTTCGGCTCGGCCTAGCGAAGGTCCATGCCCGGCGTTATGCAGCTGTCAAGTTGTACGCGGCGTGTGTCTAAAGGGTGTGAGCCGAGCCGAGCTGCCAGCTCGGTTTGGCAAGACGTCGGGAAATGGCTCCGGCTTGCCGGTGCTCTTCAATCGGCGGCACCGCCACGGGTTGCGCCAATATGATCCTGTTGCGAACAAGGGCCAGCAGATGACGAGGTCGCCGAGTGAATGGCAAACCAAGACGGGTGCGATTCGCCAACCAGGCATCTGCTCGACCATGTGATGATCCCCAGCTCCCCGCACTTAATCCCACACACACGATCACGCACCTCGCACTTGCACCCATGAACAACACGTCACCCCGCCACCACTCTCCAGACGAGTGCGTGCCTCTACGCCACCGATTCAAGGACCGAGACGCCGTGTGTTCCCGACGACGACGACACCGACGACACCGACGACGACACCGACGAGGGCGACAAAAATTTTATGAGAGCGTTACCTCGTGTCAGTTCGTAAGCTGCTACTTGCTCTCTGTTGGTTGGATGTGACGTTGATGGTGGCTCTGTATTATATATGCTGACAAATATGACTCTCTGACGATGTGTCCCATGTGTTGAACTTTCTCTGCTCTTAGCTGTGTTTTTACGTGATGTGTCTGTCGGCTTATTCGATTCTCTCTCAATGAGCTCAGCTTTTCATCTGCTTCCTCTGGTTTTCATGCTCATCTGCCACCTCTCTCTACCTCGCAACCCAACTGCTCCCTCTCTCTCTCTCTCGCTCTCTCGCTTTCTTTTGTTCTACATGTGTCATCATGATCAGCGATTGAATTTCGCACAATTTTCACCGAATTTCCCCTTAATTTTCGTCTCAACTCGTCTCGGCGCGACACTTCAGTTGATCTGGAATCACGTGTCGATGATATTGACAGTTTGCTTGGACGATGACGCGCTTGTGTCATCTGTTCAAGCCAACTTGACCTCATCTGGGAGATTCAGAGCTTCATTTTGCCGCCTTGGCTCGTTTGGACTGGAGACGAAGGTCTAAATCAATTCATGTTCATGTTCAACTACTGTCCCGAAACGCATGCAAAGCTGCCTTTCCAATCAATATCGTCTGTCCCCACTCTGTTCAAAGTCCTTTTCTGTTTAAAACTTGCAAATGGGGTCGGCCGCAACAAAAGTCTGGCAGAGCTCGTGCGCAATTGTTCCCTTGGGGGGCAAACGCAGCGTCGGTGCGGGGTCGCTCCCGCCCGCGGGGGCAGCCGCGGTCAGTGGATCAGCACCGGGGTGTGAACCAGCAGCCAATGCTGCGCGAACCTCATCGCGGGTGTACCAGGCAGCAGTCTCGAGCTCATGTTGATCCACGAGAATGTCCGTGGAGGTGGCCCGTGCCATGAAGCCAAGCATGAGACTATAAGGAAAGGGCCAAGGCTGCGAGGAGTGGTAACGGCACAGGTCAACGCGAACACCGCTCTCCTCAAAGAGCTCACGAGCCACAGCCTCCTCGGCAGCCTCTCCGTGCTCCATAAACCCAGCCAGGGCCGAGTGGAGACCCGGGGGCCAGGCTGCTTGGCGTCCCAGAAGCACGCGATCCGTTGCGGGATCAACGGCCAGCATGATGACCACGGGGTCGGAACGAGGAAAGCAGGAGAGGCCGCACTCATCAGCCCCACACTTGATCTCATGCCCCCCTTGTTTGACGGTGGACGGTACGCCACACTTGGAGCAGAAACGGTGTCGGTCCATATACTCAAAGCAGCTCCTGTTGCCACCGAGCATGAGGTCAGATGGAGTCTTAGAACGGAGCTCGGACTTCACCGTTTGCGCCCGGTCCAAGAAAGAGCGGGTTATCGAGAACGAAGAACGAACCGAGCGTGTGCGACAAGCGCGATGGTCCAGACGTCATCGTGGGCCGCTCGTTGCAAGGCAAAGTTGCGCGTATTGCTGTATTGGACGACATCGCCAGTGGACGGATGTGCAGCTGCCAAGGGAAAGGCTGCCAGAGCACACGGGCAGGATGAGACCCCGCTCGGGGACCAGTCACCCCAGCCCACGACACGCACACGGCATAACAAACCTGACTGGTCGGTGGTCTGACGTACGGCCATGAGAAAAGTGCCACCAGGCAGTTCGCCTACACCACGAGCCAAGATTGGGATCAAAGTTGCGTGACAGCTCACCAACCAGCGCTTGCAGTTGGATGGCGCACTGTAGCAAGGGCTTTTCACGCACCATACTCCCGAGTAGTCTGGCCCAAAAACACCCACTCGCGCAGATGCTGTGTTGCCACCAGGTACAGGGCATCTCGGTCGGCCTGCGAATTGACGCGCTGCCACCACAGTGGGCCTGAATCCGTCGCAGTCTTCTTGTGTGCCACCTTCAGATCCTGATCAAATAGCAGCACAGCCACCCGGCACTCACCAGCCGTAGGAAGCGCCTGATTCATCAAGCCCTCCATATCACGTCGCCGGTTGTTGAGCCGATCCACCCATCCCGATGCGCCCGCAAACACGGTCGTTCCAAACGGTCCCGCTGCCATATCGCACTGTGCAGAAAAAAAAAAAAAAAAAGCTCTTGGAGGCCTCGTACTTAAACCGATTAAAGTCGTCGACACGCATATAGACAACAACACATGTTTTACACAATTTCCTTTCTTCAAGAGCACTTGAGCTTACCACACACGACAGCGCTGTTTAAGCTTACTGGTGCATTGAAGCGCCACACACAAACGGAGCCTAGCTCCTCCACTCCACTTCACTGGTGGGTTTGCCTACATCACACCCAACTGCACCTACCGCCACACATACGCGCAAGTCATCATAGGGGTTTCCCTGGTTATCGGCCACACATAGCAATGACTTTGAGGATACACATGTCTTCATTTTTTTTTTTTTTTCGTTCCTGTCAACTGGTAGGCGCGGTTGCCCCCTCCGACTGACTTGCTCGCTCGTCTTCTTGCTGCCCTCCTGCTCTCTGCTCTGCTGCTCTGCTCTCTCCCCAGGTCCGCTGGTCGTTGGGCGAGATTTTGCTGGGCTTGGTCACGCGTTTGGTAAAGGATCTTCACATTCACGTTGAGACGGACGACGGTGTGTGATAGGAAGGAGCCTTGAATCATGGTGTGCCGCGTTGCTGCTCTTCTGTGTGCCGTGCTGGTGGCAGTCAGTGCCTACAGCGGCGTTGACGTCTCTCAGGCTACCCTTGAGAGTCATTGGAAGTGCCTCAAGGAAAATGGCTGTGCGTGGCTTCCACTTGCTCGCTCCTTCCGCTTGCAGCGCGAGCGCCCTCACTCGATGCTCACCGCCTTTTCGCCGCGCCCCTCTCGCATGAAATGACACAACAGATCACTTTGCCGTGATCCGCTGCTACGAGTCCGTGGGCCGAGTAGACTCCAACTGCCCCCACACCATCTACAATGCTTGGGGTTGGTGAACCTCCCCCGACCCTAATTTTTTTTTCTCGGGTTTCTCGGCCTCGGGTCAGCTGTGGTCAAACACGAGGAAGCTCACGCCTTTGTCTGCACTGTACTTACGCTGTATCATGTGTACAGATGGTGGCATGTCCCATGTCGACATCTACATGTTCCCGGATCCCCGCGCCAACAATCCCGAGAGCCAAATGTCATCCATGGTCGAGTTTTTGAAGAAATACAGCATTACCGTGAGTCTCTGCCTCAGCAGCGCCGGCGGGTCAAGGCGCCACCCTCGTTCTCAGGACTCACTAGGCCATGACCTTGTACTGTGTTAGTCTGGTGGCAAGAAGCCTGGATCCTTTGGTATGGTGTGGCTCGACATTGAGGGCTCCCAGTATTGGTCCAGCGACAAGGAAACGAACCGCAAGTTCTTTGATGGCCTCGTGAGCGAGGGCAAGAAACACGGCCTCAAGCTGGGCGTCTACACCTCAGAGTCCCAATGGTCCCCCATCATGGGCGACTGGTCGGGTGGCTCCTCGCTGCCGCTGTGGTATGCCCACTACGACGGTCGCCCCTCCTTCAGCGACTTTCGTTCCTTTGGTGGTTGGAAGAAGCCCGCCATCAAGCAATACAACGGTGACAAGACCATCTGTGGTGCCGGTGTCGATGTCAACTGGTATCCCGACAGCGAAAAGCTTCCCATGGCCACCATGGCCAACCTCTCCGTGCACTTGTAACCAACGCAAGTCGGCAGTCTTGGGATCCAAATCCAATTTACTGATACCCATATTTGAGCTCGCTCGATGCTATCATGACAAATTCGCGCATTGAACCGGCACCACACGCATCCGGAATCGGGTGTCGCTTCTCGCTCAGCAAGACCGATCAGCTTCTTCCGCTGCTGCCCCACAACCCCGCTGCCAGTTGTTGTTCCATCACGCCCCCCGAGCCAAGCTTCACTGATTATCCAGGGTGACGTAAAGCAACACACCGTTTCCAATGACTGAGCTCCTCCAAAAACTTTTGCTGACATCCACCCTTTTCAAAGACACGATCTCAACATCAATGAGAGAGTGGTAAGGGAACGGTGACTGGGTTGTAGAGGGACGGGTTGGTGGGTGATATTTTCTTGTGGAGACGGCAAGTCAATAGCAGAGATTATGATGAGCATGCTGTCTTGAACAGAGACAGAGAGAGAAAGAGATGGCAGCCAGGGTGTGTGTGTGCAGTAGCTGGGCACTGGCAGCACACGGATCACACAGTGCCAGTGCCCGTGCCCGTGCTCGTGTGCCCGTGCTCGTGCTCGTGTACCCGTGCCCGTGCTCGTGTGCTCGTGGACGCACCGATGACTACGATTGAGCTCACAAGAATCGTCGGATATTGATCGGTGTAGGCATTGCCATCCTTTCCTTCATCATGCTGCGCGTTGCTGCGTTCGTCGCGTGCGTCGCGGTCGCTGCGGCCGTGAGTGGTGTGGACGTGTCCCAGATCACTCTCCCTGCTGCCTGGTCTTGCCTCAAGGATAACGGCTGTACGTACCTGTCGCCAGGGACAAGTTGAATGTCAAACATATTCCCGTGTCCTCAGCTCAGCTCAGCTCAGCTCAGCTCATTCACTCTGGACTTGGTGTGAGTAGATACCTTTGGCATCGTCCGATGCTACGAATCGGTGGGCCAGCCCGACTCCAACTGCCCCCATACCATCTACAATGCCTGGGGTTTGTTCAAGTTCCTTTTGCTGCAATGTACACTGCTCGCCCACTGCGCCCTCACTAGCCACCCCCTTGTGGTTTTGCATCGCTTAGACTCGGGCTTGGCGCACGTCGATGTCTACATGTTTCCCGATCCCTCGGCCGGCAACCCACAGGCCCAGGTCTCCAGCATGGTCAACTACCTGGCCCAGTACAGCATCAAGGTAGGCCGCCATGACCATGCAGATTATCGTCAGAGGCTGAACCCCTCCAGGTCCAGCTGCTCGGTGCAAACTCATTTTATGCTGCATTGATTCTCTCTGCTTACATGTTAGTCGGGTGGCTCCCCACCTGGTTCCTTTGGTATGATCTGGTTTGACATTGAGGGCACCCAGTACTGGTCCAGCGATCAACAGTCCAACCGCGACTTTTTCAGCGGCCTCGTCAGCGAGGCCAAGGCTCTCGGCCTGAGCATTGGCGTCTACACCTCAGAGTCGCAGTGGTCTCCCATCATGGGTGACTGGTCTGGAGGCGCCTCTTTCCCCCTCTGGTATGCTCACTACGACGGCAACCCCTCCTTCAGCGACTTTGCTCCCTTTGGTGGTTGGACCAGGCCCGCCATCAAGCAGTACAACGGTGACAAGACCATCTGTGGCGCCGGCGTCGACGTCAACTGGTATCCTGATGGCTCATCCATCTTTGCCAACCGCACCTACGGCTACCATGAAACTCGCAATATGACTCGCGTGCACTAATATGCCCAATGCCGTTGGCAAAAACGGCACTGCTCTTGACGGAGAGATACTTGCCAAAGAATGCGGGGGCAGCCTTGATACACCGATTCGACAACCTGATACCTCGAACACTTGCTCCATCTTTGCGCAAGCTCAAACGCAGAGATATGAATGGACACACCCTGTTCAAGCTCTGCCCTTGACTGAAATTGATGCTGATTTCGAAAGCGCACCTGTTGTTTCGTGCCGTTCAGTTTGGCGCCCACTGTCAAAGTGGCAAAGGCAGTTTCGATTAACATAAACCATTCCGGCGACACAACAAACACCCTTGTTCAGACCAATCATTCAGACAGTGTCGCTGATCCCGATCCAGGGCGACCTCAAGGGCCAGCCCGCCGAGCTCACATATCATCTTCTTCCATCTCCTGGTCCTGCTCGCCATCGTCTCCGCTCTCCTCGTCCTCATCATCCGTGGTTGTCGGGTTCAGACAGCGCACACAACTGCACTCAAAGAGATATTGCTCCCGCAGCACCTCCTACACGAGACATAGAGCAATGAGGGAACCGCTTTAAGCAGGGCGCAAGGGTCTAAAGCAAAAAGAGCCAAGCGACGGCCTCAACGGCTTACGCGGCGCACGTCGCCACCATGATCGAGGATGTGGTCATCCAAGTAGCTAATCGTCACCTCCTGCACCCACGCAAAAGCCAACGAGTAAGAAGATCGCCAGATCGCCCGGATCGCATGGATCGACAGATGTGTCAAACAAACAGCTTGCCTCGCCAGGTGCAATGTCCTGCTCTGCGCGGATGGTCAGCTCAAAATTGCCGCCTATCACCAGCAACACAGGATGATGCGCCGTTTTTCAAGAGAGAAAAGCAAGGCAGCAAGGCGAAAGAGGCCAGAATAAGCAACGCGGGCATGTCCACGTTCCAGGCATGGCAGCCATGTCATGTGAGGTTCAACGAGCAGAGGTTGAAAAGGAGTCAGCAGCCGGACCTTCGAAAAACACCTTGGCATTGGGCCGACAGCTGTGGTTGCCTGCAAGGGCGTAAAGAGTATTGGGTACGATTAGAGGGAGAGGCAGAGCAAGACAGTTGCGCAATATAGCCCCGAACTTACACGCAGAGTGCGTGGCGTAGATGGCGCTGCCTTCCGCGTCCAAAAATTCGCCAACCACTGCTCATTTGTCAGGAACATGGTTTGAGGGTTGATGGAGGAGTCAAGGCGCATGACAACAAAAAGCAGTAAAGACGGGGCGTGCAAAGAGGGCGGGGCGCGCAAAGAGGACGGGGCGCAAAGAGGACGGGACGCGCAAAGCAATGGAAGCGCACCTTCACCAGCGATCTCGTAGATGGTGTTCATGGTATTGTCCACTTCGCTTTGCGTTGCGTCATCCAGGTCGAGGGCACTCAGTTGCCGATCATAGGCAGCCAGCGTATTGGAGGCGACGCCTGCCCCATTTGTGCCGATCAGACTCCACAGCCGCCGAAAGCCCTCGGGCTTGAGCCACTGTGAAGACGGCAACGGTCAACAAAGACTAGACTAGAACCAGCAGCAGCGTGCGGACGGTGGAACAGCAGAGCCAACCTGCTGCGCATTGTCCAGTTGGCATTCCTCAGCCCAAGCCCACACGAGCTCGTTGAGCTGCGATAAACTGGCCTCAAACTAGAGGGGTGGACAGGGGACCAAGGGCGTGTTCCTGATGTGAGATGCGGGGCAGTGTTGTGCCAGTGCCAGGTGTCAGGCAGGACTATGACATCTTGGAGGCAACGCGCGAGATTGTGCGGCTTGGAATGAATCGGACCTCGGGGGCCAAGAGGCGGTGAGCAACCATTTCACCGTTGATCTCTCGCGCAAAGTCGTGGCAAAAATTGGACAAAATGCCGGGCTAGACTCAGCCAAACAACGCCACAGTTGATGAGGTGCCGGGGTCCAGGCCGTTGGCTTTGGTGGCAAAATCCTTCAGAGTCTTGGCTGAGAAGGGGCCAACAACCCACCTGGTTGTGTTCAAGAATGACGAGTTTGAGCAGCAGCGTGATGCTCGTCGACTCTGGGGGCGGGTGCATATCCCTTCGATCAAGACATGCCAAAGAGGGAGTTCGCGATGAGCGCAGAGCTCTGCTGCAAGCCGAGTTCCGCTGCGAGAGGGGCAGGGAACGGCAAGCAGCGCTCTCACCGCCATGCTTCGTTCAAAGTCTCGACGGTCGGGTGTGCTCGAGGGCACAAATGGGCATGAAAGACCTGATCCGCCTCGAGGCATGCCTCGGAGCAATACGTTTCCTAGCAGTGCGTGAGCAGATGTGCATGGCGGGTGAGGTCGATCTCACAACGACGCTAGGGTCGAGATCAAATGTAACGAACCGGGCAGCCAGGGCAAGAGAATTGGGGGATGCGCGCGTCGGGCTCGAGCTGATGGCTGGGGTTGGGAAGTGGCAAGTCGTGCTGCGTCAAGCGGCTAATTGCCACAAAAGAGGGCCCGGTGAGCACGGCAAGGTCTGGGCCATTGGGCAGGGCGGAGAAGGAGCAGGCCCGGCCTACTTGACAGTTTCTTGCGGAGATTCGAGGGAGCGCAGGCAGTGCTGGCAAGCCCGGTAGCCACAGGCCCGGTTCCACAGAAACTACAACGTGTTCGAGGATGAGAGCACGGGTCTTGAATGTCAGGGACTTTATGATTTGCGTCGGGGGCCCATACCAACCTGTGCACAGGCCAGCGGCGACTCTTGCCAAACAATATCGCCAGCCTCAATGTGACGCGTCGCCACGAGCCGTCGCCCCTGCTCTGCCGTTCGCTCTTCCTGCACTGCCGCCGCCATTTCGACTTTCAGAAAATTAAAAAAAAATACCTTAAAAAGTCACTGTTGTTGCATCAACACGTGTCCATCCGAGAAGACTGTTTCATGTCAAACTCATTTATATTTGAAATTTGCAAGTGTGTTAGTCATCCAATCGGGTTCCATAGTGTAGGGGTTAGCACATGAGATTCTGATTCTCATATCCGGAGTTCGAATCTCCGTGGGACCTCGCCCAATTCTTTTTGCCCTTTGCCTTTGCCTTTGCCTTTGCCTTTGCCTTTACCTCTATACCTTGCTTTTGCCGACTCTGTGGCTGCTTTGTGGCCTTTGCTTTGAGGTCCGAGCACTTGCGAGCGCTTGGCTCTCAAGTGCAAGTTTGAGAGCACTGTGCATGTCGATGGCAACGCTCTTCGGACCACACAGGGTCAGTCCGTTGCGGGGCGTGTGAGTGTTTGATGATCCGGCTCGTTGGGGTTAAGGTGAGCAGTGTGAGCTCCTCGGGCCCAGAAGGAACATTGGCGCTCAGATGAGGCGACGCAGCAAAAGACTGACTCGTGAGCGTCGACTTTTCACGTGAGCCACGGGCATCATTACCTCAAAGCACGGTCAACAAGGCACCAAGCCGCAGGAAGTTCACCAGGGCAGCTTCTACACAGCAAACTGAGACTAGATACAATATGCCTTATGTATACAAAACTTTACTTCACATTGAGCACCAAATCGGGTTCCATAGTGTAGGGGTTAGCACATGAGATTCTGATTCTCATATCCGGAGTTCGAATCTCCGTGGGACCTCGCCCAATTCTTTTTGCCTCTTGTCTCTCTTTGTCTGACATTTTATAAGAGGCGGATTTTAAACTGTTTGTTCTGTGACGTTGATCACACTTTCCGATAAATTCCGTTTTTTTCGTTTTTTTTTTTTTTTCGCATTTTTGCTCTCTCTGTCTCTCTGTCTCTCTCTCTCTCTCTCGCGCGCGCGCCGCTTCCAACTGAGCCGAGCAGAGAGGGGTCACCACCGCATGGCCGCTCACTGGTGCTGATGAGCCTTTGAGTGAGTGAAGCAAGGGACTCTCGAGGGAGTGGTGTCGTCGTTGGGGAGGTGTTGTTGTCGTCATGCTGCCTTGAAGGCGGTCATGTCTGGTTTATTTGATGCGCCGCAGCCGGCGGCGGCGTCAGCATCGGCGGCATTGTTAGAGTTGCTGTATCGCGAGGCACCGATGCCTTCAAGCCCCGAGGCTTTGAACAGTGAGGGGTCAGCCAAGTGCCCCGTGTGTCTGGATGTGCTGGCCGAGGGTGTGTACACCGACTGTCGGCATGGCTTTTGCTTTGAGTGCCTCCGGGAGTCTCTCAGCCGTAACCGGGCTTGCCCTGTTTGCCGGCGACGTGTGAGCCGGGTTCTGCTCTCTGAACGTGAAAATGAGGGTGGTGTGACCGTGGAAAACTTTTGCGAGGCGACGGCCACTCTGCACAGCCTCGAAGCTGCCGCAGACGTGCGCCCGGCGGGGCTCGCCTCGGCCCATGGGGCTGATGTGGCTGCCCATGATCCATCAACCGCAGCTGAAGCACATCGTCCTCCCTTGCGCCTCAGTGCTCGGCGCGTTCTCGAAGCCGGCGGCCGACGCTTTGATCCCGTTACCGACCTTGCTGAACGACGCGCTCAAGTGTCAGAACATGCAGAGCCCGTGGTGGAAGACCAGGCCGAGGATCAGGACGCCTTGCTCACAACCATCATGCGCTTGTCCCAGCGATTAGCCGAGGCAACGGGCGAAAACGAGCGGTTGGCTGCAGAGCGCCAACGCCTGCAAGACACGCTCGTCGCTGAGCGACAACTTCACCAGGAGCGCCTTGACGCCCAACGCCAGCAGACCCAGGTATGGGCACGGCAAATGCGGCATCGAATCAGATTGCAAGGCTCCAAGCGGCTGGTGCCACGGCACTGCAACACTGTGTGTGTGTGTGTGTGTGTGTGCTTCGAGGATAACCATGGCCCTCCTCATCCTGGCTTTGACGCATGCAGGACTTGCGGCGCCAACTGCAGCGCCTCGATCGCGATCATGCAACAGCGCTGGATGAGGTATGCCATGATGCGCCTCTTGCCATGGTCCACGGCCGTCCGGTGTACTCACATCGTCTGCCGTGCCGAATTTATAGCTTCATACCCAAATTGCGGATCTGTCCAAGCTAAACAAGGACCTGTGCGCGCAGCTGCGGGTGGCGCGCATGGGTCAGCCTGCCCCGGCAGCCGGATCCAGTCGTTTGGCTCCCTCAGCTGCCCATAGCGCCAACGAGCGCCCGCCGCTTTCGACACATGCCAAGGTCAAGGCTTGCGTCACAGCCCGTGGCTTTGCGCGTTTTGTTGGTGTTTCTCGCATGAAGGCCGCCAACTTACCCCTTGCCGGACCCTCCTTTTCTGTTGGTGTTTCGCAGGCTCGAAATCCTTTTGCCAAGCGTGCTGTCAGCTTGTTCGGACCTCGTGAGCCCGACGTGGCTGCCGATGTAGAGAACGACGACAACGATTCCGTACAACTGCGTCGGGTGGCATCAAGTGAGCAGCAGTTTGCAGCCATCGTCCAGCCCCCTGGTCGTGCCCCGCGCGCCAAGCGTCACCGGGGTTTGGGGCCGCGCTCCGTGGACAGTTTGTTTCGCCGCTGACCAACAATAGTGATAGTGTTGAGTGCGACTCCCTTGTCTTCACATGGTGAAATGTTCCCTCAGCGCAAGCTTTTGGTGACAAGGGGTCGGGCCAGACCGCATCATAGATTTCCATTTCGATGAGTGATGAGTTGATAATCGAGCCTTCATACGTTCTTTGTTTCAATCATACCTATCCAAGCAAAGCGATCGAGATGGATAGCCTGCAGCCCACCTGCTGTAGCCAAGACTCCAAAAAGTCGAACCACACGAGCGGTGAGAGCAGAGCCAGAGCAGAGCCAGAGAGAGATAGAGATCAAGAGAGATCAAGAGAGATCAAGAGATCAAGAAGAGAGATCAAGAGAGAGAGAGAGATCAAGAGATCAAGAAGAGAGATCAAGAGATCAAGAGATCAAGAAGAGAGATCAAGAGAGAGAGAGAGAGATCAAGAGATCAAGAGAGATCAAGAGATCAAGAAGAGATCAAGAGAGAGAGAGAGAGAGAGAGAGAGAGAGAGAGATCAAGAGAGAGATCAAGAGAGAGAGAGAGAGAGAGAGAGAGAGAGAGAGATCAAGAGAGAGATCAAGAGAGAGAGAGAGAGAGAGAGAGAGAGAGAGAGAGAGAGATCGAGATCAAGAGCGATGTCACCATAATTTGTCTTGCGGTGGTACAAAGTATATAAAGTACCAAAATATACACTTATTGTAGATATGTTAATGTACCAAGAGTACATAATTGTAGTTTACTTTGGGGTAATTGTTTGTTTAGAGTCAACTCTTTGAGCGATAAAACGGAACGGCAGCGACGAGGTGAGCGCTTTGGTGCCGTCGGTGCTGTCGGTGCTGTCGGTGCTGTCAGTGCTCCTCTGCCTCGTGCTTGTGGTGCTCGCGTCAAGGGTCAAGGGTCACAGAGATCGTGGCTGAAGTGCTGGTCTGATTGTAGCCGTGGTGTTGGTGTGAGGGGACGCCTGGCCCGGTCTTGTGGCGCTCGTCCTCACCGTTGTTTGCGCTGGTAGAGGCGACGGAACCTTGGCGAATGGGGGCCGCATGTCCGAGCGTGCTCTTGGCGCTCGTGCTGGCACTCAGCTCGAGGGTCGCAGCGCAGCCCAGCATCACTGCAGGCCAAAATGGAACGTTGCACCTTAATGCACCAGAGGGCGTTCGCTACAATGGCCGAGACCTAACGGCAGCCCTTGCCTTTGCCCTCAAACACCCGCAACTGCCCTGGCTCGCCGAGGCTAGCGTGATTGCAACCGGCATCCCTCAACCCATGGCTCTCGTGGCTGCCGATTTTGATCTTGATGGACGCCCCGATCTCGTGACGGCCAGCGCCTCGGCCGATCGCGTTGACCTGTACCGTAACCTTGGTGGGGGTGCCTGGGCCACGGCAGTCAACATCGCAACGGGTGTGGATGGCGCGCGCGTCCTGCGAGCGGCCGACCTTGACGGGGATGGGCATCCGGATGTTTTGAGCGGTGCCAACGGTGGCGGGCAAATCTACTGGCATCGCAATCTTGGCAGTGGTGCTTTCGCCGATAAAGTACTCCTCGCGACCTGTACCTCACTCCAAGATGTATATGTGGCTGATTTGGACGGTGATGGTCGCTTAGATATCATCCGTACTAGCGGTAATACGGCTCGGCTGGCCTGGTACCGCAATCAAGGTAATGGTATGTTTTCTGATACCATTACAGTTGCCACCGGCACCATTCCTACCTTGGTGCGCGCCGCCGACTTGAATCAGGACGGCGCCTTGGACCTCCTTGTGGTCACCGGCGGCGGGGCCAGGGCGGTTTGGTACCGCAACCAGAATAGCGGTGCCAACTTTAACGCACCTGTCACCATCTACAGCACTTCGGGAATGATCAGTGCCCTCGAGGCCGGCGACCTTGACAACGATGGTGTTCTCGATGTCTTGGTGACGGATCGCGTTTTGGATATCGTCTGCTGGCATCGCAACGACGGAATGGGTAGATTTGGTGATGCTCAATACCTTCCAGCTCACTTGGATGCACCAGTCCATGCCTCTGTCGCTGACCTAGACGGGGATGGGTTGCTAGACATTCTTGTCCTCAGCAATGCGGATAACCGAGTTTTGTGGTTTCGTAACCGTGGCGCTGGCCTTTTGGCTATGGGCGTCAACATCAGTGCAGACATTGCGGCCCCAACCGCGCTGGCCACGCTCGATATCGATGCAGACGGCGATCTTGACATTGCCGTGACCAGTGGCGTAGACTCGACCCTCGCAACTCTCTTCAATGGGCGCAATCTGGCCCGCACCTGGCAAAATGCTGGATCCACCGCTCCTCGGCCTTTTGTTGGAGCTATCAACAACCACACACTCGCCTTCAATGCTTCCGGCGCCGTATGGGTGAATGGAATGGACGTGGCAGCGGCCCTGGCCATTGCAAACTCTGGGGGCAGCGGGCAACTGAGCTGGGATACCCCTCCCCGGCTGCTTTCAGACGTTGCCCAGGGTGCCACATCGGTCATCGGTGCCGATATCAATGGTGATGGACTGATGGACGTGGTGGCAAGCAGTTTCGACGATGACAAAGTCCAATGGTTTCGCGGCTTGGGCAATGGTGCCTTTGCAAGCGGAGACACCATCACCTCATCCGCCAATCGCGTCTATGCTGTGGCTACGGGCGATCTCAATGGTGATGGCCACATGGATGTGGTAAGCGCTGGCGACGATGGCGAGGACAGCCTCTGCTGGTACAAGAACAAGGGTGTCGCTGGCTTTGACAGCTGCCAAGACTTTGACGTCGGTGACGATGAGGAGGACGTCACGGTGCGCGCCGTCGCCGTCGGTGACATGGACGGTGATGGCGACTTGGATATCGTGGTAGCCATGTGGGAAGAGGACGACGACGACACTGAGGGCTACATTGGCTGGTTCCGAAACAGTGGCACGGGCTCTTTTTCGAATTTTCGCGAAATGGACGAGGTTCGCCGCCCGGTCAGTCTTTTCCTGGCTGACATGAACGGGGACGGGCTTCTGGATGTGCTCGCAACGGACGATGGCGCCAATGATGTCCTATGGTACCGCAACCTGGGCGCCAGCAGCTTCACGTCTGGAACTAAAATTGACTCTGACCTTGACCAGGCTGCGGCCGTGTCTGCAGCCGACGTGGATGGTGATGGTTTCCTGGACGTCGTGGCAGTGAGTCGTCACGATAACTTGCTGGTGTGGTATCGGAACCTAGATGGCGGCATCTTTGGTTCAGCGACGACCATCAGCAGTACCATCTCCGACCCTCGAGCAGTGGCCGTGGGCGACCTGAACGGAGATGGGTATGTGGACCTGGTCGTGGGAGCGCATGATGGCAATGCGGTGGTCGCTCTTCTGAACTTGGGCAGTGGGGTGTTTACGTCCCCCATTGAGCTGGCTACGCCCGATGGTGTCTTTGGGCTGTGGGTCGGTGACCTGGACGGCGACGGCGATGCAGATGTGGCATGCGCTTCTTTTGATGACGATACTGTGGCATGGTATGCCAACCAGTTGATGCAGCCGAGCAATAGCGCTGCGTACCATGGTCCCCCGGTCACAGCAAGCGATGCCAATGGCGTGCTGCACCTCAATGTTTCTGGCCAACTGTTGGTGCGCGGTGCAGATGTGGCGCCAATTCTGTCGGCCCATGCTCGCGACCTGCAACTCCCTTGGGTGGGCCAGGGCATGATGGTGGCGCATGACGCCCGGCCCATCTACAGGGCAGTGAGCGTGGATCTGGACGGCGATGGTGACCAGGATGTGGTGACGGCTGGATACAGCTCAAGTTCTGGACAAGTTTTCTGGCTTCGCAACAATGGCCAAGGACTTTTCTCTGGGCCGCTGATTATTGGCGATCTGGGCACTGTGAGTTCGTTGGATGTGGCGGACATGGATGGCGATGGTCTGCTGGATGTGGTGTGCGGAAGCTATTTCCTTGATAGAATCGTGTGGTACCGCAACACGGGCAACGGGGGCTTCGCGCTGCAAGCGGACGTGGAAGACGACGCTGAGGTGTCAGCGGTACTGGCCGTGGATATTGACGGGGATGGCGACATTGATGTGCTGCGTGCCGGTAGCCAGGACGATACGGTTGCCTGGTATCGAAACGACGGCACGGGATCATTTGCAGCGGCTTGGGCATTGACTACCAATGCCAAAGGCGTACGTTCCTTGGACGTGGCCGACTTTGATGGCGATGGTTTCCTGGATGTGGTCGCCGCCGTCAGCAATGACAATGAGGTGCTTTGGTACCGCAATCGTGGGGGTGGCTCCTTTGCTTCAGGGCAACTGGTCGGAGGGTATTTGAATGATCCGCGCATCATTCGAGCTGCCGACCTTGACGGGGATGGTGCTGTAGACGTGGTGTGCACGTCTTACGCGACCGACAAGATAGTTTGGTTTCGTGGGGATGGCAACGGCGGTTTTTCCAGCCCGCAAACTTTGGACGCGAATCTTGACGGAGCCAACTCTCTGGCCGTTTTGGACGTTGATGGTGACGGTGACTTGGACGTCGTGGGTGGCGGTGTCGGTGACAACCTTGTCACCTGGTATCGAAACGAGGGCGGTGCCATATTCTCTGCGCGCGCTATCGTTGGCAACCTGCCCTTGACTGTGGCCTCAGTGCAGGCTGCTGACTTGGATGGGGATGGAGCTTTGGATATTCTCAGCACTGGACTGGCCGGTGACTTGATATGGTATCATAACCCTTGGCAATCTTGGCCGACCAACGAGGTGGTCATGCAGAGCTGAGCATTTTTTGGGTGCAATTAGAGTCGTAGTCATTGAGTTTTGACCCATCCTAGTTCTGACAGCTTTGCGCGTTTTGAAAGGGATCCACTTCTTTTTTGTAATAGACGCGTGTCGTGCATAGTTTGTCGTATTGGTGGAATTGTATTGGTGGAATTGGAGGTTGCTGCCCTCTGATGCATCTTGATGTGTCGACAAAGCCCACCTTGCCCTTGCGCTCTTTCACTTCTGTATTGAGATGAAGGTCATTGGCATTGTTTTGAATTGGCCTCTAGCAAAGATGTCAAATTGAGTCGAGTCGCGTTCGAGGGACAGCGTACAGTCCGCACATCAAGATGAAGGAGAAGTCCAAAGCAACGGGTTATACAAGCAAAACAAGACGTTGGGCGGCGTTGGTGGTGGTTGTTTACAACCGTACGAGGGGCGCGCTTTGCGCAGCCGTCAGGTCGACCTTGGGGCCAATGAGGTCGCGAATGTTGGAGTAACCATACTTGATCATGGTAGGGCTGCAAGGTGGGGGGCAGGGTGAGATGGTTGGTCGATGCTCAGGGGGGTAGTTCACGCATGCCGCAGGACGGGAGAAGGGAGGAAGAATCCTAGGCAGATTGGCTTACCGTTCAACTGAGAGACCCCAAGCAATGACAACAACGTCTTCAGGCAAGCCCATGGGTCGGAGCATCTCGGGGCGGAACATGCCTGCAGCCAATCGCCAGTTTGAGGTTGGCGTCATGGGTCCAGCATAGGGTCAGAGAAACAAGATGCAGAAAGACATCATACCAGAGTTGCCAATTTCGACGACCTTGTCGAGGCCGGCATGATAAGAGAACACTTCCATTGAGGGCTCGGTGTACGGGTTGTAGGCGGGCTTGAAGCGAAGGTCGTGAATGCCTGAAGTATCAATCAAAGTGCAAGGTGAGCCATGATGTGGGAAGGCTGGTCTTCACGGAAAGGAGACGGCGGAAAAAGGAGAAAGGAAAAGAGAAGGAAAGGATGTTCTCCCAACACAAGCAAACACACACAAAAGGAAAAATTTAAAACAAAAAAAAAAAAAAAAAAAAGAAAAAAAAAAAAAAAAAAGGAATTTTTTTGGGGTGCAATGCGCAGTGTGACGGCTTGCTCACCGAGGCGGGTGAAGAAGTTGTGAAGGGTACCCATGAGATCGCCCAGAGTAAGGTTGTAATCGGCAATCACGCCTTCAATCTGGTGGAACTCGGCCAGATGCGTGGCATCAAGCGTCTCATTACGAAAGACGCGGTCAATGGAGAAATATTTGACGGGCTTGAAAGGTTTCTGGGTAAGGCAGAGGTTGAAATGACAAGCAATTGGGTCAGCAACACCAAAGGGCATTGGAGGACACATCGCGCAAGCGTGCGTACAAGGGCCTGCAGAGGGTACACACCTGCTGTGCGAGCTTGTAGAGCATGCGGGCGCTGACGGCGGTGGTGTGGGTGCGCAGCAAGTTCTTTTCAGCCTCGGAGCGCTCCCAGTTATATTGGTAGCTGCAGCAAGGCCATGACCGACATTCGGTGCAAGGATGAGCTCAGCGCTGACGGCCTGTGGCTGACCAACAGTCGGTCGAGCGTCAACCCACCCAATGGATTCGTAGCCACCACCGTTTTCGTGCGTGTTCTTGACACGCTCTTCGTAGTCAGCAGGGAAAGAGGCCGAAGTTTCAGGTGCTGTCATGAAGAAGGTGTCATGGGCATCGCGAGCCGGGTGCTGTTGCGGCTGGAAGAGGGCATCAAAGTTCCAGAAGGAGCTGTTGAGGAGCAAGGACATTTGGCGTTTGGGGCGGTCGGTGAGACGGTGCTTGACGCTTGGGGGCCAGAGCGGAGAGGTGGGAGCCAACTACCAACCTTTCGACGAAGCGGCTGGTGGGCATTTCCTCAAAGCCCATTTCGAGGAAAATTTGTCGGTACTCCTCGCGAACCTTGAGGAGAGGATGCAGGGTACCACGGGACACGGGCACGCCATCAGCAGCCAGGTTGAATGGCTTGAAGTCCTTGCTCTTCCACGAGCCGTCAGCCAACATGTCAGCAGTCAAATCTGAGAGCAGCAGTCGAGGGTTGAGGGAGTGGATGGGGGCGCATATGTCATATATATCTACACGTCACGGGCTCAGGGCACAGGGGGCGAGCGAAGGCCAAGGAAAGCAGAAACAGACCAGCTTCGCCCTTGCGCAGGGTAGTCGTGAAAGCCGAGCCCTTGGTGACGTTGTAAGTGGTGACGGACCTATACACCAGGTTATCGCATGTCATGTTTCGGCGTTGCTGGGGCAGGCGCGTGGCCAGTGGCAGGCGTACTTTTGTTCCACAAGCTTGCGTTTCTTGAGATCCTTGAGCACCTTGTCATCTGTGCTCTTGCCACTGGGGTCCTTCTGGAGCTGCGCCAAGACCTTTTGTGTTTCGTCGGGCACCTCGGTGACCTAAAGTGGTGAGTAAGCAGGCTCTGATGAGGCTGGCTTATTTTCGAATAGGATTCTTCGCATATGGGGTGCGGCTGGCGTGCACTGCGCATGGGGAAGATGGTGGCGGGAGCCAGCGTGGCGCGGACCTTGCGGACGTAAGCCACGGCGCCTGATGACTTGTCGATGGCAATCCACTTGTTCTTCATGGCTTGGCCGATGGAGGGCTTGGCGGCATCGCCCAGTCCCTTGTAGACGGGGGAGGCCTAGGGAATGCCACGGATCGCAGGGCATCAAGAGGGGTCTGTACCAGGGCAGCCGAGCCACGGGATCGTGGAAGCAAGTCGACAAACCTCAAGGTCGGAGGCAGCAATGCCCTCGGCGGGGATGACGCTCATGAGGCGCACCTCAGGGCTCCCCTTCTGCAGCGCATCTTGACCTGTGTCCAGCAAGGGCGGGCCATGGACGCGTGTCAAGGCGGGTGCTGTTCGTGGAGCAAGGGAGCAAGGGAGAGTATGCTGGTACAGACGCACCATCTTTGGTGAACTGCCATAGCTGCTGCTTGACCTCGGCGACATTGATGACCTGAAAGGTCGCAAAAGAGTTTGAGAAAGCGATAGAGCCGAGGGAGCGAGTGAGAGCGGATGCGAGGAGGAGAAGAGAACGAAAAACAAAACCCAAATCCAAAAAAAAAAAGCAAGGTCAGCAGCAGGTGGCGCATACGTTCTCAAAGGTCTGAATGCTCTTGATGGCACCGACCACCACTTCCGGGGCACACTTGAGAGCCTTGGCCAGGGCCTGCGCATCGGCTGCGCCCTTGGCCTCGATATACTCGAGGAGTTGTCTGCACACCCCGAATCCAGGCATCAAAGCAATGGGCCAGCATGAACCAAAAGCAAGAATCCACCAGACCAGCCGGCCATGCATCAAATCAGACAACAAGCTTCCTCATGCCGTAAACCCAAGCCATCATGCCCCCTCCACTACCTGCCGGACGCGCGGCTGCCATTTCACTGTGTGTGTGTGTGTGTGTGTGTGTGTGTGTGTGTGTGTGTTTCCCATTGACCGCGTGCATGTGTACGTACGTCTTCAGTTGATCGCTCGCTGCCATCGTGCTCTGTCACAGGAAATGCTACCACATGTTACTATCCCTTCAAACTAAAACGAATTCATTTCCGAGGATGACAACACTCATTGTCAGAATACTATATTTTGAAGATGTGATATTTATATTAAGAAGGATGACGTTTGCTCATGACGCATGCTTGCATCAGGGGTTGTTCCAGAAGAAAAGCATAAGCAAGAGCTCCCAACCGACGTCATTGGAAAGAAAGGTCTTACAACCACTTTGCCCCTTCTTGACGTTTTTAGCAAGAAGAGAAAGCCCTGTGCCCTTCAAAATAATGAATGACTGACGCGCAGCCGCGCAGTGTGATGATGACGATGGCCCATCGGGACGGCCTTTCATTGTTCGCGGTGTTGTTGTGCTATGTTATGCGAGCAAGCAACAAGCCCCCCCCAACTCCACTTGTCGGGACAGACAAAGCGTTGGCCCACTGCCACCAGGGCCAATCGCCAAGCTCCACCATCGCATCAGCCACCGCCCCCCCTCACCCCTCGATCGGGGCGTTGAAAAATTTCGTCCTTTGGTTTCTCGCACCTGCTCGTTGCAGCCAGATCGTCAAGCATCAGCCCCTTTTGTTTTTCGCTCTCGACGGGTTTTGACAGGTTCAAGGGCTAGCTACCAAGTGTACTTGTCATCGCGCGCCATTCCTGTCCTCCCCTTGTGCACAGGTAACGCCAAGCATGTCGAGGGTGTGGCTGTACAATAAGGCGTAGCGTTATGTAACGATGAACAGGTGTGGCGCTCGCGCTTTGCATCATCTCAGCTTGTGTGTCGCTGCTGCGCACAAATCGAAGATCAAGTAAACGTTGAAGATGTGAAAGAAGACGAAGATATATGACGATGTCAAGTAGATTAAGAATGGAAGCTCCACCAAGAAGATGTAGAAGAAGAACCAGTAAATGTAGAAACGTTTGCCAGCAGAAGAAGAAGAAGAAGAACCCCCAAGCGGCTTGGCTTGGCTTTGGCTATAGTCACTCTCCCTGTTTTGGTTTGTTCGTTGTTGTCCCACCACCACAACAACAACACACACACACACTCAACGAATCTCTCTCTCTCTCTCTCTCTCTCTCTCTTTGCATTTTTCTCGTTCTCGCGGATATTTTAAAGTTGTGCCCCCTTTGTGCTTGCGTCTGGTCGCTGCCGCTGCCGCTGCCGCTGCCAGATACTTGCCGCTTCTGTAGTGTGTGCCGACAACGAGTTGCTTTGTGTGTGTTGGCGTGTTGGTGAAGTTTCTGGTTTGTTTTCAAACGCTTCTCCTGCTGGTTGCTCGTGATTGCATTCACTTGCATTTCCTCCAAGCCCGCGCACCTCGTCATCATCACGGCTTGCATCGCTCTCTGCTGGTGAAAAGTTGGTCCGCTGCCTCCTTTTCTTCTTCTTCGTCTTCTTCTTCTTCAAGAACACATTAGCGGTTCGCCGACCTCTTGACGCCGCTGCGTTACTCGTTCAACTTTTCTGCTCTTGGATATACCAAGCGCTGTTCACGACGTTGACGCTGCCTTTGAACAACCTTTCAGCCACGTCATTTCCACATCACCACATCAACACTATCTGGACCGCAAGCCCGTCTTGGACTGAGACCACCCCTTTGGTGTTCCAGCCCTCATCATCGTCTTGATCATCATCATCACTCTATAATTCTTATCTGTGCCGGTGATCAACCCGTGACTTGAGCCCTCTTGGCTGCCCTACTCTTCCGAGGTCATTTTTTTATTTGACGCTTGTGTTGGCTTACCGACCCTTTCGGTTGCCAACTCATTCCTGGATTGAAATTTTTTTTTTTGAATTTGTGTGCACCCTCTCCACCAAGTAACCATGGCCGAGCAACAAAGCCCCAACACCTCCATTCCCTGCGCTTCCGGCTGCGGGTTTTTCGGTTAGTCTGCCGCTTTGCACCAATGGCTCCCGTGACGGATACTGACTGCGTGTTGGATTTTCTGTCTGCATACGCACCCACGCTCACCGCCTCATCCATCCTTACTTTTTAGGTCGTGTCGAGACGGAAAACTTGTGCTCCAAGTGCTACAACGATGTAAAAAAGGCCAAGGGCAACACTGACGCCCAAACACAACCCCAGGCCGACGCCGACGCCACTGTTAGTCCTACCCCTGCCCCAGCATCAGCTCCCGCGCCCTCGGCTCCGGCCGCTGCCACAAACTCCGCAGCCCCCGCCCCTGTGGCCGAGGTGACTCCTTCCTCCCCGGCGCCGGCCGTGTCCACATCGGCCTCGACCGACGGCACTCCCATGCAAAAGAAGAAGAAGCGCTGCGTGGTCTGCAACAACAAGGTCGGCATGCTCGGCTTTACTTGCCGATGCGAAGGCCTGTTCTGCAGCAAACATCGCTTCCCCGACGACCACGAGTGCACTTTTGATCACAAGACGTTTGACCGCAAGAACCTGGCCGACGCCAACCAAAAGCTGGAGACGGTCAAGCTCAATCGCCTCTAATTGACGGAAGGCCCAGAGCCCAGAGTCTCCTCTCACTGGCCGCACGTCTCGGCGTGCTCGTGTTCTGGAGGCACATTTTTAATCCCGCGTCACTCTTGGAATCGCACTGCGTGTGCCCTGATTGACGTTTTCTTAACCTCTTGTTCATCCTGTTCTTGTACACGCCCCCCCTGACTTGTTGTTGTTGGGAGCGTGGCCAGGCTTTTTTTTGCTCGCTGCCGGGCATAGTCGTTCACAAATGAATGTTTTCAAGTGTCTTTAACGAGATATGGGGCCAAGGCCTTTTTGACTTTGACAATTCGGTTGATATCTGATCTCTCCCGGCTTCTCTTTTGGCTGTTCATGCCTTGGCGTGCCGTCTAATCTCCCTGTTTGGTGTGCTCTTGCCTGTGGTGCATGTTCACCCTCCGGACCTTGGTATGTTTTCTGTGTTCGAATAATTGACATGATATGACACTTGCATCTGCTTCGCCTTGTCGGCCAAATCCTTGTCCTCGTTGACTCGATTAATTGTTTTCGTCACGTCGTCTACACACGACGCTGCACAGCTGTTTGTCACACACAAGTCAGGTACGCGACTGAGGATATCTGTTATACAATGGGCTCTATCATGCATCAGCCTCCGCCTTGGCTTGACTGTCCGCTGCATCCTTGACACGCTTTTCCGGTGGAGCACCGAGGGCATGCCCACCAGTTTCCAGCATGCCCAGGTCAAAAACCGTCTTGGCGCTTGCGTACTTGCGGTTTTCTTTTTGCAACTAAGTTCATGATCACCACCATCCCCGCAAGCATCGTCAGAGCAGACACAGGCACAGACACAGACACAGACACAGACACAGACACAGACACAGACACAGACACAGACACAGACACAGACACAGACACAGACACAGACACAGACACAGACACAGACACAGACACAGACACCGACACAGACACAGACACCGACACCGACACCGACACAGACACAGACACAGACACGGACGCGGACACGGACGCGGACACGGACACAGACACAGACACAGACACAGACACAGACACAGACACAGACACAGACACAGACACAGACACAGACACAGACACAGACACAGACACAGACACAGACACAGACGCAGACACAGACACAGACATGGACCTTTCCCTTTTCGGTTGAAGATCCTGTCTTACAAGCGCACACACAAAAGTATCATGCTGCTCACCTCCTCCAGGGTCAGCAGCGAGAGGCCAGGCGTGTTCTCGTATGGCTGCGCCATCTCTCGCTGGAAGCGGCGGATCAAGACCATGGCTTCCTCCGAGGACAAGTTGAGGTGGGTATCTGTCAGGTATTTTTGGATCCACTTTGGAATCTTGCTACGCTTGTCCGTGCGCGAGAATCGTTGGTCCGCAAAGCACATGATACCATAGTCGGTCTTGCCGCGAATGGCGCGTCCGACGCACTGCCAACCGTCTGCAAATGAGCCAACCCATCTCCAGAACCGTGCAGGGCGACAGAGTCGAGAAAATCATGCGGCCACCTCGCCTCGTCTGGTCCCGACATACCTGGGCGGCGTGCCGCATGGCATCAAAAGTCAAGAAATCACCCTCTTTGATCTGGAAATTGTCGGCCAAGTACTCCAATCGTGCCTTGAGTACCCGGCTCTAGACATTCAAACGCACACAACCGCACGGGCAACAAGGGCCACGTGAGCCTTACTCAGCCTTACTCAACGATTGCAGGTGGACCTGATGCCTTCCACAGACACAGCAGACGGTCGCTACCTGAGTGTACACGTAGGGAATGCCCATCATGACAACGGCACGGCCGAGATGGTGGTCAAAATCAATGCCTTCGGACACCTTGCCGCGCGCCACCGAGAGCAGGACGGCACCGCGGCCATTGGCGCATGCCTTTTGAAAGCTGTCCAGCGCCTGACTCGTCTCTGCGCCGTCTTGTGTCTCCACGAACACCAACTTCTTGGCCTGAATTTGCGTCATGATGCCCTGATCAATCCACGTGCTCACTGCAGACTCTAAATACTCGTAGCTGTGGTCGTGTACATGCTGGTGGTGAGAAGAGCAAAGGGGGAGGGGGGCAGTAGTCGTCACGAAGCAAGTACGGCGGCGAGCCCCACCCACGAGAGCTCACCTCACAAAAAAGCACACCACACCATCAGGCACCGCAGCTAGACAAGTTTGAATCAAGCACAGTTGCAGCCAAGTAAGTACCCTGGTTAGAACACGCGATATGGTACGACAACGAGTCCTCACAAATACACATGGATTGCGCGCACGCACAAACAAACACACAAAGAAACAAATCAACAAACAAACAAAAAAACACAATCTCTCGCAAGCAACACGCACAACAAATGTCGAGAAGAAGATGCCCGTAGCCGCGCTTCACAGCCGACTGCTCGCGGTCCTCGTAGCGCGTCGACAGTGGGGTCTGGTCGGCACTGCGTGTCACCACCTGAGGCACCGGTCATGAGGGTGAGAACCCCACGGTAAAAGCCGTTGCCAGGCTGACGACGCGAGCACGGTCGCTCAACGTACAATCGGGAGAAGCGACGTGCGGCTCAGGGTCATGTCAAAAGAGCACATGGTGACAGGCCTAAAATTGAGAATCTTGGGATACATGTCCAGCGGCGAGAGGGTTCCTGGGAAAACGATAAAGGTCAATCAGAGTAAAATGTCCAGCCTCGCTCGCCATCAGCACTGACCATTGTCCACAAGCAGAAGCAGACATGGAGTCAAATGTTTTGCCCGAGCCACGTACCAGACGTGATAATCACCGATTGAAAGCGATCAAACACTGGCTTGACGGCCAAGGACGCATCCATGCAACTGCAGGGGTCAAACCAAAGCAGGCCATTCGTTGAGTGCTGGTTTTGTACACCTGCTCACATCGAGGGGCATCTGGACACTCCATCCCAGTTCGTACGTGAAGCGCAGCACCGGGTCTGGCACTGAAGGTGCGCGATCGTCGTAGGGCTCGATAATCAAACTGAAGCCTGTCAAATCCCACATGAGCCAAACCGCGCATTGCAAGTAGCAAAGAAGAAAAGAAAGGAAATAAAAAACGGTGAGCATGCTCCTTAACCGCGGTAAGGCACGGCAAATCAGCTAAGCATATGTCACAAGTGACTCATTGAGAGCCGCACCAAGTGCCTTTGACCCACCTTTGGAATAGGTGCTGACGAGCGTGGCAAAACTGGCAATGAGGGTAATGGGGCCATAGTCATCGATGCGAGCCAGTTCCAAGGTCTGCGTCCGAGGTAGCCAAACATAAGTGTCTTTGGCAGCACTCTGGGAGGTCAGAACCACCGCTGCCCATCCCTTCCATCAAGCATGGTGCGAGACTCTTGTCAGACCTGCAAGAGGGAGCCCAGGCGCTCGGAGCAAAAGCGTAGGGGCTTGGCTTCAATGCACACGCTTTGAAAGACGTGCTCCAGGAAGGCAGCTGGCGGCTCACTGAGGACCTGCTTGACGCGAAGACGTGTCTAGGACACGGGCAGCAGGTGACAGGTTCGAGTTGTGGTTCCCAAGTCAATGCAAAGTGGACAAGAGCTTTCGTAAGCAACAAACGACGACGTGTACTGCACGCAATCTGGCGCCATCTGCTACCCACGCCTACCTTTAGATATTCAACAAAGCGGTCCATGAACGCGACAAAATGCTCAGCCTTGCGAATATTGCCGGGCACGGCTTCCTCCAACACGTCATGGGGAAGCACCGGATTTGCCATCACCGAGTCAGTGGCCTGATTGGCTCGGTTATCGCGCAGGCCTGTGGAGCCGGCATCCCACAACGACGACAAGCCCGTTAAAAGCGGGTCGCCTGCCATCGCATGTGGATTGCGTGCAGCTGTAGCCCACCTTGAACCAAGTTCTGATATTCATGCCGGAGCTGTTCCGTGTTGCTTTCCTTCATCCTGTCGGGCCCCGACGAATGACGCGCCATGAAATCGGGGCTCAAAGTGGCATCCCAGGGCCTCCATGGTGCGGCCTACGTACTCTTTCACCTTATTCTTCAGAGATCGTAGATTGGCGGTGGCGCGGTCGAGATGACGTTGTTGAATGGTGACGCTCATGCTTTCGATGCAGACGTTATCTAGATACGGGCCATGCTCGTGAAAGGTACGTCGCCGACTTGTAATGAGGCAAAACGAGCATGGGATCAAACCACAGCACGAACCAATGTTGTGCGCCTCATCAAAGACAACAACCGAGTCCCGGCCCATTTCCCGAGACACAAGTTCAGCAATCTTGGGGTCAAGCAGGTAGTGGTAACTGTAAACGACAATGTTGGCGTGCGTAATCTGTGCATGTGATATGACCGAGACAAGTGTTGTTCCAACGTGAGCATCAGTCAAACTTGCAAGGCTTTGACCTCAACGTCCCATTGCGATGAAGAGACCTCAACGTCCCATTGCGATGAAGAGACACAATGTATTGTATGTGTGGCTTCCGGGGGTTGATACGCACAGCATAGCGCGCCAAGAAATAGGGGCAAAATTTGCGCTGTTCGCCAAAGACTTTGAGGTCCTCCTGCAGAGACAAACATGGGCGTAAATTAGCAACCAGAGGGTGATGGTGGCCAGCGTGTCGCACAACCCTCAAAATGACCAACAGACGCACAAGGTTGTAAACTCCTGCAGGAAGTGGGGCATCACGGCCATGGGCCTCAAAGCCCTGCAAAGGAAGCACATCAGCACACTTGGCATGAGCAAAAAAGGTCTTTCTTTCCCGCGCGCATGCCACGTTGGTACACGCGTGGCCAAATGAGCCTATTAAGCCAAACATGTGGCAGCCACGGGCCTCACATTGAAGTATGTACAGAGAGATTTGCCGTCGGCGGTCTTCTCGCGCACAAATGAGGCCGTCAGCTGGCGGCAGCGCGAATCCACGATGGCCCCAGTGCGCTCCTGGCTCACCTACAGACGAAAGCGGAACGGCATCAACACACCAACAAACAGCAAGAGTCATCAGGCAGCAACACTTCGCCACAAATGCGTCAGTCCGTCGAGGTGTCACCACAGGGGCACCAAACTGACGTCAGGATGGATGCACATGTTGCGCCGGGATGATAGTCCAAGGCCCAGGTAGTCCAGATTTCGGCCCATCTCTTTGGACATGTATGCAATGACGCGCTTCAGCTCGCCAAGAACCTGGCGCGAATGGGGCCGTGAGCAAGCCAGGCCCACCAAAGACTGTACCTGGTTGTCAATAAGAGGCTCGGACCTTTTCAATTTCCGGAACTGTTCGCGAACAGTAGATAAACTTGCCGAGGCGGCCAGGGTAGCCCTACACACGTGCATGCGTGCGTACATCAGGTCATGCACGCGCGAGTCACACCAAGCTTCTAGCCTTGGGATTCAGACAGCAGCATTCGAGGTGCAGGACGGTAATCTGAGCGACCGCACCAGCTGGTAGGAGACGATCAGAGAGAGGAGGGACACTGTTTTGCCAGTGCCGGAAGGCATCTCTAGCAAGGCATGACCCTAATGGAAGAAAGGCGACACATGCACGCGTGGTCATAACGGATGAGGTGAGGACACCAGTAGCCTCGCCCCGAGAGGAGCTACGACAGGAAGAGGCTGAGCGCCAGGCTCGCGCTCAAGGTTGAGCACACCTTGGCGTCGAGAGCTCGCTTAATCTCCTGCATATACTCATACTGCTCCGGGTAGATGAGATCGTATGGAAAGAACACTTGCAAGTCGTCAATCATGAACCTGAAACCACCCGGCCATCAGGTCAATCAATACATTGGCGGCGCGACACAAATCAGGGCGCGCCGCTCTTCCAAGAATGCAATGCACACATACTTCATCGTGCCGGTGTTTGCCAAGCCTCCAAAGCAGTCCACACCCCACCAACTTCACAGTGTCACAATCTTCTCCAATGCACGCTCAACGACCAAGGCTTGGCTGCCGTCAAGAGCAGCCGCCACTGCGCCGCCACTACACCCTGTTGCCCGCTGCCACACACACGTCGTCGTCGCCGCACACACACAAGAAAAAAGTATTTTCTTCCTTGGGATGAAGAAACGGCTTTGATCGACTTCCACGGCTCCGACCGGGTAATAAAGTAAAATACTTATGTCAACGCTGACAATTATGTATAGTGTGATGATTGACACATGATGGCAGAGAAGCGACTGGCGCGCTTCAAAAACCGGCGCTTCCGAGATGCGGATTTGCTGCGGGAACGGCGGCGGCTCCTCGCGCAACGTCAGTCTTGCGCATCGTTTGCCGGGTTGGAGGTGGCGTTTGCGGTTTGCGTGCCCGTGTGTGTGTGTGTGTGTGTGTGTGTGTGTGCGCAAAACGAGAGCATGGACTATGGGAAAAAAAAACCTGGGTGAAGCGGCCTCACAGATGCAAACGGGCTGATGTCTGAGCTCAGAGATTCGACAAGAGGGGCGGGCAGCCCAGCACAACTGGAAGCGGTCCTTTGTCGATCTTGAATCGGTTGATGGTCCCACCTACGCTGGTCAAGATACCTCAGTATGTGTCCTCGCCTACCTCAATGTGATTTTTATCCTCCATCCGCCTCGGCTCAAAAGCTTCTCTGACCTTCAGCTCCAGGCGCTCTGGGAGCAGCTGCAGTCCAGTCGCAACAAGGCCCAGGCACTCCGCCACATCGCCCACGCTCTTAATCTCAATGAGGAGAATCGGAGTCTTTTCCTGCAGTTTGTTCCACTCGCACACAACATTTTTGAAGCGCCTCTTGGAGAATTTGCTGCTTTCAGAACACGCTCACGGATTTGCTTCCCCGCCTCCCGTCACGATGTGAACCAAGGCTGCCTGACGCCGTCAAAACCTTGCTCATCTATCTCCTCAAGCCCGGGACGCAACTGGAGGTAAGGGTGATTTTTGGAGCTTTCGAGCATCTAACATTCCTTTTTCCTTCTGCCCACGCCTTGGCACTCACAAGTGTGCGCTGCTGGATGGCAGGCATGCTACTGCGTGACCAACCTTGCTGCCGGGGGCAGTTCAGCCGTGCAGGTGAGGTGAATGTTGTGTCTCAGCCGTGCGTGTGCAGCAACTTCAAAACACCCGATCCGATTCACGCCGTTCCTGTACCTTTTCTGTGCAGGCGCTCCTGGCCTCTGTGCCCTATTTGTTGGCGCTGGCACAAAGCGGTAGCCCCCTCCTCCTGGCCCAGGCCAGCTGGGGCCTCACCAACATGGCAGTCGATAGCCCGGGTATGCTGGTCTTGGCTCAATGCATCTCTCGCTGGCGCACACGCCTATACCAGCCCACCTCACGCCCGGTTGAACGGCTATAGATCTTCCACTGCGATTACTTGATCAAGGGGCTGATCAACTCGTCGTTTTAGCTCAAGTCCGTGTGTTCCGTCCTCGTCCAGGTTTGATCCGAGTTCAATTTTCAAACCTCACTCGAGCCATGCCAAATTGCAACGATTTGGTGCATAGACTCGGCATGAGAGCTTTGCTGCTGCCCATCTATGGCATTTGCTGGCGGCGCTCGCTGGCGGCTGTGACGATGCCAAGCAGCGTTTGATCGACAGTGGCCTGATCACTTTGCTACCTACAGCGTAGGTCCCTGCTATCGTCTGCTTTGTCCCATTCTAGCCTAATCTTGGTTTAGCCCGATCAGACTCACCATCCAATCTCCATCATCAGGCTCAAGTGGTACGCCGACGATCCCATCACTCTTAGCAGCGTGCTCTGGTGCACGGCGCTCTTACTTGGTAAGCGCCGGCGGCCAACCGACTCTGGTGTCATTGCTCAAACCAAATTACTTCCAGCTGTCAAAGCCCAAATGTCTATATCTCACCTTGTTTGGACGTTGTGCCCGCCCCCACCCAGGCGTGGCTTGGCCGCCCGAGGCAGTGACGAGCGTAGCGCTTGCTGTGGACAAGACCCAGGTTGCCGTTTCAGCCATGCTGCCGGCCGCCACTGCTCAAGAAGATCAGGACCAACATCACGTCGCCGTCGAAGAGAAGCGACTGATTGATGAAGTGGTGGGACTCTTGCAGGGCCACAGGCGTTGTGGGCTCTCAGTGCCCCATTTATGTTGAACGGATGCGAATCATGCCCCAGACATGGCTCACCTTCATCTTTCGATCCCTCGATTGACGTTGGATTGTGCTTTCGTAGTTGGCACACGGCTTGCTTCGCGTGGGTGGAAATCTTGCTGAGCATCCTGGCGTTGATCCACAGCTCTTGCTGCGTCTCTTGCAGCATGGCGAGCAAGTGGCTGCCGTCACCTCCACGTCTGTTTTGGCTCTTCCAACTTCTGCTTCGCTTGCATTTACGTTCCTTTTTCTTGACCGACCTCACCCCTGTATTTGGCCATTCTTCTAGCAATGCACTCGAGGATGAACTGTCTTGGTTTCGAGCTCGCCTCGCCCTTTGAGGCTTGATATAGCATCTGCTTTGCCCGCATCCCATCTCTTTGCGTGCACCTCGATTTATAGAAGCAGCTCCAATTGAGTGCATAAAATATATCATGTTCAAGACGAGCCCACTCTGTTGCATCGTCTCACTGTCATCTCAATTAGCAGAGAAAGGGCCCTCAGGCTGTAGCGATCATCTGACACGGGATCCTTATCGGGTGGATTTGGTAGATCAGAAATGTCCAACAGCCTTTGGAGTTTTTGATTTGACCTAAACACAAGAAAGTATGAAAAGAGAAGCAGAAAAGAGCAGCCATCAAGCATCCTAAGAACTATAGTATTCCAGATCTTGCTTCCACTTTGCCGCTTCCATCGCCGAGCTCGCGCGGAATGTATGGAGCTTCTCCTCGGACTGAATCAGCACCACGGTCGCATCTTCGGGATCCAGACGCACGGGGCAGCCGCGTAGATAGACAGACCCCGTGTTCTTGCCGCCTTCCTTCTTGTAGTAATGGAGGTAGCCTGCAGTCACCAACTCACAGAAGCGACTCTCCCACTTGCGCGTGCGCCCTGTGGACAGCTTGTCCAGATATCCAGTGCGCGTTGGCGCTTCGCCCTGCTTCTTTTTGCCTTTGGCCTACATTTTCCATCAGACACGTGTGAGTGAGCTCTGCGAATATGGCAAAAAGGAGCATGTGCATGTCGTGGACAAGCACATACCACCGGGGCCACCGCAGAAAAACCACCAGACTTCTTGGTTGAAGCCTTGCCAAACGGGTTGGCGCCACCACGCAGCGCTTCCTGCAACAGCCAACTCGGCAGGTGAGTGGTCGATTCGCCGTCGGGCAGAGAGTTGACGTGGCAGGAATAGAAGTAACTGGCAGAAGCCAGGTTTCAACTTACATCCTTGAAAGGATTGACGACATTTGTCTCGTACGTCTTGCTCTGATGCTGGTCTCCGTAACCTCCCGCCCTTTCCACGCCATCGTCTTCAACCACGACGGCCGCAGGCGCCTTCTTTTTCGGCTCGACGTGCTTTAATTGCACCGACTCAGCTGTTTGCTCAGAACTCGCTGCACTGCCAGTCTTTGTATTGCTGTTGCTGCTTGTGGCCTGGCTAGTAGCAGTAGCCTCTGCTGGCTTGGCAAAAGGGTTGCTCGCCTTGGGTTTGCTCGGCTCGGCGCCGGCACCATCGCCGGGCTTGGCAAAGGGGTTGACCTTTTTCTGCTTCCCCAAAGCACCAAAGCAGAGGCCGTCGTGGTCAGCACCAATTCAAGGACACAGGGGGTTCAATGCGGCAGGGCAGTGGCCAACGCAACAAAAGCGATGCCATCCAGTGTCCTGCAAACAAATTGAAAGATCGGCCTCGAACAACGCACCTCTTTTCCTGCAGGGGCCTTGCTAGCATTTGCAGGAGTGGCCGCAGTTGTTGTGCTTGCGCCCTCATTGGTCGTAGCCTTGCCATTCGCAGGCTTGGCCTCATTTTTGTTGGCCTTGCTCGCCTCAGCCGCTTCGCGCTTCTTCTTTTCAGCATACTGTGACGCGCAAAACCAAGTGCAATTGAGCGGAGCTTAGGAAGCATGACAGGGCGTGCATGTGCCTGACGTACCGTTTCCTTCTTCTTGTCTTTGGGCTCGAGCGTCTTGGCATAAGCTTCTCGGTAGCGTTCCAGAAACTTGGCCAAGTTTCCAAAGACCTCTTCCGAGTCGGTGTTTGGTCGCTCGCCAAAGTCAGCCAAAAGTTTGTTGTACGCCTTCTCTGTCTCAGACACGTCCGCATGCAGTTGAACTAGCTCCTCTTCAAACCTTTAGTAAAACAAAAACAAACAAGAATTAAACGCATGCACTTGTTCCATCAGTCCCCAACATCTCGCGCACACTGCAGCGCATCAACTTTGATCATGGCCAAGGCCCAAGGTGTGCCCGGCATGAGGCCCTGCTGGTATGGGACTGCCGAACCCACGAGCCTACTGACTTGTTGACAAATTTTTCTGTTTGCTTGAAAAACTTTTCCTGTGCCGGCGAAGGTGCCTCTTTGAGGTCTTCCTTCAATCGCTTGGCGCCGCGATCAATCTTGAGCAGGTCACGTGCCAACACCTCCACCTACACGCAGACCATTTGCGCTGAGAGGCGATGTATGCTGGCTCAATCTTTGGTTGAAAAGACGAGGGACACAAAAAAGAAGGAGAAGAAGAAAAAAAAAAAGAAGAAAAAAAAAAAAAAAGAAGAAAAAAAAAGAAAAAAGAAGAAGACATTCACCTTCCGACGTAAATCTGGCATACCTCGGCTGACAGACCCTTGACTGAAGCTTCAGTGGCCTTGCTCACGTCCGGAAGATCTTCAGCAAAGGGTAGCAGTTTGGGCGAAAATTGTTGCAAATGCTCAATGGCAAAATCAAGCAGGGTGGTTTTCTTGTCCCGGCCTGCACCAGAGACGCGCATCAGATGATGTCCAAGCTTCCAGCACGGGCCAATGCGCCTGCACACCACCTACCCTTGCTATCTGCGAGTTTGGTGAGAGACTTGAGCATGAAGCCGTGTGCGCCTCCCTTGGGCGTGCTCCCGTTGATGTAGTTGCCAATGGATAAGATGTGCCAGAGCACGTCCTTAAACTTGTTGCTCCCATTGAGTTGTTTGCAGGCGTTCAAAGTCAGGGAGATTTCCGGAGAAAGCTCCTCAAACTGCAGAGGGAACTACGACACGAGAGGAACAAGCAGGTGAGCTCGCGATGGCCATTCCAAGGCAAAAAACAACGCATTGCTCGTCACCAACCTCATGGATGGTCAACAAGAGGTCGAGGCGGGGCTTGAGGTTCGGAATCTCCATCAGCTTCAACAAGAACTGATCAATGTCGCTAAGTTGGCTCTTATCGCCCGGATAGCGCTTGTATGATTCAAATTCTTCTGGAGTAGGCGCCAACTTGCGCAGCGCAACAATGTACTCAACAGTCAGGCAGTCTGAATATCACGCAACACGACATTCCCCATCGTGCATCGACAATGAGCCCTCAGCCGTGGCAATGGTGGCGCGGTACAAGTTGGGTCGGACATCGATCGTTCATATCGACAAGCGGGTCCACGGCAAAGGAGCTTGATAGCACGAAATTCTCAACAGACCTTCGGAGGGGGGTAGAATATTGAGGCGTACGTCCAAGTCGTGCAGGGGAATCTTGAAGCCACGCATGAAGATACCCAGGTTCTGACCACGCTTCGCGTCGAGGAGAGTCTTGGGCTGCTCCGTCTTTTTCTTCTTGATGACCTTGGTCTCATCGGCTGCAAAGAGCTCCTCGATGCGATCTTGATCGACCTTGTGGTCGCCCTATTCAAGGCGTGCATGGTGGAACGTCAGGCATTTGCTCAGCAGCAGGCACGGGGGCACGTGTATGGCAGTATCCATCAACACTAACCTTGGGGATCAGATCGTTCCAAAAGGTCTTTGGCAGGGCCACATTGGTCACCTTGATCCAGTGGAAGGGACGCATTTTCGTGCGAGGCTTGATGGGTGTTCGCTGGGGAGGACCCATGGGTACCCCGAAACCTGCCGAGATCACCCCACAATTAGAAAACAAAACAAAACAAAACAAAACAGAAACAGAAACAGGAACAGAAACAAAGAACACAACAGCACATGCAGGTGTCACGACCTGCAATTTGACAAAGTGGTGATCTGGAGACACGAAACACAGGAAAAAGAACCAACCTGGCATGCCGGGCGGCGGGGGAATGCCACCCATGCCGGGCGGGGGTGGAGGCGGAGGCGCACCACCCATTCCCGGGGGTGGGGGCGGAGGTGGGATGCCCCCCATACCCGGAGGTGGCGGTGGGGGCGGAATGCCACCCATGCCTGGCGGGGGTGGGGGTGGAGGTGCACCTGCCAGACCTGGTGCCCCTGGTGGGGGCGGGGGGGCAGCCACAGGGGTAGTCTCCACTTGTTTCAGCTCATCCTCAACTACGAAGCAAAATCAAATCATACACCAGAGACGAGTGGTAAATAGAGTGAAGAAGCCATGGTTGATTAGAAACGGGCCAGTTGCGCGCATGGGCACCGCGCATACCCTTGCTTAAAGCTTGGCGAAGTTGTTCAATCTCCCAGTCTAGCACGGCCAGAGAAGGACCACCCTCCTGGGCAAAGAGAGCCTCAGCTTCAGCATGTGCCTTGCGGCCATCTGCTAGCTTTTTCTTGGCTGAAGCCAGACCGGCCTCGGCCACGGACACGAGAAATTCGGGCTTAGATGCCAGCTCCAGCTGTTCGCGTGCCTTGCTCAGAGTTTCCTCCGCAGCATCCATGTCATCCTTGTCATCTTGTTCCTTGGTTTGCTTGTAATTGCTGCAAGCACCCATGGAACAGCATCGATGTGTTGATGTACATGGGAGAAACACAATGAGTCATGACTCAAGGACACAGCACGTGATGCCGAGTGAGAAAGCAAAACCTACGCCTGCGCTTCCTTGAGCCTGGCTTCGGCCGCGTCGACGTTGGATTGCGCCCGTGCCGTCGCCGCTTCAGGGTCTTTGGCGTCCTCGCGAGCCTGTTTCAAATTGGCCTCGGCATCGCGAAGCTCTTCTTGTGCTTCTTCCATCTCGCGCTCAAACTTTTCAAGCCCACTCAAGCGACCTAGCTTGGTTTGAGCAGTATCGGCTGCAGCCTTGCGCTTCTCGAGCGTGGCCTGGATGTCCACAGGGGGCCATCAAGCACAACAGCAAAATCAGTAACCAGCACACACACAAACAGCCAACCAGCCAAAAGAAGCACAGAAACAAGCTAGAAGCAGCAATGGCATGCAATTTATTTGTAAACTTAATCGGCCAATGCTACCAACCTGCTTGTTCTTGAGTTTGTCTTGCAGTTCGTCGGGCGAAGAGTCGGCCGCGAGGCGACGGCCCTGAGTCAGACTGAGTTCCTGCTGTGCAGCTTCATGGGCGACGCGCGCGACACCAGCTGCTTCTCGCGCTTCGTCCACCTTGCTCTTGGCTGACACCTATCAGCATGCCACATAGGTCACATGTCAGCAGGTGGGTTGAGAGTCGCCGCGATTTCATGCTTGCTGCGTACCTCGGCAGGCCCCTTGGCTTGATGCAACTCAAGACGAGCTTGATCCAAGTCTGCCTCAGCTTTCTTCACAGCAGTGCCAGCCTCGGCGGCCTTGGCCTCGGCAGCCTTTTCTTCTTCTTCGCTGGGTGCGTCGCCACCAGCGATAGCCGACTCAAGCATGTGAATGTCCTGTGTTGCTTCCTGGACCTGATCCCGAGCTTCGCGATGCTCAACGCACGCCTGAGTGGCCACAAGAAGGGGGGCACGCAAGCAAACCGAAGACGGTGAGCATGCTATCTCGCGCTCGTAGCCCAAGCGTTGGGCCTGGGTTTGTCACTTGCTGCAAGAGATGTCCCATGACGCTAAGCGAGGCCGAGCAACCTTTTCCAAGTTGATCAGCCAGGTTCCCAACTGACCTTGCGTTGCAGCTCAAGTTTGCGAAGTGTGTCCTGCTTTTCATCGATTGTGGCGCGTAAGCTGCTCATTTTTGCCTCACGCTCCTTGACCTTGCGCTGATGTGCCTCTTCTTCACGGCGCTGTGTTTCAAGTGCCGCTCGATCCTAATCACGACACATGTTGAGACTTGATGAGAATCAAGTCCTGAATGCCGATCAAGCGCCGATTTGCACCTGCCCTGAGCCAAGAAGTGGGAGAGCTAGCCGGTTCGAGCGCGCGCAAATGACAGCGAAACCATAATTACGCACGGCAATCTCTTGTTGCTTCAGGTCGGCGGCTGTGGGGCCATCCTCGCTGCCCGGGGCCGGGCCACTCATGATGCGCTTGGGTGCCTTGTAACCCGCCTTGCGCACGAGGGTGAGTGTGACTTCCAGCGCCTGCAGACCCGCCTGAATGCGCTTCATGCAAGTTTCGCCATCGAGCTTGGCTTCGGCATCGGGAAGTACCGGCTCCTCATTGACGTGGGTGAGAATATAACCCTTCTCCACGCCAGCAGTTGCCGATACACTGCCAGGCTCCACGTTGGAAATTTCATTGCTGGCACCCAGACCCAAGCCCCACTTTTCCTCTGCAAAAACCGGTGAAGGGAAAGGTGAGCATGAGGCCGCGACTAAGCAGCAAAATGCATGACGATCAAGTTGATGCCACAACTCACCAGCAGAGGCACGTGTAATTGTGACTTTGAGTGGAGCGGCGCCATCCCCAGAACCGGCGACATAAGAGCTTTTGAGGAGGGCAGCCAAAACGTTTCCAGGCTTGCCTCCACCGCTTCCACCGCCAACGCCCGATAGAGCATTGCCCTGCAGATCACCACCTATTCTGTCCAAAACAGGCAGCTCGGATAGCTCTACGACCAAGCTTTCCGTGAGCCCTTGCAGGGCTGTGATTTTCTTGGCCCCCTCGCCACGGCCCACAAACTGTCAGGAGAAGGTAAGTTTTCGTTCATATACAACGGAGCACGTCATGGGTGATTGAGGAGCGTTGGGGCACAAAGCAGGACAGAGACGTACGGCTGAAAGGGCTGTCATTTCCTTGACCATTTTGGCCAAGATGCCCGTCAGCTTCTTCATCTGATTCTCAAGTAGGGCAGGTACCCCACCACCGCTACCTCCCTTCATGTTGATGGCTGTTTGCACAGCATCCACCCATTCATCCCGTTCAGCCTCGATGGCCCTAGTCATGGTCATCACAAAGAGCAGAGGGCGTGTGTAGAAAACACACATGAGTTGTAAAGGATGGCGGCTACAGCTGCTGTCACCGGTGAAGCAAGAACCGAGGCAAAGAGCAATGTTCCCGAACGCACTCCATGTTGGCGTGCTCGCCGATGGAGAGGACTCGAAAAGTAAAGTGTTTCTGTAGGCCATGACCCGGACAGCGCATGACAAAAAAGGAGGGGTGAGCTTGCGGCTTTGAGTTGCATCAGCTTTTGGGTTGAAGCCCCGAACCAATTGCAGGAGGCATACCTTGCCGGGAGCAATGACATTGAAGCAATCGTGGTCTTTTTTGGAGACGGAAGAGCCCTGGCCCAAAGTGATGATATTCAGGGCATTGCTGAGGTCATCTTCCTTGTAGTACGCCAACTCGCCGGGGCGAGCCACGAGCTTGCGCGTGTTCCAATTGAAGTACGCCAGGGAATGACCCTTCTTTTCGACCAGACCCTCTTTGATGCTTTGCTTCTTGACTTCGTCTGATGGCTACGCACAGGGGCGCAAGCGAAGGATGAGCCAATCAAACTGCCGGTGCAAAGGGGGACTACAACCCGGATGTTGCGCATTCCGCGAGACGCACCCCCATGCCAGTGCCACCGCCTTTGGTGTTGCGGTTGATGTTGACGATGACGGACAGGATGCGGAAGATCTTGTTCTTCTCTTCCAGGGAGTCGGCTTCGTACTCATAGGGTGGACGGGCTTCCCCCACGAAGTAAATGGTAAAGTGTACGCCATCCTGACCATTGACAAGGGAGGGGGGGAATCAGAGTTGGAGCAGAGGTCCAGAGCTTGAGGAGCGAGCAAAAGGGTCATGGCGGTCAAGGTTGACATACTTCGCTCTCGACACGTTCGATGGAAGAGAAGGGAAATTGGTTGTTGCGATGACCACGCTGAACGTTGCACATGACCTGAAACGAAACAGATACGCGTGAGGTTGGACTTTAAAGATGAAGGGCCCTCCAAGTAGAAATAAGCTTGTGTCGTTTCTGTTCGCTGGGGTGCGCCAGCAATGAAAGGCGGGCATACCTCAGTTTGAAAATCAAGCTGCAAGACACGTCGCTGAGCACCCTTCAGGCGGTTGAGCTTATACACACCTGGATCCATGCAAAATGTCAGTCAAGGGCCAACAGTCAGTCTGCGGTTGACTTGGCGCGCGGGGTACAACACATGCGCGCCATCTGGGCAGTTTGAGCGGGAGACGGACCAAAGTTGTAGATTTTATCGGCGTGTGGGCCCCACTTGCTGCTCACATCGGCTTGCTTGTCCTCGGGTTCAACTTGTACGCCCATACCTGACGAATGAGGGTGCACATGATGAGCAAAAGGCAACAGTTCTATTTGCATTTGTTTGTTGGAGGCGACATGTGGCTTCGCGTCTATACCCCGTGCGTGCTTGATTGCCTCTTCGATCGAAAGGTTTCCTTCCTATTGGGAGGCCGAGGGGGAGAGGAGTTCAAGCAAGGCGTGCGTCAGATGCGGGCGCTAAATTGGGGGCGAAAGGCACGCGTGAGGTCGTGCTGCTTGTTCTTGCGCGCCACCAACCTTGACCATGTTCATGAGAAGAATGCGTTGTGCATCGCCTTTTTTGCGCACGCGCACTTGGTTCAAGGCCTCGGCATGTCGCATGGCGTCCTCAGCACTGATGCTGCCTGATTGCACCATTCTGAGAAAGTTTCAAAAAGGCAGTCGCACAAAGGGTGAGGGCAGGACGTTTCACGAACGCTGGTTGGCTGTCGTGCGCGCAGGTCAAGACAAACAAGAAGAAGAGAGAAGAGAAAGAGAGAATGGGATGGAAGAGCCCGAGATAGGGACAGAACGGGTGGGCAAGGCGGAGAAAGGTGGGATAGAGAGAATTAAAAAACGGAGTCAGTGAGAACGAACTTTGTCACGGCGTCGAGCGTGGCTCGGTTGATGTCTTTCTCACTGTCTGCCTCATCATCTCCCGCTGGCTGCTGATGAGCCGAGGCAGCCGGTGCAGCTGATTTGCTGGCTGCTTTAGCAGCAGCCATCTCAACGGAGCGGTTGGAAACGGAGGAAGCGGAACGGCTGTGCCGGCTTTTGGTGGAAGACCCCCAGGCTGCACACGCAAGTACACTTGGTGAGGCTGAGTGGAAGAGCAGCGCGGGCCAGCTGGCGCCAGACCTTGACAAGAACACACACACACACACACACACACACACACACACACACACACACACACACACACACACACACACACACACACACACACACACACACACACACACACACACACACACACACACACACAGACACACACACAAAAAAAAAAAAAGAAGAAGAAGAAGAAGAAGAAGAGGAAGAGATTGGGAAAAGCACTAGAAATAAAATCTCATAGCGGAAAGCGGCTGTTGCCGGCCGATAATCGTACCAGATTTAGCTGGGGCCAGCGCAGTTGTCTGTCCAAGAGGTACAAGGGGGAGGCGCACGGGCGTGCGTGTGAGCATGTGTGGACTAGCGCAGTAGATGGCACAGAAAATGCTGGCCTGGTTCTCGTCGTCCAGGCAAGGAAGGCGCATACCTCGCGATCTTTACGCTCCTGCTCCTCGATCATCGTGGCCCGCTTGAGAGCTTCATCCATACTCATGCCCTGCTTGACCAAGTTCATGATCTGCAGCTGGGCCTCATTGGAGAGCTGCGGCAGCGCGGCGGCAGCCCCACCCCGACCCGCCATGATGCTGTTCGCGACAAAGGGCGGTGGTCGTGGTGCCTGTTCCAGCCAAGCAGTGGTGAAACCGCAGGCGAGAACGACTCCAAGGCCTGAGACGCGGCGTGGAGCAGGATCAGAAGCAAACGTTTTGGTGAGCCGAGGACAACTCGTATGCGGAGAGCGAGCAGAGGTCGACCCTTGTTGTCAAATGTGGGTGCACTGATGAGAACAGCTACGGGGTTGCTGTTGGGAAGATTATGTGTCTGGGTTGTGGTGCTTGCTGGCCACACCCAACAACAACAACAACAACAACATCGATGTACTGATAAAAGTGGCAGACCCCCCCGATTTCCGAGAGCAGAGGCAACCATTTCGGAGGGGAGGCATGGTTCATACTGCCCAGTATCAGAGGAAGGTCTTACCGCTTGATGCCTCGGGGCTTGCGCAGCCCAGGGAAGTCGCGGGCGTTCTGCCACCGTCGACTCCACCCGAGAGACTTTGTAGCTTTCAAAGGGCAGCGTGCGCAAGCGCATAAAACGCCCCGATCTGCTGCCCCGCGAGCGGTGAACCGTTGCGTGCACCCAGCAGTACAGCCTTTCTTCAGGGCATAGAGTCGAGCGTGCTAAGGTGCCAGCGAAGGGCGCAAAATGAGCTGAGCGCGCATCATCCCAAACGACAGCAGAGACCGCGCGCGCACTGGCTCCTCCTCCTACCTCGTCGTTGTCGTCTAAATCATGCAAAAACGCGCCAAAACAATAACAACAATAACAGCAAAAAGATCTGCAACATCTTTAATCCCCTTTATACAGGGGGACCAAGTCTTTAGAGCAATCACAACAACTTCCTCAAATCTATCTGCATTATATCCAAAGCAAAAAACTTCAGAGCCGGAAAACAGAGGAAATCTCCCTTCCTAGTCTCCCAGTCTCCCAGTCTCCATATACCTCCAGTCTTTCAGTCTCTTGGCGCTCTGAGTGTGCTCTCCTCCTTCCTTCGGCGAGGGTTGAAAGAGCGCGATTCAGCGACGTGCGTGGCCGAGAGAGCAGCAGGTCAGAGGAGCCGGGCTATTGGAGGCGAGGGCCTGAGACCATCCCAGGAGCCAGGTCACCTTGCACCTTGAAACTAAAAGTCGGCTGATCATCGATGGACACGCGGATGTATTATACTTTCCTCTTCTTAAAAGAAGATTATTGGGGGGTCAGTGTGTAGGCGTTTGGGACAGTTTGACCCTCGAAACGGTCAGAAGTTGAGGGAACAAAAGAAAGACACAGTCCCAACCCGCCAACGGCAGCGGGTCGAGATCATTGCGCCTGTCGCGGCACTCACAGGAGCTGCAGCGCCCATCCAGCAACTTTCGTAAACAGACAGCTCCGTGAGCTATTTAACGATACCCAACTTGTGGTGCTTTGTAGCCACACTACTTCAGGCTCGCGAGCTAAACGTAGGGGCCGTTCAGGCCGCCATCCTTGACCTGTGCGCAGACCTGCTCCCATGTCCAAACGCCGCTCCCGTGCGGCAGCCACCGCGGCCGCGGCGGCAGCGACAGGTCAGTTTTTCAAATGCATTTGTTGAGCGCTCGTACCTGACACTTGAAACCATTCTCGCAAGGGCTCGAGCCAAGCTGCGCCGGCCTTTGGCACCCTTCCCTTGGCGCACGCTCACACGTGTCACCGCGTTCATACCACCACAGATGCTGCGCCAAGTCCCAAGCGCGTGGCCGTTCGTATTGACATGGATGCCATCAGCCGCCTACGCATGCGCAAAGGTAGGTCGAATCGCGCGGCTTCGTGTGTGCCCGGGCCTCGGCTTTGCCATCGATAGAGCTCACATCGTCATATCTGCTTTCGCCAAGCCGTCATCGCCCAACTCCTGGACGATTTGGAGGCCATGTCAATTCATAACAAGCCCATCACCCAGGTATCGCTGGCCTCTGCCCGTCAAACTGTGCGCGCAACGGAAGATCCACCCCTCCTCTTTCTTTTGCAGGGAAAAAGGCATTCAAAAGGCATGGGCCTCGAGCGCACGAGGCAAAAAACTTATCACAAATGCCTTCTCGCGATCTCGCGCTCGCGCTCCTTCCCCTGTCTTAGCCCTTCAAGGAGCTGCCGTCTGAGAATGACGAGCCAGCATACTATCAGGAAATCGAAAAGCCCATCGATTTCAAAAGCATCCGCGCCAAGTTGAACGGGGGCCGCTACAAGCTCATGCGCAGCTTTTTTGACGACATGCTGCTCCTTACCGAGAATGCCTTGGCCTACCACCGCCCTGCCTCGCACGTACGATCTCATCTCAGCTCTCCGAGCTTGCTTTGGATAGTAATTGACTACACACTCATGCTTCCCTGAACATGGCGTGCAGGCTTACAAGTGCGCGCTCAAAATCCAAGAGACAACCCTCCAACGCTTTGAAACCCTGCTCGCCGACAGCGCCCAGGACAAGTGTGGCTCGCAAAAGGCGCGCGACGCGGCCACGACCGAAGCCGAATCGGCTCTCCTCACTGAAGAGCAGGCGGCTGCACTCCGCTCGATTGAGCTCCTCAAGGCTCGTCGCGAGGGAGCCCAAACACCGTCAGCCGTGAAGAATGACCGCCGTCGCGGCAAGATCATTGATGCTCTGTACGCTTCTGCCTTTGTGCGACCCACCCGCCACCACGTACCACACTCATCATTCCCGTACGGATCACACCTCACTTGCCTAGCCTCCGCGTACGCAACAAACATACCCGCGAGCGACACTGCGAGCTTTTTATCGATCTGCCCCCGCGAGACATGTACCCAGATTACTATGAAATCATTGCGACACCCATCTGCATTAACGACCTCAAACAGGTGTGCCCTGCTCCATGCATTTGTTCTGATGTTGCGTTGCTGGGGCGGCTCATGTCCTGCCAACCTCTCCTCTTGATGCTCGACTCACTTGCTACATTTCTTTTCCCTTTAACCGCACCAGCGCGTCCGAGAACCCGAGTATTTCCTCGAGGACTTGATGCGCGATATCCGGACGATGTTTGACAACGCCTTCACGTACAATTCTCCCGGTACCATTGTTTTTGACGACGCCTTGGCCCTTTTGGAAACAGCCGAAAACATGCTGACGCGTTTCCTCGACGAAGAGGCCGCTGACGAGGCGAAGATGGCATCCAAGAAGAAGAAAAAGGCACGTCCCATCCTCCCGTCGTCACCGCGCCTTGGTTTGCCCGATGGCAACTCACCCCCTTCCAATATTATCCCGATAACAGGAGCAAGCTACGCCTGCCAAAACCGCTCCTACTACACCGGCCCCAGCCCCCGAACCCCGTCGCAGCTCCAGTCGTCGTACCCGAGGCGCCGCAGCAGAAACGCCCCCGCCTGATGCCAAAGCGCCACGCAAGGTTAAACTCAAAGTCCCGGGCCAGCCCACCATCAAGGTGAATACACCATGCATCCCCCCTTGTTCCTGCACAAACCACCAAGCCTGATGTCCCTGCAAACGATAGCTGACGGTGAACGAGTACATGGAGCCGCGACCGGCCTCCGGGCTCAAAATCAAGCTCAAACTCAACCCAAGCAAATCAGTCGACCAAAGCTCAACAGAGTACAAAGAGGTGAGCCATGGCTCCTGCGCCCTCAGCTCGCTACTTTGGTTCTGCACTGGCTCCGACGCCTTGATGCAGAGACACACCTCATTGAAAACGTTGCTTCCTTTGTTTGTTGCACAGATTCGACGACTGCTCAACGCTATCCGCTCGGCCCGCAATGAGGAGGATGGTTACGATCTTGCCGAGGTGAGTTTGAATTGCACAGTGGGTAAAAATGCTCATGATACGCCCCCACTGACACGGGATGTGATGGTCCATGGGTCGACAGCCGTTCTTGGAGCTACCCGATCGCAAGCAGTGGGCGATCTACTACCAAGTCATTCAAAAGCCCATCTCCCTTGAACAAATCGAGGACCATCTGCAAAAGGCGAAATATGCAAACCTTGACGCGGCACTGGCCGACCTTGACCTCATGTTTGACAACGCCACTACCTTCAATCAGGCCGATTCGGAGCTGTACCAGGTGCACCTCTTGGCCCTACTCATCCCCTCACCCTCCCTGCCCCCTCGCTGGTGCTCAACTTTAGACGCATGCCTTCTCTCCTCACATTCACATTCACATGTTTTTTTTTTCTCAAGGCATTGGCCCACGAAACAGTTGCTCGCCTCAAGCAGGAGCGGGCCCAGACTTCTTTAGCCGCGGCCTCGCCTGCTGCCAGCGGCCAGGCTTCGCAAGGGCCTCCCATTAAGATCAGACTCACCAATTTGCAGTACGTCTACTGGAGCTGTCCACCGTTGGCTGACCGCGAATGGTCGGACCGCCACCATCCCGACCAAACTCACACCGGACATCGCCTTGCTGGAATATAGGAGGCCTGGAGCTACGACCAATGCCGAAGCAAAGTCCTCGGCTTCTGCAGGTATGGCGCCAAGCTACATTGATCTGACTCGTGAAACGCTCGCAGCTGCCGGGGGCTTAACTCACTATTGCTTGGGGTGGAATGTATTGATCGTGCTTGCGTTCAGAACCCACCGCTTTCCGACTTTTGCAAGATCGCACACGCTACATGCTAGCTAGGTAGGCATCGTCTTGGCCCTGGCATCAATTTTTGCATGCGGTGCATGGTCTGTATCTCATCTTGGTTAACTGTTAGTGATGTGGCCAATGCACTGGGCAATGTTGGGTCAGCAACCAAGCTGTTTGAGCGATATACTGGCCTGTGGCGCCGACCCCTGTCTCAAAAAGTGAGTGCTCGGCTTGGCCAGGCCGTGGGTCTCAACTGGCTACCAGGTTGTGGATATGGACATCGCTGACTGTCGGCGCAAACACCCTCACTAATACTTTGCTTTCGTTCGTAGGAGCGAGGCTATGCAGCCGACGAGTTGAAGCGTACTTTACCTGCTCGAGTGACCTACATTGTCAAGGCCAGCGAGGCGCAGGCGCTTCTCAAGGGGCAGGGAGAAGACTACATTGAAGCCAATAGTGAGTAGAATACCGCGGCTTCGCATGGACCTTGACTTGAAGCGAGCTGACTGAGTGCTTGCGTGTGATGGTTAGCTACGCCTGCGCACGCGGCTTCTGCCGCCGTGGCGGCCTTTGACCCCGAGGATGCTCCCGTGACGGCTGAGGATGCGACACCTGTCGATGAGGAGGATGACGTTGATTGGTACCACCGGGACCCTTGTATGTGCCTGAACGTTTTGATTTGATTTCTATTCTCTCTTGAGCAGGACGCCTGTATTCATGTTGTTGGCTCACTCTTTGATCTTCAGCCGTATACCGAGCGAAAAAGCCGATGGAACTCCGTCGTCTCGTTGGCCGTGACCTATGGCTGGTACGGGCGTCAAGCACATGTTGTTATCATTGGGCCCCAGACTATCAAGCACTTACTTTGTTACTTTGTGCAAACCAAAAAATAACGAAAAAAACAAAAACGAAAACAAAACAAAACCGTTGCCCGGATGTAGGGATTGCTGGATAACTTGCGTCAATACACCAACGAGGCTGATGATGCCATCGCCGAGCCGTTTTGGGAATTGCCGACTCGTGAGGTGGGTGGCTTCACGTTCATCAACGTTGTGGCTTTCTTGGGCTTGAGCTGTTTTTTTTTTTTTTTTTTTTTTTTTTTTTTTTTTTTAATGAGAAGCGGCACCGTGACAGCACTCACCGGGCGGTTTGGACGAAATACACAGGAGTTGAAAGATTACTACTTGACCATCAGCTCACCCAAGGATTTGAAGACTGTCTATCAAAATGTCAAAGCCGACCGCTACACGGTGCGTCGACCTGTTTTGAATGAGCATCCTTCTTTTCAGACCTCAACTGACACACTTTGACTTGCGTTTTCTGCGGTGCCCTTGAATCTTTTCAATTCTTTGGCGGCTCTAGAGTGCCGAAGCCTTTGTTGCCGACACGGTCCTGGTCTTTCACAATGCCATGGTCTACAACCACGAGGCAAGCGTGCTTTGCAAGTTTGCACAAAGCCTCTTGCAAATCTTTCAGACCCAAGCTCGACGCTTCCTGCCTGCCCAGGTAAGCCATTCAAACTGCACGCCCTGGAGACAAAGGGCTTATTGGAAAAAAAAAGAAAAAGATAAAAGAAAAAAGCCCCACTCAGGCCACTCCAATGATCAAAAGTTGGATGATGGGGTGGGAGTGTGCCCATGCACACTGTTGTATCATTGCCGTGCACTCCGTCCACTTACACCTGTCCTTGGTGTGGTTGTCATCGGGGAATTGCTGTAGGCCGTGTGTGCCTGTCCTGGTCTCAAAACCATCTCCCCCCTCAGCTCACTGGCGCTGGTACGTTGGGATTGCGCATCGTGCTTGTCTTTCAAAGCGGACTTTCATGTTCACGGCCTGTCTTTCAACCTTTAATGTCTAGGCGCTTTTGAGTGCAATGCGGGCTATGCGCCAGGGCAAGCGTGCGCTTTGCGAGGAGTTTATCAGCCTGCCTGACCCGGATGAGTTTCCGGATTATTATGTGGCCATCTCCAAGCCCATCACCTTGGCCACGATCCACGAGAACATTTTCAAAGAAACTTACCATAATCTTGAAGAGGTTGGATCGTGCAGAGAGTAATCACCGCTGCTCTATTGACGCCCTCCCGCCCGCCCACACACACACACACACACACACACACACACACACACACACACACACACATACACACGAGTCTTTCACTCTTGCTTGTAATGACATCGCATAAATAGTTTGTTGATGAAGTCAAGGAGATGTTTTACAACGCTCGGTTCTACAACGAACCATCGTCTTCGGTAAATTTGTCTGCTCCAGTCCGATGTGAGCCATGGTTCGGCCCAATCTTGAGCTCATTCAAAGATCTTCCGTGTGCAGATCCACCAAGACTCGATTGCTCTGCAACAGCACTTTGTGCGCAAGCTCCATCAGGTAGCGGGCTGTGGTGTACCCGGCGCCAAATGCTACCGAATGGCCGTGGAACTGATTGCCACCAAGCACCCACTTACCACATGGCTTTGCTTAGTTGTGTGCTCAGCAAAACGTAGAGTCAAGTGCATTGCGCTATACCAAGGAACAGTTTCAGCTCGAACTAGCTGCGCAACAACAAAAAGTGTGTGGAAGCTCCAACTCAACTTGGCACCCTGCTCAGTCCCATCTGCGGTCTCTCCCATTCTTTTCAATGTGAATTTCGGTTGTACCCGCTTTTTTCCAGATCAAGGCCGCAGTTACTGCGATCAAGGTGGCGGAGATTGATCCCGCGCGGCGTAACGAGCTGGCTAGTTACCAAAAACCCGGTGAGCATTGGCATTGCTCGGTTCGATTGTCTTTTGCAACTCAGGCTCACAATCTCAGCCTGCGCCTCATTTCGTATGCTTTATCCTTGGATACAATGTTTTGCAGCCGACTCGAATGGGCCTGCCTGTACCGTTCCCGTGGGCTCTTATGTGTTGCTGGCCAATGACAGCAATCCCAAGAAACCCAAGGTGGCTCAAGTGGAGAGCATTTTCGATGTTCCCAAAATGGGCACCTATCTCGAGTACGCACACGCGCTTGCGCCATACATTGTGGAGGGGCAGGGTACAATGGATGGGTTGCATGTGGGGTGGCACGGCATTTCGCGCCTCCGTTCACCTGAGGTTGCTTCATCGTGTCCCACCGAGCTCAGAGTCAGCTACTTTTGGCGTCCAGAAGAGACGTATCATGTGCCCACAAAGACCTTTTATGCAAACGAGGTCATGGCCGTCAAGGAAACCTACGTTCACGCCGCCTCGGATATTCTGCGCCCCTGTGCCGTCATGTTTGTACGTTATGGCTTGTGGTCGTACTCGCCAAGCAGCCTTGCCCACTTTGTTCTCCTCGCCTTTTTGCGCCAGCCCTCTTCTCAAATTGCTTGGTGACCATTTGGGCTCAGATTCGGGATTACTTGCGCTTTGAGCCTGCGGACATTCCAGAGAAAGATGTCTTTGTGTGCGAGTCGCGCTACAATGCCAAGACTCGACAAATTAAACCAGTCAAGCAGTGGCAAGCACCAAAGCATGAAGTGCGTCTCTGATCTTTCAGAGTGCGAGTGTTGTTTCGTTTTTTTTTTTCTCCATTTTCCTTTTCTCGCATTCTCTCCTCTGCTGCAATTCTCTTACTTTGTCATCATTGTTTCCTCTATCACCCTAGCTGGCCACCAAGCGCCGAGCGCAAACGCTTCTGGCCCATGCCATCCCACGCGTCAAATCGGTGTATGCCACTGCAGATATGCTGTCCGGCATGCCCATGCTCAGCGATGCGCGCAACAAGGTCGCAACCGATGTGCAGCCACCCGCCAAGCTCAAGGGCTACAAGTTTTTTTCCGTTTACTACATGGACAACCGCCCTCTTTGTCCGGGAGACTACGTCTATTTCAAGTCCGAGGACGACCAGCCGCACCTGGCGCGGATCGACTTTATTTACGAGAAGGATGACGGTAACGCCTTTTTTGTTGGTACGATGCCTCAAGCCTTGTGGGGGAGGAGTGTTTTTTTTTTTTTTTTTTTTTTTTCCAAAAAAGTTGCGCCTCCAAACCGCATTGACTCGTTGTACTGACAATGCATTATTGGTTGTGGTTCACAGGCCAACGATTTTTGTACCCGGGTGAGACGATGCATCAGACATCTCGTCTGTTTTATCCCAATGAAGTTCTTCACTGCGATTTGGAAGCCGAGCAGCCCGTGCAAACCATCATTACACATGCCTACGTGCTTTACATCTCGGTATGGACTCGCCAAGCTGGGCGAGCGAGGTTCAAAGAGAGACGTCTACTGTTCGAGCGGGCCTGTCCTCACATCAAGAACACTCATTTTTTTTTCCTGGTTGGGTCAGGACTACGTGCGGCGCCGGCCCTTGAGCATCAGTCCAAGCGACGTGCACGTTTGCGATAGCAGTTACTTGCCCAAGGACGAGAGCATTGTCAAAATCAAGGTCAGCGTGACAGCTTTACGCTTGGGCAAGGCAGTCGGTTACCTACTTTGGCTGTATGCTTGTATTATGCTCATGGATTCCCATATCCTGCGTGGGTGGTGCTGTTGTTGGTGTTCACAGGGCATCGATGCGCCACCATTGCTTGAGTATATCGAATTACCTTCGCGCCTCACGATTCGACGCACGGTATGCTGCCAGCTAAATTGTCGTTGTCATGCTCAACCCTACTGCCTCTAGTTCCCATTTGTAAAATCCCACGTGTGCCTCTTGATTGCCAGACTCACCTTTTACCCTCACCTTTGTTGATATCACCAGGAGCGTTCGCCATTGGTGCATCAGCAGCGCGAGCAGGAGCGTGCCGCACCTGAGCCCACCAAGCCAGTCAATGCTTCAGAAGCAAAGGCTCAAGACTCGTCTCCGGAGAAGCGATCGGCATCAGAGGTGCGAGCTGCGTGTCTCAAAATGGCTGGATGGTAGCTGCTGCGTAGCATCCGTGCTCCCTGCTCACATGCAATGTTCACGCAGCGCCCCGAACCAGAGCCGGTGACCGACCTGAGCACGGGCCGCACGGTCAGTTAAATGACTGCAGCATCGGCACAAGAGGGCACAAGGCATGCACGCGCGACGCTCTTGAGGGCCCTGACCTGATGTGTGTGTTTGCTTCCAGGACGAGGATCCTCAACGCCGCAAGCCCTACCTCAACCCTTTTATGGCATTTGCGCGGTGTATGTCATCATGCGTGTGGGGCTGCGGAGAGGTTGTAGGAGGATTTGGAAATTTCAGCTGTCTCACATGTTTGCTTGTGTATCACGCGGTCCAATGTATTGGTTGTGGGCTCGGACAGACTACCGCCACGAGTTGTTAAAGCAGGATGAGATGCCCGATGACATTGGTAGCGCGATAGAGGATGCTTGGGACGAGCTTTCCGAGGAGGAAAAGACCCAATGGGGCGAGCAGGCGCGCCAGGTGCGACACATTGCTGCATCACATGTTGGTTTGTTTCCATGCGATTGCACCTGTGCTATCGACTCACGAAGCGTTGACCGCACCTCTGCTTCAGGAAACAACGGAGCGGCAAGAGCAGCTGTTACCGGCAGCGCCCATCTATGGAAAACGGCGCTATCGACGCGAGCCTGAGCCTGAGCCGACAATGAATGACCCCGAAGTCTACGTCAAGGCCAAGCGAATTCAAGATAATTTTGAGGCTGCTGAGCTGGCCAGCGCACACAAGCGAACGATTGTAAGATTCTTGCTCGCGAGCGTTGCGCCAGGCAATAGACCCAAGGCCATTCTTGCACGGCTGTACCTTTCGCTCGGCTTATGATTTTGCTTGCCTTATCCCCGCAATACAGGTCAGCGAGCCGGCCAAGAAGAAGGAGCACTCGATGGCCACCATGGTAAGCCGGTTCCGTGCCTTGAGAAATCTAGAGGCGCGCTGTTGTGCGCACCGCACGGTGTACGTGGCGAACCCTTCTCAAGCTTCACTGATGATGTTTTGAAAAATGTCTTTGTCATGTTTCGTTAGGAGCTCAACAAACGAATGTATCAAGTGACGGATCGTGGGAACGAGCGTGTGGTGCTACGTAGGTCTCTCCTCGAGCTTGTATGCTTTCCCGCTTCCTGGCACGTGTACTCATTTATTTGGGGTGTGACTCGCATGTAACATATCTGTTCTTGGAGCAGCCGGCAAGGCCGACACGCCGACCGGTTACACCATGGACCCCGACCGCGGTGTGTCGTATTCGCAAGCGTATCTTGATCACTTGGCCAAGGTGGCGCAAACAGAAACATCGGCGCCGCCAGCTGCTGCGGTTAGCGCTCCGGCGACTGCGGAAAAGCGCCTCTTTTTGGAAGCCATCATGCAGCTCGCGCACGGATTTGAAACTTCCTGAGTTATTGCTGCGCTTTGAGTATTTTTCTTCCCAAGACAATGCTTGTGACGATCATGCCGAGCAGTCGTTCATGAAGCTTGCCTCTTTTGATTGTGTTGACATGCCCTGTGTACTTTGTATGGACTCTGCTTCATTGCTTTGCCGAGGCGTCGGACCCGAAAGCCCTCGATGCTGGCACCTGAAGGCATGCCACCTTGATAAATTGAGTTTACCGGTCATGGAACTATAAACGACAACCCGGCAGTTTTCTCAGGGTCGCAGCCACTGCAGTCGCAGCAAAGGACGCGCCACGAAGCCGAGGCCGAAAGGGCAGAGCGCTGCCAAGAGCACTCAAGCCGTCGAGTTGGCTGAGCCAGCGGGTTGCTGGGCAAGAATGCTTTTTAATAGCGGTACTCAAGTGACCAAGGCAAGTTGCCGGGATCGCTGCCCAGCACGGGGTGGGAGACGATCTGTGGCACGAGCGAGCACGACATGAGGGCACGACTTGTCAGGATGGGAAAGGAGGCAGGGGCTCTGCGATTTTCCACTCGGTTGAGTACGCACCTTTTTGTTGTAAATGTCATAGCCAACAAGGTGAAAAGGTGCGGTTGAGGTACCATTGCCAGCCTCGAGCTGACTATAAAGAATGCCAGTACGCGAGTCGATGGTCGCGATCCCGCCGTTTTCAATCAAGTAGTTCTGATGTTGCAAATGCCAAGGCGTCCGTGCCCGTGAGCCGAGCCGGGCAAGCACCTGATGCAAGTGAGACAAACAGGGCGGAATTTCAGGGACGGACCTCGATGGTGCTGAGGCGCTTGACCTCGCCAGTGGCGCCGTCTAGGCTGACGATGGTGCGGGCATCCGCAGCAGTGTCAAAGCCGAGGCCGTACATGATACCCATGCGGACATCGTACGACAGGGTGCTGACCAAAAGGCTGCCTTCCGGTTTGATCTGTCGAGGGGTAGGGGTTGGGGGTCGCCATTGGGGTCAGCACACGCGGGGCCGACCGTGCAAAATGCCGAGGACTCCATACCTGGTGGCGGATGGTACCATCGTGGGCATCAAATCCAAAGAGCTGGGTGGTCACGTCGCCCGAATTGTTGACGGCGTATTGGATCCACACAATCTCGTTTTTGGCGTCATAGGCGTGACAACCACCGAGCACGCTTAGGTCGCCAACGCTCGCCAGTTTCCTGGCGCAACGGAAAGGGAAAGGAAAATGTCGGTCCGGGGTAAGAGATGTGGTGTGTGCGGCTACCTCATGGCTCTGATGGATGAGTAGTCATGCGAGAAAAAAGAGTGGCAAGTCTGACTTGAGCTCATGGGTCTGGCTGTTCACGCGGTACAGGTTGTGCTTTTGGTTCGAGTCGAGGCCGGACACAAAGACATCGCCACTGAAGGGATCAACGTCCACCGTTTCACCTGGGCAAGGAATCAAGGGCAAGGAGGGCGGGTGGTCAGTTTGTGGGGCCACTGAGGGTCTGAGGCCCGGGGTGAGGCGCAGCCTTCAGGTGACACACCGACGCCGATGAATCCAAAGGTGGAAAAGGGGAGCTCAACGCGAACATCAATGGCGCCCGTATCCAAGTTCAAGCCCAGGAGCGCATTCACCTGTAGACGGGCAATCCTAGGGATCAGTCTCGTGGGGCGGGAGACGAGACGCTGCTTTGCCTCCAGCTCGCGAGTGAATTCTAAGCAGGGCCGGGATGCACATACCTGGGTGGTCAGGTTGAAGCCCACAAAATAATAGATGCCACGCATGCTGTCCATGGCGGCGAGATTCTACGGAGGCCAGCAGGCCCGCGCACGTGAGGCCACAGGGTGAAGGTGTTGGACGAGGAATCTCGTCCGACTGAGGGGAGACGTGCAGATCGGGGAGACGCTTCAGAAGAGGAGAGACACAGTCGACCGAGCCGACCTGGGCTTGGGCTTCATTGGGCAGATCGACACCGATTGGGGTGCTTTTGCCCGTCTCCACATTCACCTTAATCAAGCCAAGCTAAGATAAGAGCCGATACCCCACGATTCCGTGTGAGCACTCACGCACACACAGACCGATGGAGCGTTGCGCACATGACGGTGCCAAACAACCTCTGACCCTGGGATCGCGCGAAAGCGGCTCGGGCATGTGCCCCACCGAATCACACCAAGATCGCCACTTACGTTGGCACTGATGCCATAGAGCCCCGGTCCCGGCCCCGCAACCTTTTCCCCAAGATGAGCTTGCTGAACGGGAATTGCTGTGGCAGCCCCGGCCACCAAGAGCACGAGCGCCGCCATCGCCGCCATCTTTGCCATGCCCGAGCCAGTGCCAGTGCCAGTGCCAGTGCCAGTGATCATCATCCTGCTGTTGGAGGTGTCTGTTGTTTTGATATTCGATGTGATAATGGGAGAGAAGAAGAGAAGAGAGAGAGAGAGAGAGAAAAGAGAGAGAGAGAGAAAAGAGAGAGAGAGAGAGAAAAGAGAGAGAGAGAGAAAAGAGAGATCATGTGTGTGAGGCGCAATCAAAATTCCTATTAACTTGTTTTTGTCAGACTCGAGAAACAGCGGTTTTACTCCCAAAAATGCCAAAAACACCTGCAAACGACTGGGGTTTTGCGCATCTGGAGAAAAAAAAATGAGGGTCGTGCCTGCTCTCCAAGGCGAGATATGGTTGTTTTATGCTTGATCTAGCTGGAAGGGGCCGTTGTCTCTGGATCGCCATTACCAAAGAAGTCTGGCGTCTGTTGTCCCAGTTGCCCAGGAAACTGTGAAACGACTGCGGTGAGATACTCATGCCTGTTCAGCTTGCTGGTGGCACGCAGGGAGCTGAGCGAGGGAATCGCGAGCTTCATACCCGCCAGGTCTTCTACTGCGCGAGCTGCCACCTGATCCATTGTCACACCAGGTCGCAATAGATGAATCCGCTGTTCAGCTGAATCAGGTGTGCACCGGATCGCAACTTGTCCGGGCCAGCTGGCGCTGAACTCAAAGTGCGACATGAGCGAGATGTCTGGAATGCCCTTGTCAAGAAAGTATTGGCCAAGAATGGCTTTCCAGTCGATCCATTCCACTCGATTTCCCGGCTTGCAGATAGAAGCTGGGCAACTGGCACTGACGACATCCATCATGTCTCTTGGGGTCCACACGTCTCGTCTCCGCAACTTGCGTTTGATCAGACCAAAATAGGCATCACAGTGATTCTTGGTGTGCCCCAGAACCATGAAATGTAGATTGATGGTCTCGCTCAAGCCAACCATGATACGCCAGGCGAGATACTGCATCACGAAGCGGTTCTTGTTCTGACCTGCACAATTGTCGGCATGCAGCTCAAGATATCGAGCTTGTGGTAGAGAAGCCAAGCGTGGGTCGGCAAGGGCATCGTGTAACATGGAACAGACACGATTGGCATCTTTTCCCATCGGCCAGTGGCCTTCAACAAGCACGTAGTTAAACTGCTGCTTCGTGTTGCTGATGGCCACGCCAAACAGGTCAACCTTGAGTCCAGACGCAAAGTACATCTTGCCTGGCTGATCGAGAACTCGTGGCAGCAAAACTTTCTCAGCAAAGTCGAAGGTGAGGTGCAGAATCGGAGCTCCTGATGCCTCAGCTTGCCTACGGGTCTGCTGGTAGATAGTGCGCTCCACAAGTGCTCTCGCTCTATGAGCGGCAAGGGTCTCCGCAATGCTTGGAGATTGACTGAGGAGGGCCTTGAGGCGCCCACACTCATCGCAAAAATCAGAGCCAGACTTGCGAATTCGAAGTGTTGGGAGGTGTGCTTGCCAAACTCGAAGAAAGGCAGCACGGGAGAGGGGAGCGTCAGAGGGCTGCACGGCATCTGGTGTTGATGCCTGAATTTTGGCGCTCAAGGTCGCGGCAAGAACCGAGTATTTGGCTTCATAGGCTTGATAGACTTGGAGTTTCGTTGTGCTAGTTGGCAGAATCTGTATTGGTTGATCGCGTTCACGGCCGGCACCCGATGGACAGTAGGCTGCGTGTTCTTCAGCGTAGCGTGCCAGAAACGCCAGTGCGATTTGGGTATGTAGTCGTTGATGCCCTGGCCCTGCCTGTTGCCGACTCATGAGCCTCAAAACTATCGAGCTTGGACAGCTGGCCTCGATGGTCGTTGATCAAGGAAGCACTCACTTGTGTGAACGCAGTAAAGCCACCAAGGCACACTCGCCGCCCACGTATAGCGTAGACTGTAGTGGTGCGCCCAGCTCGATCTGATTGGGATGTGTCGGCGACTGGTAGGTCACCCTTGCGCTTCTTGGCGGGACCAGAACGGCGACTGAGGTCATTATTGATCCCCGACGGAGATGAAAGGGCCCACAGCATTGCACGGACCGCTGCTGTTCGGTCTTGCTCGGATAAGCGCCGAAAACCCATTGCCCATTTCACATCCACAGGGTCGTCAACATTGAAGCAGGGTCGCTCCCTGTCCCCGCACGAGCACAAGCAGCCGGGCTTTGTCGCCCAGGCGAGCGTCCGCGAGCGCAGTTCTTCAACACTGAGCTCAGCGTGTCGGGCCCCTTCACATACTTGAGAGTCTTCACCCACCAGCTCATCCTGGTGTATGCCCACTCCGCTGTCTGGGTCATCTTCCGGAATAGCAGCAAGCTCCGCCTCAATCTCCGCGAACATGTCGCCTCATCAAAGATTAAGCTGTAACTCGAGAACGCGAACGAAATGAAAATGTCAGACTTTTTGGCAGTCGTGGTGGCAGCGTCGTGGCGCGTCACAGGAGTACCCTATCGATTTCGGTGTTTTTGGAGGCTGCGCGCACCTCACCAACGCTCATGGTCGTGCTGCTAACTCCATTCGTCAGAAAAACAAGTTACTAGGAATTTTGACTGCGCCTCACACACATTGTAATAATAGAGAGAAGAAGAACGGGAGAGTGCGTGTATGCATAGCCGGTTCCCAGCGCTTGCATGCACGTATGCACAACCGACGCGTGGGTTCCCACCACCACCGCCACGGGGTCAACGGTTTTTCGCTTGCTTCACAAGATGAAACCGTACGTAATAATGAAATGGACCCCACCCAGAGCAATAGCACGAGGTGCGGGAAAGGAGAACAAGGGCCCCGCTCCCACGTCAAGCACCACTGATCGCCGCTTCAACGGCTGGGGCCAGCCATTGTTTGGATCGCTCATACACTTTCCTAGCGATCTTTCAGGGCATTTCCCTCGGGTCGACGTGTACACCGCGTCTCCCTCCGCGCGACGAACGGAACACCGCCTCAAAGCGAGTTTGCTGTGCACGTCTTTTTGCTCGTTTCTTGACCGCTGCCGTTTCAGTCCATCGCCGTGATGTGGCGCTTTTGCGTTTTGGTGGCTGCGGCCGCGCTGATTGTGACCAGCCGCGCGCAGTACCTCGATCAACACACCGATGAGAGCAATAGCTTCCGCAACATGCTTCAGGGCAACATCTGGCAGGTTTGTTTGTTTGTTTCATGATGTTTTGCTTGTCGACTTTGCTCGTTCGCGCGCTTCGTGTCGCTCGCTCCAATCCGAGGCGCACCACCCAAGTTTTTAGTGCTTGGTGTCTCACCTTGCTCGACTAGACTTGGCACTCACGCCTGTTATCTTGCCACTTTACTTTCGTGCCAATTTCTGTAGAGCTGGCGCGCGGGATGGGCCTCGCAGGTGTCCCATGTCGAGATTCTCATGGGATCTCGCTTTCCCTGCGAAACCATGTCCGGCACGCTCATGGTCCGACGAGGCATTCCTGCAAGCATGGCTGATGCCCTCGACGCCACGAAGGCTGTTTCCACCCAATCTGTCGCATCCATTTGCGAGTCGACCGATGCCACGGCTGAGTGCGCCAACAACGACTGCGTCGCCTGGCATAGCTTTGAACTACAGACCCCTGTCTCCGTGGATGCCGGAGAAACCCTGACGTTTATCCTGACTGACATGGTCTCGGCCGATCTGACTCGTACTGCACGGGTTGGCGTCTCTCCAGCTGCCGAGAATCACGGCGGCGCGGCCTCTCTTCTAGTCTCGCCCAAGTACAAAACCAAGTACACCCAGTACACCTTCCGAACCCGCATGGCTTCGGACAACACCAATCAGGGGGCTTCAATCGATGAGCAGGCCGCCGACAACTCGGCCGATAGCACCAGCGACAACACTGGCAGCAGCAACGCCTCTGCCCTCTCCGCCCTTGGTCTTGCGGGCATTATCGTGCCCATTGTTGTGCTCGGCATTGTAATCGTCGTTGTGGCCGCCATGGTGCGCATGCGTAAGAACGACCACTATGCCATCAACCCCCACGGCCTGGATGATGCCACCGAAACATCCTATGGCTCTCAGCCCTTGCCCGCCTGGTCAGAGGCCGGTAGTGCCGTGGAATCCATCAGCCTCGACACCCTCTCCGTTGGCTCCTCCCACCGTACCATTCTTGCAGGCCCTGCTACAACTCGTCTGGCCGAGCCCGCCTCCAAGACTTCCACAGCTGGTCGCCGTCGTCATCCCATTTATGTACAATCTGCAGACACGGACCTCGACGACACCGTCAGCCGTGATACGTGGGCGACGACTTCAGTGCACACGACGCAGTATTACGATTGGGGCTCGGATGCCAACAGCGTAGCTCCGGTCGTCGAGTCGCTGGCCGGCAACGAGTACGAAGTTTAGTACTTTGATGCGCGCTTAACATGTCGACACTGCCTTTTTCGTTCCCTGCCTGTTTGTCTGTCTGTTGACTCCTCTGGGCCGCACACGATTTCTTGCTTTTGTTGTTGCCTTTTTTTGGTTTTTTCTTCTGGCTTGTTTTTTTGCTCTCAATTTTTCACCTGATGATTCAATTTATGTGCCCTTTTGCAACTTGCTTCCACATTCAACAATGGGTGGCGACCGGCTGAATCTCCAACACTAAAATGGCGAGCGGCACATGGGGCAACTATTTTGCCCGGAACTGTTGAACCATTTGAAGAGGCAGTCCGAGTGGAAGAGATGCTTGCACGTTCGACAACGCTATTTCCCGCGAGAATACCAGTCAGCAACTTAATAATATCCTCAACGCACGGTGCCGGGACTCAAATGGACACGGTGAACGTACCGTCTTTGGCAATTGATAGTTGGAATCATGAACCACAGCGTAGCAGATGCTGCACTCCTCCACGCCTTCAAAAGTCTTGTCCACGTTTCGCTTCCACAATCGCACCGCATCCACGATGCTGCCGTTCTGGTTGTTGATGAAGAGGGAGAGTGACAGAACCCACTTGCGCCATTTGTCCCCAGAAATGCCCACACGCTGCCCCGGTGAGATCTACATAAACAACCCAGAAGCCAGGATTAGAAGGGTACAGGCGATTGTCCATTTGCCATCCTGTCGCTCTTTCACGACCCACCTCGGCTTTGGACAAGGGATAGTCCTCAGGCAGCTTGATCACCAGCTCCAGCGTGAGCGTGTCCTTGCGGTACACGGCGCTGACTTCCCGAACCGCGAAGCGACTCTGCACCGTCACACGGCTCTCATCCTCGTCATCCGAGCCCACCGTCCGGGCATCTGCTGCATTCAGCTCGCCCCGGCATACCACCGGGCTTACAATCGTCGAGGTAAAACTGGAAACAGCCTGTCGCAAGCGGCGAGGGCAGGCATGGTCCCACCACCAACGCACCATGGCTGGCATGCGCAGGAAAAAGTGCCCATAAACAAGCGCCGCGAGCCGCACCAAGCCCGCTGGGCTGGGCGCCAAGTCACCGAGACGCTGGGCCTGCGGACGTTCCAACATTTCTCCAATATCCGTGGGCAGAGCGCGCTGGTTCTCCAGGAAATGATCAAAGTAGTATGTCAAGGATGGGCAGAAGGTTCCCTCATACAACAAGGGGTTGGCAAGCGCAGGTCGCAGCTCAGCTGACACGCGCTCAAACACCACGGTAAGGAGATTCCACAACAACAAATGGCCGCGCTGCCACAACAAATCGACCGCGTGCTCCTCGGCCTGCATTTGCATTACCATAGGGGAATCGCGACGAACAGGATTCGAGTGAGGAGACGTGCCGCTCACACCGCGACATAGCCAGCAAGATGCAGACAAGGTATGCCGAGGCACTCATTGTTGGCTCAGCTCTGCCTGGAACCGTTCAATGGCCACCCACCTCGCAACGCCGTTCGTCGCCACCCAAGGCAAGGATAAAGGGCTCGAGGAACTTGAGCATAATGTCGGCAGGTCGTTCCCGTTGCGTCGCCCGAACGACAACCACGCCCTCGCTCGTGGTCTCTAGCTCTTCCTCGAGTTCGTCATCCGCATCACTCACGCCCCAACCGCTTGCCTGAGTTGTACACGCCCGCAACAACAAAATGTACGCAGCACCTTGCAGCTCTGCATTCTGGGTGAAAAGGAGACGTAGAGCCCGTTCAACTGGCATGCGTGCCTATGACGGGTCGGGACGACGTTCAGAATCAATACAGAACAAAACCTCGTGAGGGAGGGCCTCACTTCTTGAGGACTCCAACGCAGTCCTAGCACGCCCGCGAGCCCATACTTTGTCTTCATCATCCAGACACAGCTGGCCCAGTTCGCCGATGACAGCATGCAGCGCCGAGGCCACAGTCCCAGTGTTTCCAGCCAAGGCTGCTGCGGCCGAGCGTTCCAGGTGCGCATAGCAGATCTCACTGCTGTTGGGAAGGAAAAAGCTCTGCCACTCCCGGGCGGCATCCGCCAGAGCTGGTGGTGCCGCCTTCATCCCCTTTGACAACAAGAGCGCCACATGACACGAGTGAGAGATACCATGTTTCATCGCCAAAGTCCAACTGCAGGGAGAGTCAACTCCATTCTGTACCTCGACGCGAGCGAAGCGCCGGTGCAGCTGAATCCACAGCCGGCTCAGTTGTGCCAATAACATTTGACTGCGTTCACAGGTACCAGGCAGTGGCAACAAGGCTAATGATGTGCAGAGGATGTAGTCCCATTCATCTGCGGTCAGTTGAGCACTTGCCCATGCTACGAGGGCGGAGAAGACCTGTGGGCACCCCACAAACACAGAGCGCCGGAAGCCCAGTCAGGATTACGGGGCAACGGCGTGGCTGGCCGATAGGCGAGGACAAGCACAACTTGCCTCGACGACCACCGATGCCACGGCCATTTTGACGAGACGTTGTGGTCGCGGCAATTCATCTTCATCATCTTCACGAAACTCGAGCAGCTCTTCTTCAGCGTCCTGCCAGCTACACCCAATAGCAAAGCGGTCAGCGGGGCGATGCCAGGCGCCCCACCCATGGGCGCAGGGAGGCAACATGGGGCCAATGTTGACATGCTCGATTCGTGGTGCGCCAACCTTTGGATGACCTCCAGGCATTGGCGTAATGCCTGGATGACTTTCGTGCTACCCTCGGGCAGTTGGATTCGGGTGGCTTGCTGGCGCTGTAGCGCAGCCCGAGCCGCTGTGTTATCAAAATGGTGCGGACAAAAGCCAAACACAAAGGGAAAAAAAAAGCGGTGAAGCATTGAGTGTTGGAGACACACACTGAAGAGCAGGATAAACATTCCTTTGACGAGCAAGTTGATGAGTACCTTCGGAGAGAGCTTGCTGGGCCTCGTCGGCAAGCGCCGCTGCGGCTGCCATATCCACCTGGTAGCGCGATCGTGCCAAGTTGGCCGCCACTACGCTGCACGCCAGAATCGGTGACAGCAACGGGCTAGGATCATCGAGGAGAGAAAGGCCTTCATGGGCCACGCCCTCCACCCGAGTGGTCAGGGAAGCAAGGAGTGGAGCGGTTTGTGCACTGCCTGTGGGCCCGGGTAGGTAAGCGGCCAAAAGCTGAATAGCCTGAGCCCCGCGCGCGCTTGTCAACTTCATGTCTAGCGCAGCGGTCCACACAGCGCCGGTAGCAGGCCATTTTGCAAGTGCTTGCGCTGCCAGCACTGTGGCATCCAAGCCAAGTAGGCCCTCCACTCGGGACAATATTGCCTGCAGATAGGCGACGCGGCCATTTTCTTCTTTCAGGCAGAGAGCTGCCTGCAACAACTCAATCGCAGGCAAGGGAGCAGTAGAGTTGCTCAAGACGGGTGAAATGAAATCATCATCGAGAGCTCGCGCACCGACTTCAGTGGCGTCAGAGCGTTCCAAGGCCCACAAGGAGGTCAGCCCTGCCAATTGTTCGGCGCTGACGGATTGATCAGCCGAAAACGCATCCCACCCAGACTCCGTGACGAGCAAGTCTAAGAGTCGACGAGCAGGAGCTAGGGCCATGCGTTGGCTGACGGCCTCTTCGATGCGTGCCAAATCAACGTCGCCAAACGTCACGAGACCCGTGGCCAAGTCCTTCAGTGACGGTGGGCCCCCGGTGCTCATGCGCAGCTCAGCTTGTGTTGCGAGCCGGCCCAGCACAGCCGTCCGGACTGGCAAGGGAAGACCGGTCATGGCAGCCCCCAAGGCGTGGTCGAGCGCAGAGCCCTTTTGCCACACGGGACCATTCAAGACAGACTCCAGCAACTCAAGCACAATCGCCGAGCTCGGGCCGACATCATGGTACAAGACAGTGAGCACGCGCTGCAACACGGCATTGAGGCGTGCAGGAAGGTCCGACGGCAGAGCATCGGCTTGAACGCACAGCGGCTGCGCGCTGCGATGGGCCAGAACCTCGACACACCGTGTCAAGAGCCAACTAACCTCGCTGAGCTGCTCTGTGGCAAAGGCCGAGGTCGGCGACAAGCCATCGTGCACAGCGAGTGCAAAGGTTCTGGCCGCTGAGTTTTCAGAGGCCTCGACAGCCAGCAGATCGTGGCAGGTGGGGCGAATATCGAGCAACACGGGGCGCAAGGCATCCGAGGTGGTAGCAGTCACGCTGAGGCACCAGAGGTGACCGGCAGCAGTCGCAAGATCCTGCACTTGAGCAGTCGGAGAAGTGGTGGCATCTTCGAGCGCATGAACCTCGCGCGCGAGTTGTTCAATGAGCGCAGTGCTCCAGTTGGCCCCCTCGCGTGGAGCGACACACACCAACGCTTCAAGCAAGACGCTGCGCTGATCAAGCTCGCCGGCACGTGCTACTAAGCGGGCAGACCATTGCTCTTGCGCATGGGCATCGGCAGCCATCAAACTGCGACAGGCAAGGCCGAACAGGTCAGCGCGCGACGCAGCCGCCACAACACTGGTCAAAGCATCTACACGTGCCAGCACATCGGCAGCTTGTTCTGTCGTCAGCGTGCAGCCTTGCGCAGCTTTTAAAATAAAATGTGCCAAGGACACGGGCAAGTCTCCAGCCTCCGACCAAACTGATAGGCCCGGTAGGACCAGGTTGCCAGACACGTGTCCACGCAGCTCTGGGTCAGCCTCCAGCAGGGCGGACAGCACGGCCAAGGCACGCTGTGCACGCAATCGCACTTCAGGCGCTTCTGGCTTAGATTGGACCTCCGCCGAGGGCACCTCACCAGCTGGCAACATTGCGGTGGCATCTGGCGCAAAAGATACGCGTGCTGGGGCCGCATCCGCTGGTGCTGTCACCGTGGAGGGTGAAAGAGGTGGGCTCTCGTTGCCGTCTGCAACATCGTCATCAACATGGGGCGTGCTTGCTGCGGATGCAGGGGAGGCGGCCACTTCGGTAATCCAAGCGACTTGGCGACGGGCCAGGGCGTCAAGGGCATCACGCAGAAGACCCAGGCTGGCCAGCTCATTTGTGCTGGCAATGGTGCTACAAAACTGGATCAGCTGTTCAGCTCGCACCCACTAGAGCATTTTTATGTGTGATTAATCGGTTTGGTGGTATGAGTACAAGGCATGGGCGGCAACGTGGGGGAAAGTCGACAAGTGACGCTGCAGGCGGCAGGCCTTGACGCACATCGGCTGATGGGTTGAAACATAAAGTTTGGACGAGCTGAACCAGGGCATTTTGCGCCAACTCCTGGTGTCTGGCAGAGTGACAACAAGTAGCAGATAGCGGGTGAGCGGTTTTACAATGTGCGTAGCGCGAGTTGATTGCCTTTTTTTCCGCCAACAGCCAAGTTGTGACGTACGTAGGGCCAAAGTGAAGCAAGAGAGCCTGCCAAGCGCCGAGGTAAATGCTGCCAGGGCAGGTGGCACGGGAGGCTTTACCAACCAGGCCGGCCAGCAGAGCTTCTGTGCACGCTTCAAAGAGCTGCACACCCTCGACAAGCTGCGCCAAGGCGATTCGAGGCGACATGAGGTGGTGCGTGTGGGTTACTGACAGGCGAGCCGGGTGACGAAAAGAAGAGAAGTCGACCTACATCTGAAGGAATGCAGGCCAAGAGCGGTACAAGACCGTTGAAAAATGTTTCGGCAATGGCGCCGCCCAGCTGGGCGCTGAGCTGCCAGACGCGGGGCAAGAGGGTCTTTTGCGGGCTCAGAACCGACCACACATCCTAGATGTCAAGCCCGAGGGAAGCCAGATGAGTGGAGGGGCACCAGGCATCGGGAAGACGATGCCAAGGTATTGGGCATGCCGGCTGGCAAGAGTCGTGCGTGGCCGAGCAAAGCGACAACAAACCGCTCGAAGCTGGACCAGACGAAAAAGATTGAGCCAAGCTGCTTGTTGTGCTCGCCAGTGGGCGACCTCCAGACCTCTGCAGTTTGGTATGGGCAAGTGGTCAGCAACAGGGGGTGAGAAAGCGCCAAACAAGATACCTGGGGTGTGCGGCTGCCATGAGAGCCCAAGGTCGATGGTACATACTTGCACAGCAAAGATGCAACGCGCTTGAGATCATGATCCAAAAGGTCAGGGTGAAAACGGACTGCCGTGCCCACGAGAGCGTAGAGCGACGCCTATGTGTATAAATGAAGATGAGATGGCAAAGACAGGAGACAGGGTCCTTGCCAGCCTCAAGAAGCAGGCAAAAACATCGCGGGCAGGGGTTGGGAGAGAGGGTACGCACCAAGATGTCGGGATTGTCAAGCTTGTGCAGCTTCCAGAGACGGCTATCGGCAAAGAGCTCCTGAAGGGCTGGATAGGCGACGGCGAGAGCCTAGTGCAGGTGTGGGCACACGAGCAAACACGGGTGAGGGCCGCGGCGGTGCGAAGCCTCCCGAGTCTGCTTGTCCGTACTTCATGGTCAAGGCGCAGGACATCGCCGAGGGCCAAAAGCGTGTTGGTCAAGATGCGACTGTGCTTGTCGCGCAGTTCTTGCTCATCATCGCCCGTGTTCTGATTGCGAAGATCCTCCAAGGACAGCTCTAGCAAGTTGAAGCGATATGCCTACGGCGAGCAGACAAGATAAGCAGATTGAGGTGTGGTCCTTGCTGAGAAGCTTTGCTGTGGAATAGAGGTGATCAGCGCGAACAGCAGCGCTTGCAGAAGGGTCGGGTAGCGTACGGCAACAATCTCCTCTTGAGCAAAGGAGATGGTTTTGTGTTGCTTGTCGCTGGTGGCAAAGAGTGTCGTAAAGGTATCACGGGTTTGCTTGGCAACCTCGCGGGACGGGTCGTGCTGTGCCAGCAGCCATGCGCTGCATCGATGGCCCGGGCATGGTCAGCTATGCTGCAACTGGGTTTTGGGAGCGGGGCCACGCGTTCAAAGAAATTCTAGAGACGTACGGAAGGATGGCCTTTAAGAAGGGAGCAATGCGTTTGCCAGCCCGTGTTGCCAAAACGGCCCACACACGCGCCGTGAAATCACGCGCACGACGGTCTGCATCCTGACAGAGTTGCAGAGGCGCATTGGAGGGGTGGGGTCAAAGGTGAGTTGGAACTTGATGGGAAATGTGATGCAAAGCAAGGACTGCCTCCGAGCCTGCTTATCAAGGGTGTGGCTCACTTGAGAAAGGCGGTTGTAGAGGCGCGGCCAGTGCTCGAGGGTGGCCAGAATTTGGTCATCCTCTGTGCCGTTGAGAATGGCAAGGACTTCTTCAAGAGTCTGGGTGAAGGCGAGCAAAAGAGTCAGGGCACGCTGGGCATGGGCCGGGGCACCGTGGACGAATGCAGGACGAAGGCGGTGAGAGGCATCCACCTTGACGCGCGTAACGGCATCGCGCTTCTTGAGCTTGGAGAGGGCTTGCTTGAGGTCGGGCATAAGCTTGTCGTCTTCGCCTGGGACCAGGTAGCCACGGCCGGCCGTGGCGCCAGGCGTTCCTGCTGTGTTTGAAAACGCGCTAAAGGTGCGCAGTTGACCGCCTTGGCGTTCGGCAGCTCGGGCACTACTCGAGGCCTGAGACCACGAAGACGAGTGGGCAATGGTGAGCCTGCAAGTACGTGTGACAGCGGCGCCCGTTGATGTGGCTGGGGCAGCAGCGGCGCATGCGTGCCACGGCAAACCTTGAAGTGAGCCAGAGAGGCAGCTTGCTGGTTGCCTTTACCCATGATGGCTCGGAAGATGAACAGTCATGCGGGTGTGGATCTGAGCAAAAGCCAGCCAGTGAACAGGCCAGTTTCAGAAGGAAAGAGTGCCGCGAGCAGGGTTCACACGAGCTCCGACGACACGATGGACAATTACACCGCGCGAAGGCAGTTTCATAGTGACCTACCCTAGACCAGGAAATGCATCGCTCGCTCCCAAGAATGAAAGGCACCGTTCACCTCTCCCGCACCAGTCAAACAAAGAGCCCGAGGTCGCAATCCAACCCTCGCAGCGTGCGTGTCTGAAGAAGAATGCCTCAACGCACCCCCAGAGTGCCACGAGAGTGAGCGCCGCCGACGGGAAATTAAGCAGAAGAAGACAGTGAGAGCTGCTCAGAACAAGAGTTACGACACCGAGACTCCCCTTTGTCGACAGAAATCAAGAACAGCTGTTGTCTCCAAGTAGTGCCAGGCGTCTCTTGATGCATGTGTGTGTGTGAGTGTGTGTGTGTGAGTGAATTAACAAACTGCGGACAAGAATACAAGCAGGTGTGTGTGTGTGTGTGTGTGTGAGTGTGTTGCCGATGTTGTTTCGGGCTGAAGACGGCGGGAGGTCTCTCGTGTGTCAGTGGTCTGGTTGTTGCCGGTGCATGAACGAGGGTGGGAGGGGTGACAGCTGGTAGTGTGGAGCAGGACTTGAGGACGGGCGAGAGGTCATGCTTCCTCCAGGTCGTTGTTCTTGACTTGGAGAGCAGGACACATTTTTTCGAACTTGAGTCTAAGATGTCTATTATCACTCATCTGTCATAGGGTACCTCGCGGTATCAGTTTGGGTTGCCCCTGCGCGGGTCGATCCAAGACCTCGTCGTGCTTCAGGAGAGGTGTGGGTTACAAGAGGAGACGACGGGCCAGTTTGCCAATGGTCGAGCAAGTGCTAAAGAGTGTTCCCTCCTGCCTCTTGTCCACCCTTGCGCGAGACCCGGACACAAGCGCCGCCGTCCATGCCGCAGCATTCTGTATACCGCTAAACCATGAGCCTCACAACCTGCCCCGCCGGTGTGGCGCGCGCTGGCTCGGCAAGCTTTTTAGACGAGTATCAACGTACGTCAATCTGCGCCCAAACCAACCCGCTCCTTGCCCTTTTGATTCCTGTCTGCCAAGTCCAGCAACCTTCTCGGCTCAGCAGTCCTCTCTGTTTGCTCCATCACTCGTTCACAGATGAGTCAGAGTTTGAACCCGTCTCGAGTGAATTCAACTCGATTCGCTTCGAATACTTGGTGACCGTGCTTCTGGTGGTCATTGCCATTGCCCGATTGGTCTTTCACACCTTCAATCTGCAACGCATCGTCCCCGATTCGGCCCTCACCATCATTATCGGCGTGCTGGTCGGCACGTTTTTAAGCTCCACGGGCACGGAATCTGGTGAGCTCGCCCCGCGTCCAATAGTCACAACTCGTGGCCCCAACATTTTCAACCCCTCCCTCATAAAGTTGCCTGCTCATCTCATGCCGTGACCTGTCCTGACAACTCTCAGCCGAGGTTCAGTTTGATGAAGAGATTTTCTTTCATTACCTGTTGCCTTGGATCATCTTGAGTGATGGCTACTTTACCGACGTGAGCATGTTTCTCAAGAACATGCGCGTCATCCTCATCCTGGCCCTGATTGGCACACTCATCAACACGTTGGCCATTGGATACATCATGTATGCCGTGGCTGACTGGGTTGGCTTGGCCGGGTTCCGCGCTATCGACGGCCTTGTGTTTGGCTCCTTGATTGCTGCCGTCGATCCCGTCGCTGCCCTTTCAGTCTTTGAAGAGGTGCACGTCAACGACAATCTCTTTATCACCGTGTTTGGTGAGAGTACCCTCAACGATGGCATCGCTATTACGCTTTTCCGGTGCGTGAACAGCCTTTGCCAACAGCAAACACCCCGTTGTCTGATTCTTTGTGCTTGCATGCATCTGGGAGACTTACGGCAGCGGTGGGTCGGATGCCCGCTTCTTTGCATGCTCGCCAACCTAGCATCTTTGCGGCCCTGGCCTATCGTCGCAGTGATCCCCGCGTCAGCGACGAGACGGGCGAGACATTCTTGATCGGCTTGTCACAATTCGTCCTCACTTTCTTTGGTGGCATCATCGTCGGCTACGCATTTGGCCTCATTGCGGCCTTTTTCGGCATGTTCACACGCAACCTGGGCGCCCTCATGCCCTTGGTGAGTGACAAAGGCGACCGCTGAATGGCTCCCTTTTGGTACACACACCGAACCACCCACCTCCTCACACCGACCCTGACTCGCTGGTTTCAGCTTGTCCTGGCCATGGGCTACCTCAGCTATCTGACGGCCGAGTCGTTTGAAATTAGTGGCATCATTGCCATCCTTGTCACGGGCATGACCATGCAGGTGAGGACATGTATGAAAGGAGCCCGTTGGCACCACCAAGCACAGTTTGCTCGCGCATCAGTCAACTCATTTGGAACTCGGGTTCTCAACCAAACTTGGCTTCTTCTTGGGATTATAGCTGTATATGCCCGGCAACATGAGTCGAGACACTGCGACGGGAGTACACACGCTATTGCACACAGCCTCTGACACGGCCGAAACAATTGTTTTCATTGTTTTGGGCATCGAAGTCATCCTCAGCATCGAGACGGGCTGGAACACGGGTTTTGTCGTGATTGCGCTCTTGGCTTGCTTGATCATCCGCTTCCTCTCGGTGTATGGCCTGGTTGCGCTGGTCAATCCCTTTCGTGAGCGCGATTTGCAGTTTTCAATGGCCGATCGCTTCATCCTCTCCTATGGTGGCTTGCGTGGGGCGATTGCCTTTGCCCTGGCTACCATTCTGCTGGACGACGAGCAGCTGTGCGTGGACGATGATGCGGGGCAGGCATTTGCACCTTTTCGATTCCGAGATCTCTTTGTCAGCGCCACCATTGCTATCGTTGTCTTCACCATCCTCGTGCAAGGCACAACGCTCAATCCAGTAAGGGCCCTGCGCCGGTTTCGAATCCAAAGTCTCCTCTGCCTCCTCTGCGTAGCCTTGCCGCCCACACCCACCATCTTTTGTTTCGGTTTCTTGCGAGTTTTAGCTGTTGCAATGGTTGCACGTGCGACGCAAAAACGAGGACGAATCTGAGGCAGATGGCAAGGAGCTCGTTCGCGAGCTCGTCGATTCAAGCGCCGAGCACATTATTGAGTTCATGCATCATCTTGTTGGTACGTTAAAACCGCCATCCCGATGACTTTCACCTGTGCTCAGGGCCCTATGGAATTCTTGCTGACGCCACCCATCGACTGTTTCACGTTGGTGCAGGGCTGAATACCCACAATGCCGCTTCATGGTATCTTCACCGGCTCGACATAGTTTTGGACCAGTACGTGACCCTGACTGCGCGCTGGCAAACTCCGCGCTTAGTCAAGGCGCACTGACAAACCCACGTTCACTTGCACGCTCCGCTTACAACCAGCTTCTTCTATCAAGAGAACATTTTCCGAGTGCGCCATGCATTCGAGGTGCTGGAGGACGACATTGAAGCCACCACTCGACGTCTGGTGACCAATATCCGAGCTGCGCAAAAGGACATTGCCGAGGACGATGAGTTGACAGACGAGGAGCGTGTGCATGCTCTGCGTGCCCATGTTGAAAATGCTGTCAGTGCGGCCGCCGGTGGCGTTCAAAGTCGCCTCAACCATGCCACCAACGTGGGCGCTATGGCTGGGGCCTGGAAGAGTCGGGCGGTTCGAGGCGGTGGTACGCGCCCGCAGCGACGCGGCTGGGGACGGCGTACGGATGAGCAACATGCATCACAGCGCCGGGCTCGCATGCTGACCAATGAGCTGGCGAGTGAAATTTCCCGAGGCTCCATTCAAGATGGCGCGTTCTCACAATGGCAGCAGGCTCAACAAGCCGCTACTCATGATCAGCCAGCCATGGGATATCGTGGCCAGCAGTCTCGAACTGCCACCCTGTCATCAAATAAAACAGGCTCCAACTCTGGGCGCGCCGCACAGCGCTGGAAGCAGCTGCGTAATCGCGTTCAGGCCAAGCATGTGGCTGCTGCGTGGCAAGCCAACCGTCCCGCCAAAAACCAGAAAGCCATGTTCAATCGGCGAAAGCAGCGGTATAACATGCACGAGGACCAGCATTGGGCACGATCACAGGCAGCAAAGGGCCACTACTGGCACCTGGGTAACCGACAGCGCCGTACGGACGGTGAACGTGATCGCCAGCGAGCCCAGATCGAGGGAGACTCGCGACCCAATGGAACGAATCTCACCCAACAGGATCATGATGCATCTGAATCAGGATATCGTCCCCTTACGGGCGGACAGGTTGCTGCAGCGGAACACGAGACCATTGAAATGCAACCGCAGGAAACCACTGCACAGACACATTCTTCGCTGGCGCAAAGTGGGGGTGGTGCAGCAGAGGTCGATGTTGCAGGGCAAAGACAACAACCACCAAATACTGCGACTCGGCGCTCTGCTGGCACCCATGACTTCAATGTGCGCATCGACACAGTTTAGCTTGAGCTTTTCCGCCGTGGATGGTTGAAAGCCACGGCAATAGTAATTGAGTTTTTGAGCATAGCGTTTGTTGTGTCCAGCACATCAATTGGAGGTGAACGCTCAGGTACAATTATGAGCAAAGCATGGGTGTCGTGGTAGAGGAAGCAAAAGAGCAGCAAATGCGCAAGCAGACGAGGCTTCAATCGTGGTACCAGCACGACGACAAGGGGCTGTAGCTCGATTTGTGAGCCTTGGCGGTCGGAGCAAATTGCGTGTTATCATTCATCATCTGTTTGCGGTCCAAAATTACCATTGGATGGTGTTGTAGTCGATGCCCTCGAGCTTCATCTCCCAGAGCGGGCTCATCTCGCGCAGGCGGTTCACGTGCTGGTTCACCTTGGCCACTGTGTAGTCGACCTCGGCCTCCGTGGTGAAGCGACCAATGCCAAAGCGGATGGACGAGTGAGCCAGATCGTCCGAAGCGCCCAGCGCACGCAAAACGTAAGAAGGCTCCAATGACGCCGAGGTGCAAGCACTAGAGGGCACGGGAGAGCGGTTGGTCAAATGAACACGAGGAATAAAAAAGAGGCTCAAGTGAAAGGCTGTTGGCGTCCTCAACACCAGAGATGTGGTGGTTGAAGGGAAACAAAAAAAAAAAAAAAAAAAAGAAAAAAAAAAAGAAAAAAAAAAAAAGAAAGTTGAACGCAAACGAACCTGCCCGAGGAGAGAGCCAAGTCCTTGAGAGCCATCAGGAGTGATTCGCCCTCGACATAGGCAAAGCTGAGGTTAACGCAGCCAGGATAGCCTTGTTCCTTATCACCATTGAAGATGACCTCATCCAGCTAGATCAGGGGCGGTCAAGCAATCAACAGATGCATAAGAGCCAAGCGGCTGGTGCTCGCACAGCAAATGCGTTGAAGATCTTCCAACTTGTTGATGCGTAGGGTGCGTACCTCGCCTTGAATACCATCAATGAGTCGCTTGGAAAGACGCTGAATGTGCTCGTGATCAAAGTCCATCTCTTCCCGGGCGACACGGCAGGCAGCACCCAAACCAACGGCGAGAGGTGCCGCAAGGGTGCCACTGCGCAAACCACTGTGGATATAGCCAGGAACACGACACGGCACGACGCATAAGACATGGGGAAAAAAAGCGTGGCTCACAACCAGACATTGAATTCTTTCAAAGGACAACAACGGCTAGGAAGACCAAGACCTTTTGGCGACGTACCGTTCTTGACCACCACCATTGATCAGGGCTTCGAGACGCACGCGAGGACGACGGCGCACAAAGAGAGCACCGACACCTGAACAAAGCCCAAGTGGTGTGCGCGGTGCGTGAGCCCGAGAAACGGATTGCAAAAAGCTTGGCTGCTGATGAGCCGTTTCGCTGCGTGACGAGTGCTGTGAGGAGGAGGAGGAGGCACGCACCCTTGGGCCCATAAATCTTGTGACCAGAGATGGACATGAGGTCGATGTTGAGTTCGTTGACGTCGATGGGAATCTTGCCAATGGCTTGAGCGGCGTCAGTGTGAAAGAACACCTAAGCGCCATTGCAAAGGATTGATGCAGGTCCGTGGGGCAGGAGATGAGGACATGGCGACATCCTGTTGGGAAGAAAAGGCGGAGGCTGAATAAGTTCGGGCCATGAATTCATGTGCACACCTTGTTCTGGCGGCAAAGTTCGCCAATGGCCTTGATGGGTTGCACGCAACCGATTTCATTATTGACCTACATTGGGCGGCAAGAGAAGAGCAGGGGTTAAGGTGATGGCATGCGCATCAAGAGCGCGAATGAACATGCGAGTAGATATGTGGCTTACCATCATGACAGAAACCAGGCTGGTTTCAGGGCGAATGGCAGCCTTGAGCTCCTGTAGGATCCGTGCCGGTACGTATGAGTTTGGCGTATGCAAAGCCATGCGTGGCGTTAACATGCTTACATCGAGGTCGATGAGGCCATTCTTTTGCACGGGGAGGTAAGTGACCTCAAAGCCTTGTTGTTGCAAAATACGGCACGAGTCCAGCACACACTTGTGCTCCTGAGGAGGGGGGGAAGAAAAGGGGCACAAAACAGAGTGCATGCGCACGTACGCGTTGGGCAGCGCATGTGAGTTTGTTGGAGTGGCGGAGGGCTTGGGGACGGGCAGAACATGGCACGCGACGAGAAGCGAGCCTGACCGTTTGAACGGTAATAATGTGGTTCTTCTTATTCTTATAAAAGTTGGCCACACCCTTGATGGCGAGGTTGTTTGACTCGGTTGCACCACTGTGACAAGAGCATTGGGGGTGCGTTGGATCAGGTGCTGGCGAAAGCCCTCGATGTGAAATGCGCTGGGAGGGAAAAGGGGAGACACGCGAGCGCGCGAAGCGCTTGGCCCGCACCTGGTAAAGATGATCTCCTTGGCATTGGCACCAATGAGCGAAGCAATCTCCTGTGGTAGGATCAAGTTCAAGGCCAAAGGCACAACCAGCAGTGTATTAGATGATGTGCGAGGCGCGGGTGTAAAAGGAACCGAGCGGGTGCCGCAGGTGGCCACCGAGGTGCTTCGTACATCGCGAGCGTTGTCGACGGCAGCTTCAGCGTCCCAGCCATATTGGTGCGTGCGAGAATGGGGGTTACCATACTCGTGCAACATGTAGGGCATCATGCTATCAAGGACGCGAGGGTCCAACGGGGTGGTGGCCTGGAAATCAAGGTAGATGGGCTTGGCGCCTTGCTTGGCGTTGGCGGCCTTGAGCTGCGACTCATTCTCATCGTCCTCTGCCGGGGCCACAGCTGATGGCACACAACCGAACCACACAGCGCCAAGTGAATCAGGGACGTGGGCGGTGCAGGGTGCTATGGCGGGTGCGAGGGCACGTACCTGGCTCTGCAGAAAAGCGGCTTGCCGTGACGCTCAGGGCACGGCGGGTCACGGGCAAGCCGCGAGCACGCCACGCCAGCGTCAACGGGGCTTTGGCGGCAGCGGTCAACATCTTGACGGTCGCAGCCATCTTCTGTGTCTGGATAAACGAAGAAGAGATGGAGATGGAGCAAGCAAATCCCACGGTTCCCCTTTCCAGTACACTCTGTTACAGCCCAGTCGCACGCGGGTCTGCGCACACAATCTGAGCACTTGGTAGCTCGTCGGAGTTGCCCCGAGTTGGTGAACCAGTTGGCGGATAATGGCGGCGACGAGCTCGCGGAACTGAGCGAGGGCGTCAAGCAACAGACGTGTGCAGAGGAGGTGGAGGACTTGTGTCGGCCGATGAGAGAATGTCCAACTTGTTGTAGACCGTTTGTCAAATACATTACCGCCTCAAGTCGTGCGTCAGAGAGCAGTCCCAACACCCCCTCCACCGGTAGAGACACATCTTGTCAGACAAAACAGCCCAAAAGGAAATCTCCCTGCAACATGCGACTGCGCAACTCGTTAAAGAGCCGACAGAAGCAATCACGTCATATGCACACACACACACACACACACACACACACACACACACACACACACACACACACACACACACACACACACACACACACACACACACACACACACACACACACACACACACACGTGTCGAAGCAGTAACCGCAGCTGCAGTTGTTCGTTTTTTTTTTATTTTTGATTTTTTGAACTTTCTTCTTCTTCTTCTTCTTCTCGTGCTGGTGCTGGTACTGGTGCTGGTGCTGCTGGTGCTTCTGGTGCTTCTGCTGCTGTCTACTGGCTGGACGTTCGACTGGTCCCGCTGCTGCTGCGAGTGGAGGTGTGCAAGAGGTGGGGGCTCTTGGTATGTATGCATGGCTATGATCCTTAAGACAGGAGTGGGGCAGAGGTGCTGACACGCATCATGCACCGTGCGCACACGCCTTGGTTCTTTGCTAGGCAGAGGACTGGTGAAGGATTACCGACTGCTGTTCTTAGCTGCAGTGAGCTAGAGAGTGCGCACGGCAAACTTGTGGAACATGGCGACCGTGATGCGAGTGCTGCGAGCTGGCGCGGCGCAGATTGGCGCTCGTGCTTTGTTGACGACCGCCACGCGGCAATTGCACCGCATGACACCCCTGCGGTAGGCTCTCGCCCGGCCGCGTCAATCCCTTGCGTGCTTCCCTTCTGCCCCATGCCTTCCTGCTTTTTTTTTGGTAGTATCATCATTGTCCATGGTCCATTTCCGTCTCCGTTTTCGTGCTCATCCCCGTCTTTTCTTCCTTTCCGCCTTTGGCCGTTATAGCGGCGTACCTGAGCGCATTTCGGTGGTGTTTAGGGATCTCGAGGGCGGCGAGGAAGTCGTGTCTGCCCGAGTAGGTCAAAATATTCTCGACGTTGCCATCGACCATGACATGGATCTAGAGGGTGAGCGCCCCGCCCCCCTCCACAGCTTTTTGATGCAGCGCCTCGCTCAAGCCCGCGCACCTTTCACAATCTCATCAACGCATCCGTTGCGCTCTGTCCCGGGTGCTCCTCTCTCTGGCCAGGCGCTTGCGGCGGCACGCTGGCCTGCTCAACCTGCCACGTCATCCTGCAGCAAAAGGACTTTGACAGCTTCCCCGAGCCTGAGGAGGAGGAGCTTGACATGCTGGATCTGGCCATCGGCCTGACAGACACGTGCGATGCCTCGTTGATCTCGTTTCGTGTTGTCTTGTCCTTGATTGTGTCTTCTGATGCCCGGTCTACCAACTCATTTTGTCTTTTGTCGTCGGTTTTGCATCCTTGCCTTCCATTTTCTCCTCCCCCGCCATCATCGATATGGGCGCGGACCATGGACAGGTCGCGCCTCGGTTGCCAGTGTATCTTGACCAAGGAAAACGACGGCATTGTCGTGACGTTGCCCGACGAGCATTCGGATGTCCGTGGCGCCTATTAAGCCATCTGTCCGCCAAGGCGTTCTCAGGCTTTCTCATGCCTGCCGTGTCGCTAAAGTGGCCTCGCGCTGCTTCGCGACATCATCAGATGATCTCCGCCAGAGTCAGATGCAGGCCTGAATCATCAAAGCTCTTGCTTGCTTGCCATTCTGGTATTCAAGCGTCGGCTTCTTTCCCCTCCGTTCTCTCCCCGATGCATTGGCTCTAAGATCTACCCCTTCTTCCTCTTGATTCTTTCTTCTTATTTTTTTTTTCCTGCGCGCTTTGTCGCACTCTTTGTCACACTGTGCGTCCTGATTGGCCCGGGGCTGAGCTCCGATACGGCTTTGACCTGCTGCGCCAAACTCTCTCTGATGCTAAAGACCAGCAAAACTCATTCAATTCGACTTCCAAGTGACAAGTCATGCCATTCCTGCACATACTGCAATCATCTGCATCGCTTTACGCACATTCACCCAAACCTCAATCCCAAAATCAAGTGCACAACTCAAATCATGACCAAGTTTGATGATGGTACCATCTAAATCCAAAAGATGTGGTTGTCGCTTCGCATGACAATCGAATCAGTCTCCATACTGACAATACCCTCTGTCAGGGCTGCCATGTCCACCTCTGGCAACATCTTGCGAATCTGCACAGAACAGATACCGATTAGATGAAAGGTGATAAAATCGAAAAGTGGCAATGGAAGATGCCAGTCCTCGTGCAACACGTGACAAGACCCACCTCTTGCAGCAACGTATCCACGGACATGTTGCCCACACGCAAACGTGTAAACACGGCGCGAATGCCATCACGTAGCCGCTTGAGCTCGCTTGCAGACACTTGAACAAAAGAGGGAGAGAGGAAGAGGGAGAAAAAAGGCAAGCAAGCAAGGAAGCACACCCAGTAGGTGAGTGGTGGAGGCCTTGGCGTCTGGAAATAATGATACGCTTGTTGAATAAACCCCCACTACATGTCGTGACGTACATCCAGGGCTAGCCTCAGCCATATCTGTATCTGCAACATTGTCCTGGTCGGCCTCGGTTGCCGCATCAGCTGTGCCCGATGCAGTCGCGCCGGCACGTGTCGGCGTTTCCAGCTTGCTGCGCTTGCTAAGCTTGGCGGGCGAGCTGGCCGCATCATCAAAGTCAAAGGGATCTGTCACCTTGACGGGGCCTTCGTCTGCAGTACCCGGGCGTCGGCGACGTGCAAAAGCCGTACGACTAGCAGAGGCGTCGGGGGCATCGCCCGCGGTATCGTCCTCGCCGGCGTCATCGTCGTTTGCCGGGCGCTTGGAGGTGCTGCGTCGCTGAGGTGTACGACGTGAGCTTGGGGTGCCTGCCGAACCGGCCGGTGGGGCTCCGTTTGATCCATTCATATCATCGTCGTCGTCACTGTCGCCATCGCCGGTGGGGCCAGGATTGGCATGCGATCCCGTAGGGCGAGCTCGCGGAGTAGCTTCGTTAAAGTAGGCAAAGTTGATCAAGCTACAGGCTTTGTCAGTGTCCACTAGTTCAACGTTCTTTGACAAACGCGCCTGATTTGAAAAGGGCACAACGAGAGAGACGCCACGGTTTGTCATCAAATGTCGGGCCCAAAGGCAAGGAAGCACAGCGCCAAGCAGATACAGCCTCATGCACATGGCTGCTCTGCACCTCAGTGGCCAAGTTCTGAAAGCACAAGGAGGGGAAGGTGCCAAGGACTGACCTTTGCGTGGGCGGTGGAAAGGCGAATCATCGTTTCGAGAGTACGGGCAGTGACGGGTAAGGTCTTGGATTCAAGTTCCTTGCTGCGCAGGTCAGCATAAGCTTCCGCAATTGCATTGGCGGCCTCGGGGCTCAGCACAGGTTGCCTGTCATGATGGAGCAAGGCCGAGGATCGGTGAGAAGAAAAGGCGCGAACCATCGTACGCCTTGGCGGCGTCCAATAGGAAGAAAAACTCACAGTTGCGAAGCAAACTTGATGTACTTGCGGACGAATTGAGTGCTCAGGATTTTATAACCATCGATCTGCCGCTCGCTCCATTGCGAAGGTGTCTCCTCAGTCTTCTCCTCGGGCACTTCGGCAATGACAACGTCGGCGGCTGTTTCCATGACGAGGGCCTCGCCTGCTTCCTCTCCAGGCTTGCGGTAGAGGTGCGAGCTGAGCACGTGTGAGGCCAAACGATCGTCCAGTTCGGGCTGCATCTTGTCCAGAACGATGAAGAGGAGATCAAAACGGGAGAGAAGCGAGTCGGGAAGACCAATGTTATCAGTAGGTGACTGAAAGGGGTTATACTGTCCATATACGGGGTTGGCGGCTGCCAAGACCGAACAGCGGGCGTTTAAAGAGGTATGGATGCCAGCCTGGGGTGCGCAAACGTTAGACAAAAAGTGAGGGCTCATCGTTCTTCAAGCAGCATGACCAAGGAGTGTCGCGACCAGCCACGGAGAGGCATTGTGCAAGTATGTGCGTGCGTGCGTGTCAATGTAAAAACATGAGCGTTTGTTTGGGGAGAAGGGAAAGTGGTCAAGGGCATTGGGCGCGAACCTTGGCAATGGTCACGGTTTGCTGTTCCATGACTTCGTGGATCGAGACACGATCAGCATCGGACATTTTGTCAAACTCGTCAATGCACACAATGCCGCGGTCAGCGAGAACCATGGCGCCCGCTTCCAGGCGGCGCTCGCCCGTGTCCTGGTCCGTGGTGACAGCGGCTGTCAAACCGACACCCGAGGAGCCACGGCCCGTGGTGGTGATGCAATGGGGTGCCAGGTTGTGGACGAAACGCAACATTTGCGATTTGCCACATGAAGGATCACCCACAAGAAGAACGTTTACATCACTGTAGCCGATGCAAAAAGGACAGCAAGCACAACAAATGACGAGACAACGATTGAGGAAGTTGGTAAAATGTTTATTTTTCTCGAAAAGACTGACAAGGTATTGGGTAAGTTCAAAGCGTACCCGCGGATATGACCTCCACGTCGTAGGTTGCGTTCAACGCCACCAAGCAAGAGGCAGAGGATGCCCTGCTTGATTTCGCGGTGGCCATAAATGGAGGGAGCCAAGGAGCGCGAGAGGAGTTCAAAGACGCGATCTCCCGACTCTTGGTCTTCATAGGTGGCAATGTCCTGAATCTGGACCTTTTCGTCGTCGGTCAGGTCTAGCTCTTGATCCTTTTTGCCTAGAATGACCACGTTGTTGGCCAACATAACCGTGCTGTGGGCAATTGTGCAGGTTGAGGGCGGGTTAGACATGGCATGTGCGGCTGAACAACTTGAGCGTCAGGGTGGACTGAGGTGAACTGCGGCAACGTATCGCCATCAAAGGGCATGCGAGCACGTACCGAAAGACGCCGGTGGTACTGCCGCCCGCCTTGTTGGGCATGGCACGATACAGGCCCATGATTTGTACGCGGTCACCGGGCTATTTAGGAATGCAGGGGCCAGAGAGCGGGGCGGGGGTTGAGTCGGGCAGACAAAGGTGGCGTCGACTATTCATGGCTAGGATTCGATGCAGACCCAGCTGGGCCGAGTCAAGCAGAGCTACGCATTGGTGTGGCAAGCAGGGGCCAACCATACCTTGCAGGCATCAGTGAGGTCGTTGTCGAGAATAATTTCGACTGAACGGGGAAGCTGGCCAGTGGGCGCGCGTTCCGGCATTTCTTGGATGGTGAGGCGCTGGTGATTTTTGTATACGCTGAGGCCAAATTCTGTCACGAGCACGTTGCCGTCTTCGTCCTCACGAGGGTAGAGGCCAAAGGTTGGTAGGCCATCAATGGAAGTAGCATCGCGGTAGGTTCGTTCGAGGGAGGCCTTGGTTTTGGGGCAATAGTGCACCGATTTGACAACCTTGGGATGGATGAGCGAGCATTTGGACACAATGCCTTCGACGCAGACCATGGTACCCAAGAGGTTGGCAGAGAGGCCACGGGGGGTTACATGGTGACTGCCAAATGCACCCTCAAATCCCAAGTTGAAGGCCCCGTCTTGTCGCTTGGCGTAAGCGGCATCAGCCACCTCAACCAGTTCGCGCAAAGCCATCTGACCAGCCCGAATGTCCAGAAGCGGGTCGCTCAGACACAGGGCAGCCAGTTCAGGGTTCTTTTGACGCATGGCGTTGAGATCAAGGATCAACCGCGTCTGCTGCGCGTTGATCATCTTGTAGATTTGCTTGTGAATCACATTCTCTTCGTTGGCATCATCAAGATAGGCGAGCCAAGTCGCCTTCTTGGGCTGCAGCTCTTCGGCTGTGACATTGGCCATGGCGCTGGTCCACGCTCAGCTGCATCCAGCACGCAGAACGCCGGTTGATGACCAAGTAAGGGTGAATATGCGAATCTGCCAGTCTTGTGGCCAGCCGCCGCTCCGTGATCGACCACCCGAGCCAAAGAGCAGACTGGCTCGACACGTTGACCCCTGACGGTCCCAAGCGAAAAAAAAAAAAAAAAAAATCCACGAAAGGTGCGAAAAAAGCAAAAAAAAACGCGCTGGCGCTCAACGGCTTCTTTTGCAAAAACGTTATTGTTATGAGCATCATTTTTGCCTTTGCGTTCATTTAAATTTTCGCAAAAACATTCTGGTCTCAAGTCTGCTAGTCTGCCAGTCTCCGGCGAGTCTTATTCTGATTTCTTTGTTCTTACGTCCCATGGGCTGCAACTTCTCCCTTCGTGTTCTACATTTACTCGACGCTATTTCAATACAAGATTAACGTTTTAACTATAAAGTACATCATCAACACCCAATAGATCTGCATAAACTCGGCTGGCTGCAGCCCCTCTCCCTCCAGAGAAGGAAGGTGGCGCCATTTCCTCATTTGCACGTCACCTCTCTCTCTCTCTCCGTGCGCGGTCTCTCTCTCTGCGTGTGCTCTTGGCGTAAGTGTGCATGGACGTTGAGCTTCCCTCGAACGCTCGCTTGGGAGGGTCTGGTGCCAATGGATCTAGTTGATTGCTGTACCACGCCATCATCCTCACTCTGATGCCATTGGGCGTAGTTTTTTTTTTTTTTGAGTGAGGAGGTGCACGTGTCTGCTGTCGGGTGGTCGACGTGAGACACGACACGACCAGCAGCAATGGCATTGGTCGCCGGTTTGTCAATGCGCAGCGGTGCTTCGCACCTCGTCGTGTCCTTGGCACCCATGATGGCGCATCGACGTTTCATTTCTGGTTGGTACCTCACAATGATCAGAACCCTGTCGATTGCGTTGTTTGCTAGCTGCGCGCTAGCCTCACCGTGCTTGGCGGTGCAGATGCAGCCAAGAGCAAGCTCAATGATGGCCCGGGCTTTGGCGAATTTGTTTCTGGCAACGTGCCCCTGACGCCCAAGGCCCTCAAGCGCAAGCAACGGTACGTCCTTTCAGCCTTAGCCTCTCATCATACCGGCATTTCTTGGGCGTCTCCTCATTCTGTTTGGTCGGGTCGCTTGTTCAGACTGCGCCTGCCGGAATGGGTCAAAACAGATGTACCGGCCGGCAAGAACTTTGCGCGGATCAAGGGCAATCTCCGTGATCTCAAGCTTCACACCGTGCGTGGCGCTCATCTTTCTGCTCGTGGGCTTGGGGCCTAGGGTTGATCGGTGCCGTCCTCACCGGCGTTCCTCTAGGTTTGCGAGGAGGCGCGTTGTCCCAACATTGGCGAGTGCTGGGGCGGTGCTGAAGGCACGGCCACGGCAACCATCATGGTACGGTGACCTGGCTGGCTTCCTCTTCTTGCTGCCGGGTGTACCACCTGCACCTTCACCGTGGCCTCATGCGCCCTCGTCGATCGAACGCCTTGGATGACAGCTGATGGGTGACGAGTGCACGCGTGGCTGTCGCTTCTGTTCCATCAAGACCAACAAGGCCCCGGCACCGCTTGATGTTGACGAACCTGCGCACACGGCTGCAGCCGTGGCTGCTTGGGGCCTGGACTATGTTGTCCTCACCTCGGTCGATCGTGACGGTGTGTATCCGCTCCGCCTACGGGTTTTATTTGTGCTGCTCTGGTCTGGTCTGGTCTGGTCTGGTCTGGTTGGGTTGGGTTTGGTCTTGTTCTTTTGTTTTCGATTGCGAGGGCTTTGTCGCAAAGTTTGGTGTGTGCTTGCTGTGGGCTTTTCCATTGATTGCCATGTCTTGTCTTGCCCTCCTGTCGCTCCTGTCGCTGCAGATCTACCCGACGGAGGTTCAAACCATTTTGCCAGCACGGTGATTGAATTGAAGAAGCGCAAGCCGGAAATTTTGGTCGAGTGCCTTACGCCCGACTTTTCCGGCGTCTACGAGGATATCGCTCGTGTGGCCGTCTCGGGCCTTGATGTCTTTGCCCACAACATGGAGACTGTGGAATCGCTCACGCCGTTAGTACATTGACCGCGTTGACATCTGGCCAGGTGTTCCAGCCCCTGTGCCTATGTATTTAGTGTATGGAGGGTGATTTCGCAGTGTTGCTTGCGCGCACCCTCCCCCCGTCTGATTTGCATCTCGCCAGTCCCACCAGCGTCATGATGATCGTGGCATGGTGTTATCTTTTCATGAACCGAGAGAGACTCAACTTCTGCCTGCACTGGTCGATGGTGGCCCGTTCGCCTTGATGACGGGTCGCCTGCTTTTCACTTGCGGCAATACTCACGCTCTATATTTTTCGCTTCATTGGCTTCTGCGGCTCGTTCTTTGGGGCAAAATGGTGTTTATAGAAGCGTGCGTGACCGCCGGGCCAAGTATCGGCAGTCTTTGCGCGTTTTGGAGATGGCCAAGGAGGCCCAACCAGGCCTCATCACCAAGACCTCTCTGATGCTGGGTCTCGGCGAGCGCGATGAGGAGATTGAGCAGACCTTGGCCGACCTGCGCCTGGCCGGTGTTGACTGCGTGACCTTTGGGCAATACATGCAGCCCACCAAGCGCCATCTCAAGGTTTTGGACTACGTCACGCCCGAAAAGTTTGATCACTGGAAGGCTCGGGGCGATGCGCATGGTTTCCTCTACACGGCCAGCGGTACGTGATGGCTCCGACCCACCAGAAATGTCATGGCCTGTCTTGGTTCATTGCATACTCACTCAGCTGGCCTTTCTCTTCCCGCCTGTTCCAGGCCCGCTGGTGCGCTCGTCATACAAGGCCGGCGAGTTCTTCCTCACCAATATTCTCAAGGCGCGCCAGTCTCAGGCAGCCGCGGCGCCAAGCGCCTAAAATACTGCGTCTCATTCGCTTTTCGACTCTTTTATCTTTCTTTTTTTTCCCTCTCTGATCCTCCCGCGCTGTGATGCGAAATCCAGTCGACGTATTTTTTATTCTTATCGAGACGACACCAACCTGCACAGACACGGACACGGACACAGACAGACACACACAGAAAGACAGACAGACAGACAGACAGACATAGACACAGACATAGACATAGACACAGACATAGACACAGACACACACACACCTCTCTTTGAAGTTCATGTTGGTGTGTTTGCTGTTTGTTGCTTGACAACACACACACACACACACACACACACACACACACACACACACAGAGTTCGCGGACATTTGATCGCTCGAGACCTTCCTGTTCGGTAGCCTGACGGTACGGGCCTCACTGCCTTTCTCGGCCGACGCTGGGGTATACATCTCGGCCTGTGGCTGTGTGTCTGTGTGTCTGTGTGTCTGTGTGTCTGTGTGTCTGTGTGGCTGTGTGGCTGTCGGGACGAGGCTCATCGGTTCTGGTCGATGAATGACACCGAGAAAAGAGAGGCGGCCAACTCAGTGTAAGGCTCCGCTGTGACTTCACCAAGTTGCCTTCCTCTTAATGCTCGATCTTCCAACCGCCATGTGCTTTGCACACTTGAATCTGGCCACTCACATCTCGTGAGCGGATGCATTGATATTGTTGGAGCTGCCCTACGGCAGTTGGAAGCACGAGCCACAAGGACCTCGCTCACACCAAACATGGGCTGTACGCCCTCCACATCCATGTCTGTGCCCATGCTGGCCAACCAGCCTCGGCAGCGCTCAACCAACCATCTTCTGGTGGAGGCACTTCCTTTCAACACCAGCCTCTCCAGCTCGTTGAGCGGTCAGACTGCGGGTCTCCCATCGTGGTCTCGGGCGACTTTGGCCAACAAGTACCGCATTCTCGACTCTTTGGGTGCCGGGGCCTACGCCAACGTTCTGCGTGCTGAAGATCAGGAGACTGGCGAGACCGTCGCCATCAAGATCGCCAAGACGCGTCGTTGCAAGAAAAGCCTATCCGAGATTCAGATATTGCTCGTCTTGGATGCAGCCGATGAAAACCCCCACGTCCTCCCCATTATCAACGCCGTCCTCGTAGACCGTGTCCCACATCTGGTCATGCCCTTTAGCACACGCGGAGACGTTTTTTCGTACCTCGAGGAGCAGGACTGTCAACTCGTTGAGGCCGAGGTACAGCACCTGATGCATGGCATTGCCAAAGGCCTCGACTTTTGCCACCAGCGCGGCGTGGCCCATTTGGATCTTAAACCCGAAAACGTGGTGCTGGTGGATGCAACCAGCCTGGCCGATGTCCGCGGCTTCGATGGTGCCTCCCTGGTCGGACCCCACGCTCATCGGCACCCCTGTTATCCCCAGTTGATCGACTTTGGAGAAGCCGTAGCCTTTGATGGCGACACCGTCTGTGACCAGCTTGCAGGCAGTCCCGACTACCTCGCCCCGGAGGTCCTCCGAAACCGCTACCATCCCGCCAAGGCAGATTGTTGGAGTCTGGGCATCACGCTTTACGTCCTCCTGACTGGAACCCTGCCCTTCTCCGCGCCCACCACCGAGCTGATTGAGCAGCGCGTGCGCGAATACGTGGGCCCCCTTCCCGCCGGCCTCACCAAGCGAGTGAGCAATGCCAGCCTCAGCGCCCTCTTGGGCCTGGTGCGGAGGGACATGCATAGCCGCCTGAGCTGTGCCCAATTTCTCGCGCACCCCTGGATGCAAGACTACTGCCGCCCTGGTTCTGAGGTGCAGCTTGACTACGAGCGATACCTCGGTCATGTGCAAACGGCCATTGAAGCAAAGGCCGCGGCCTTCTTCCCCGGTCAAGGCGACATCCAGCGGGCCTACACCAGCAGCCACGTCGTTCTGCCAACCGTGACCATCCCAGTTGGGTCCGACCTCGTCTTTCAGCTCCCGGAGCGGGATCGTTCCACCGTCATCTAAGGTGTACCTAGACTTATCATACTGGCGTTGTCCCGGCCAAGTCCATCAGTGCTGAGCTGGCCACCGGCCCTTGCTGAGCAAGGCTGCCATGGATCTGGTCTCTTGCAAATTTTGACGGCCTTTGAACATTGCAAACGCTTGGTTTTTTTTTTTTTTTGTTTTATTATTCTTCAACTCATGATCCATGTTAAATTTATAGCCAGCCGCACTAGCATAGCTCCCGAGTCTAGCTTCTTGCTGCCTGTGGAGGAGGGCTCGCGAGGCGATTTTACATGTTAAAATCTCACTCCAAATCAGATGCAAAACAATCAAATCAAAAGGACTCTCGTTCGAATCAAAAGGGCCTTTGCAGCTTACAGGCCATCTCGGCTCTATCGCTGCTGTGTTTGCCAGTGCTCGTGAACGAAATAGGGGGCATCCGAGGCTGGCAGGGTAGCTTTGTTTTGCAGAAGATCAGCGGCACGTTCAGCCATCATGATGGTCGGACCATTGAGGTTGCCAGAAATGACATCCGGCATCAAGGAGGCATCAACGACTGAAAGATTTTCCAGCCCGTGCACGTTACATGTGCCGGGGTCGACGACGCTCTTCTCATCCTCACCCATGCGACAGGTTCCACATGGATGGTAAGCCGATTCGGTGGATTCGCGGATCCACTCGGCTATGGCGCGGTCGGAGGTGACATCTGGGGCGGGGGCCAGGCGTTCACCCCGAAAGCGGTCCATGCTAGCCTCTTCCAGGATTTCAAAGGTCAGCTTGACGCCGGTAATATAATCCTCCAAGTCTTGTGGGTGCTGAAAGTAGTTGGGTTCAATCACCGGAGCAGCGCGCGGGTCTGCCGAGGCAAGGCGAATATAGCCTCGACTTAGCGGGCGCATGGTTGAGCAGTGAGCCTGGTATGCGTGACACTGTCCAGGAATGAGCTGCCCCGTCAAGGCTCCCGGCAGAAAGTGGTACTAATTCGTGGGGAGAGAGAAGAGGCCCGAAAAAAAAAAAGCGAAGCATCACAAGGATATCCGATGAGTATGCGTGATCAAAAGGAACAGCAAGGTCGTGATGGATTGAAAAAATTGAAAAAATGGCTACAGAGCCAGCTCGCAGGCTCACCTGAATGTCTGGAAACTGAATGCCAGCTCGGGACCGGATGAAACCCCTACGCAAGTACCATGTGATCCCATCAGCGACCGCACCACGGGCGCAAAGAAGCAGGTTATTCAGCAACCGAGCACCAGCAGGAATGAAAGACATCCAACAGACCCGCTCTCGAGATGTGCAGAAGCAGCCTTGCCAGACTTGGTAAGAAACCATTGAAGGCCCGTGGAGACCATGCGCAGCGGATTTTTCCAGGTGTAATCAAAGAGCGTGATAGGCTCTTTGCATCTATCGTGGGATGGCACGGCACAGCGGGCAAAAAAAAAAAAGGAAAGGCGTCAATGAGATGCAATGCAGCCTCAAAGGCCAGGCGTCCCCTTTGACCACCGATGATGCGCACTTGTATTGGATGTAGAGATCAAGATGATCTTGGAGGTTTTGGCCTACACCTGGCAGGTGATGGTGGCATTCAATGCCCATCTTTTCGAGATGTGCGCGCTCACCCACGCCCGAGAGCATGAGAAGCTAAATGTTTCAAAAGGGCCCGGAAAATTATGACACGCATCATCAGAGGCAAGCCAGGGCGGCGGTGGCGACCATGGTGAGAGCAACAAAAGAGGGCCGGTTGAGGTACGGACCTGAGGGCTGTTGATGGCACCAGCTGCCAGGATGATGTTATCAGCGTAAACGCGCTCAAGCACGCCATCTCGCTCCACCTCCACCCCTGCTCAACAGGGAATGATGATCACACGCCATGGGTCGATGAGCCTTGGCCGCTGTGCGCGCAGCTCCATGTTTTCATTTTGTCGATAAAAAAAAAAGAAATTGGGGATTGGGGCGCGTTTTCTCTTGAGGGACGATGGTGAACGTACCAATGGCCCGCTTGCCATCAAAAAGGATGCGGTGGGACAGGGCGTTGGGAATCACTTTTAAATTGGAGCGCTGCATTGCGGGCCGCAAGTAGGCGTTGGCTGCAGACCACCGCTGTCCCTGGAGAGGACCGGGCGAGCGGGTGCATAAGCATCATCGAACTTCGAATGCAAGCTGCAAGTACAGGGTGGCCTGCCCGTCCAAGGGCAGAGCTAATACATGGCGTCAAGAACGATGCGCCCGAGTACCTGATGAATGGTCATGTCCATGGGACCAAAGCCTTCTTGACGATAGCCGTTCATGTCTTCGGTTCGGGCGTACCCAGCGTCAACACCAGCCTGGATAAAGGCTTCAAAGAGTTCGCAGTCTTCTTTGCCCCGGGACACGTGAAGGGGACCATCACCCCCACGATAAGCATCAGGGCCGAGCTCATGGGTCTGAGCTTTGCGAAAGTAGGGCAGGCACTCGGCATAGCTCCAGCCACGCGCCCCGCGCGACTCCCACCTGTGATAACGGGAAAACCGGACAGAGTGAGCGGACGGTACGATTGAAGCGACAATATTTTCAAGACCCATATGGACCAACAGAGGAAGGACATGGGCGTAGCAAGCAGGCAAGGGGGCACTGGGGCTCGGGAGGTCGGAGCTGACCCGTCATAGTCGAGCGGATGACCACGAATGTAGACCATGGCATTGAGGCTGCTCGAGCCGCCGAGGACTTTGCCGCGAGGCCAGGGCAGTCGCCGGCCCTTGAGCTCGGGCTGTGGCGTAGTGTAATAGTACCAATTGTATCGGTTATCGGCAAGATTGTAGGTCAGGGCAGCGGGCATTTGTATTTTCCACGAATCCCATTGGTGACGGTCGGAGCGACCGGCTTCCAGCACCGCGACGCGATGGTTCTGGTTCTCCGTCAGTCGGTTCGCCAGGACACAGCCAGCCGAGCCCGCCCCAACAATCAAATGCGTAAGTGGCTCCTGACGACGCCCCGCCGCCACGGCCAGCGCACGCCTTGCGCGTCCGGCCCGCCACCCACTGCGTGCCACCACGGCCGCCGTCGCCGCCGTCGACGCCATCCTCTGTCACGTCGTCATAAGCAGCCAAAAAAGTCTGACAATAAGCGGGCGCCAAAACCGAGGGCGCGTTTAAGTTCCGAGACACAAATTTTCTGCTACCAACTGTACACCCTTGGTGTGTGAAAAAGTCCTACGCTGGGTCGGGGCGGGAGACAGAGAGAGACAGAGACAGAGAGACACAGAGAGACAGAGAGACAGAGAGACACAGAAACAGAGAGACACAGAGAGACAGAGACAGAGACAGAGACAGAGAGACACATAGACAGAGACAGAGAGACAGAGACAGAGACAGAACAGAGCCAGAGGCTTAAAACGTACCCTACGAAGTATGGCACACAACACCGTGTGTGTTGTGTTGAGCGTGACGAACACCTCCATTCCCACAGATTGTGTACATTCGAGTCCTCGTCGATAGATTTCCTATGCTTAGTATGCTCTCTCTCTCTCTCTGCCTCTTGTATTTTTTTCTTTTGTTCAGGTTGGTACAACTATCTCTCTCTCTGTCTCTCTCTCTCTGTCTCACTCTCTCTGTCACTCTCTCTTGGTGGCAGCGGGTGTCGTTTTGCTTCAAGCTGCTGTCCATCTGTTCGTATGGCTCTGTGTCTGGCTGACCCAGTGCGTGTGTGCGCGCGCGTGTGTGTGCTGCGTACCGCTACTCCTGTCTCTGTCTCCTTCACACGCGCACATGGACTCATATTGCTCATGTGTGTTTTCCCCCTGTTTGTCTCTCCGTGTTGATTTGGCAGCCAAGAGGGAAGGGGGCTTTTAGGACTTGGACATCGGCCCAAGCTCCGACCAGAGGCACGGATTGAACAAGGAAAATAACAGGATCCTTGGTCTAGTCCTCATCCCCGACTGCCGTGCTAGTCAAGGTGGGCAAACAGACGTGGTCGCCTTGGATAAGCTCACACCCCTCCCCCCCCCCTGCTGTGTCTCACGTGCGCGTGAGATCGCCTTGTACCTGACGTGCACTCACACACGCACGCACGCACTTTGCCAACCGTTAGTTTTGTGGCTCTTCCAGTCCCGCGGTCCCGTTCGGCCTCGATCAATATCGTGGTGGCCCAAAGCCCTTCCCGGATGTCGTCTTGGCATTAGTTTTTTTTTTTTTGTGCAACTCCACAAACGCTTGTGCGTCTCAGGCACAACCGACATCAACCCAACTGATTCTCGACTTTGCCATTCGGCAGTGACCATCATGTTCACCCACCTCCACTTGGCAACCACCATCCTGGTGCTTGGCACGGCCCTGCTACCACAAGTTACCTTGGCTTATACGAATGCACAATGCAAAAGCTGGGGATACAGTTACGCCTGTACCCCTGCCTCCCCCGGCCATTGGTCTTGGGTTGATGGCGCCTCCAACAAAAATTGCGCCTGCGGGCAATTGTGTAAGTAACTGACCCCCAGCCGCCCCTTGCTTGACTGCCCCTCCTCGCCTGTTCCGCTGACTTGTTGCACCTCCCGCTTGGGCGCCCTCTCCATACCCTGCCCAAAGACACTTGGTATTATCCAGACTCGTCCAATTCAGGGACGACCTGCTGCAACACTCGAAACGTATGCACCAGGCCCAGCAATTGGCGTAACAATCTCGGCTATGTCAACACCTGTCTGTACTGCAGCTGGGGTAGCTGGAGTTCCTGCACTTGCGCCGGAACGCAGACGCGAACCAAACCCAACAATTGTGGCTCTGAAACACGCGGCTGCACCGCCTACACTTGGCTCAGCTGGTCTTCCTGCTCGTGCAGCTCGAGCACGCGCACTCGCAGCTCGAGCCGCTGTGGCAAGACGCAGACCGATTCGTGTGACCCCTTCTCCTGGTCCAGCTGGTCCGATTGTTCGTGCGCTACTCAGAGGAGCACCCGCACTTCTAGTAGATGCGGAACCTCACAATCAAGAACTTGCGATCCCTTTGCTTGGTCTTCTTGGTCGAGTTGTAACTGTGACGGTCGGCGATCTCGCTCCTCCAGCAAGTGCAACACGCAGTCCGAGGACGCGTGCACCGCCCCCTCCAAAAGCGCCTACGGGTCTTGGTCCTCCTGGTCTTGCAACGCCGCCTGTGGTTCAGGTACCGCGGCCCGAGAGCGCTCCTGCATTCCGGGAACTTGCCCTGGCTCTTGCACCGCAGGGCAGGTTGACAGCGAAGAGCGCGACTGCTATGTAACCCCTTACGCATGGGCGACCTGGTCACCTTGGTCCAGCTGCAAGTCCGACTGTGGCCCCATCGTGGCAGCCGGCCAGCAGCGCTCGCGCCCCTGCGTGGGCGAGTGTGTAGCTGCTGGCCTCTCAAAATGCACGCCCGGCTCCGTTGACGCCAGCCAGCGTGCTTGCGGCGGCGCTTCTTGGAATCCCTGGAACATTGCTTCTCCCTGCAGCCAATCCACCTGTGGATCGGGCCAACAGACTTGGTCCCGCTCTTGCTCCCTGGATGGCACCGAGCAGGAGTCAGACTCTCGTCCCTGTGTCTCCGGTGCACCTGCCACCTGGTCCCCCTGGTCGCCCCGGCTTGAATGCGCTACGCCCAGCGCCCAAGGCAAGAGCCACCGGCCGTGGCTTCGGGACTGCCAAACCAATTGTCACGGCAATTGCTCAGGAGACGCTCTCCGCTCCGGACCTTGCACCTGGTCCACGCTGACCATCGGGGCCCGCGTCAATGCGAGTCTGGATGGGGCGCAACGTCGTCGTGGTGATGAGCACACAGCCTCAGAAGTCTTTGCGCAATGGGTCAGCCAATCCATTCTTCAATGGCTTGCCATCAATAACGGCACGCTTCCAGCCACGCAGCTCGGCCGCCTTGATCAAGGCTGGCTCGTCGGGGATCAGCTTACCCGTGGCGATGAGGCCATGCCCGAGGAAGTTGAAGTCCAAGCTCAACTCACCGTCATTGGCGAGTTTGGCCATGCCTTTATGCTTGCTTTTGGAGGCACCGAGGGTCGTAACATCACGCTACCCTTGGTCTGCCCGAGCAACGTATCTGAACTGATGGGCGCCAATGTGCAGGCCGTCACCGTTGTGCGCCTCTACGTTGCCGTTCCACCACCAACAACGCTAGACCCGGCCATGACGACCAAAGGTGCCGCCGCCAGTCAAGACCGAAAGAACAAGGCCTCCATGATCGTCCCCATAGTTGTCGCAGTTATGGCCCTTGTGCTGATCGTGGTTGTGGTTGTATATCGTCGATCCACACGTGGTCGCAAGCCGCTCGTGGCACCGGACACCGTTCCCATGTCATCCAACCCACTCTACGGCGATGAAACTCTCGGTTAGTGATAGAGCTGCTCCAGACTCACATGCACCAATGCATCCGCGCAAAGTTCGACGAGTCACTCGTTTCTCCTGCCAGCTCACGCCACCTCCTTTCACCGGTTTGGTGTAGCACCGGACGCCGTTCCCATGTCATCCAACCCACTCTACGGCGATGAGACTCTCGGTTAGTGATAGAGTTACTCCAGACTCACGTGCACCAATGCATCCGCGCAATGTTCCACGAGTCACTCGTTTCTCCTGCCAGCTCACGCCACCTCCTCACGGATTTGTTGTAGGTTCCACGGAGATGGAGGATCGTAGCACCGCCAGCGCTACCGCACAACCCAATTACAATCACCTTCAGCATCCTACGGGAGCCCAAGCCTCGTATGACCGTTTGGACGGCGCCACCGACCCGGCCATATCCACGGTTCACAGCTACAACGGGCTCAGTCACCAACACGGTCTTGTCGACGACTACGGCAACCCCATTGAACAAGGCGACATGCCACCCGAGTATGGCGAGGCCGTGCACGAATATGGCACGGTCGATGCGCCGCTCAAACCGGAGCATGGCATTCATTCCTATGGCGACCCGCAGCTCAAGGCAAGAGGCAACGCCTATCACCCTTATGGAACGCCCATGCCGCTGGGCAATTCCACTGCCAGCACCGCACCTCCGGGTTACTCGGCGGATAACCACGCCTATGACACACCTGTGCCCTTGCCCAAGAAGACCCGAGGGGCGTTTGCCTCAGGTTCCGTGGTGTCAAATGCAGGATACGTGGACACTTCCTTTCCCTTTGACAAAGTGCAGTCGGCGCTCGACGCCGACTATGATGTTCCAGAAGCCGTTCGCCGGCAAGCTCAAACCTCTTTCCCCTTTGACAAAGTGCAGTCGGCACTCGACGCCAATTATGATGTGCCTGATGCAGTACGCCAACAGACACGAAAGACGGCAGTCGCGCAACGCCAAGACGAGCCGTCGGAGGACGCTTATGATGTCCCTGCCATGGTGTATCGTCGCGGCGCAGACCAAGAGGGGGAGAATGAGTATGATGCGCCTCGACAGCTGGTTAAGCAGGCCAAATCAAGCAGCCTCAAAGCCTCTTACGACGTTCCCATTTCTCCCCTGACGGCCAGTGAAGATCCGTCTTACTATCTGGCAACAACTACCACGGCTCCCCAGCGCATGTATAGCGCTCCGGAAGGAGAGTACCAAGTGCCCGATCATCCACCGTCTCAGGTCTACGGATTTGTTGGTGTATCTAGCGCATCTGATGCGACTGGGCCGCCGTCCGCCATGGCACTCTTGGCGACATCAGAGCATGAACTGAGCAGTGATCCAGCGCGCATGGAATGGCACACCGATGTATTTTTCAATCTGATTGTTTGCCTGACCCGTTGCCCTGACTCGGAACGAGCGCGACGCTGGCTACAGGCACCAGGTGGCAGTGGCTGCTTTTTGATTCGGCCCAGCGCCAGCGGGGAGGCTTCCATGCGAGCGCTATCATTCATCGACAGTAAGAAGGCTTTGCAACAGGAGCGCATCCACCAACGAGCCGATGGCCGCTTTGCGATATTAAACATGGACTTTGCCAGCCTGGGTGCGCTGGTCGAACATTTTTGTCAGCACGACTTGTACCAGGGGCGACTTGGCTCCAAAGGAGCTGTGCAGCTTCAAAACTGCTGTGACAAGCACCTGGCTTACCTGGAAAGCCAAGCACGTCCCAATTGTCACGACAAGTCGGCTGTCATCAATGCTGGGCTCAAACTAAGCGTTGCAGCGCGACGCAAATGTAACACGTGGCAAAAAGTGGATGTTCAGGCCGCCTACCTCGAGTACTTTGGCGGCGATCAAAGCCTGGCATAGCACAGCGAGCTCACCAATTCTTGCTAATCTTGAACCTGGCACTTTTCAGAAAGCGTGCAGCCCTTTACGTTATTTTTTTTTTTAAGAGTCTTTGACCTGTTGATTTGTTATGGTGATCCTTTTTGGGGTTGACACGTGTGGCTCAGAGAGCTGTCTGTTACGCGTTGTGTGTTTGGGGTTTAAAGTCCTTCCTTTGACATCAAGTCGCAGTTGAACTGCCACGTGATGAAGCTCAGCGTGCATGTACGTTGTCTGCACCGGTTGTCTCAACGAGTGTCGCGATGCGTCAACAATTCGATTTGAGCGCTGACAGAGACGAGCAATAATATTCTTACATCCAGATTTTAGTGACACGCATAAGTATGAATACACAATCGCAAAGGAAGCGCGGGCCAAGGTCTACTGCTTCCCAATGTCACTTGTGAAATTGGCAGGAAAAATGCCAATGCGACCGTCATGTTCACCCTCCCACCAGTCATGTCGTGAGTCGGTGCGAGTGATAATTTTAATGCGGTCACCCTGGCGAAATGAGAGATCGCAATCCATAGTTCCTTGGTAGTCGAACAATGCCTAACCACAACCAGACAGCACGCATCAGCGGGAGGCGATGCGTAGCTATCGTAGCTTCAACTCGGGTGACGTACTGTGACTTCAACATCGTCGTCCCAAATATCGGGCTCCCGTGCCATGCTCCTAAACACAACGACCACAACCACATACATTCCAACGGGGTATGGATTAATGTTTGTTTTTTTCCTTGATTGGCCTTCTCCTCTTTCGCCCCTTGTTTCCACATCTCGGCACAGTGTTACGCGCAGACGAAAAACGAAGCGTACGAGTGTCGAGTAAATGGAAGATCGGCCATTGTGCTTGCGGTTGAAGAAGCAGCAGCGGAGGCACTGCCCGCGCTATTGTTGCTTTTGGTTGACCGGCGCGCTGGTTTGCTGGCTTGCGCTGAGGCTGATTTTGCTGTGCGCAGCGGGGCACCAAACAGCCGGCGTGAGGACAAGAGTGTAACAAGATGGGCAAGAAGAGAGCAAGAATCAACGTCAAGTTCGTACCGGAAGTAGCACGCACAGGGGCGCCGCGAACGGGCCGAACACTGAGTTTGACATCCTGCTCAAACAACATGTTGCCACCTGTACTATTGCTGCTCACATCGGCTTGATCACCTACCAGTTGACGCTAGGTTAGTTGTCAGGGGTCGTGCGGATAGACTGTCGAACATTGCCTGTGATTCAACGCACGGTGCTTGGACTTGGAAGTATGGTGGGAGCCACGAGAAAAGAACGACTTGCGCTGGGCATGCGTGGAGCCATCAGAGTCCTTGTTTTTCGACCGGAAGCTAAAGCTGCGGCTGTGGCGCGCCGTGGATGCTTCTTTGGTACTCGAGGAATTGGATGAGCTTGCTGTTGGCCGGTGCGCGACACTTTTAAGCCGGGACATGGTATCTGCGGCCGATGTGCCGTTGCGTAACGCGTTGTCAACGCCATGCACTACCGAGCCCAGGCGACCGCCCGTCGCAGCCTCGAGTGCAGAGTACCTTCAAATGCACAGGGAACAAGAGAGAATTGAAATGAGAACCGTGCAAAGGTGACGCAGCATACTGTGAGTGCTCGTGCTTGGGGAGCTGGGCGAGCAGCGAGGTGGTGTGAACGCAAGTTGCATACAAGGGTATGGCCTCGCGAGGACGGCCCACGCGTCCATTGAGCAAATCAGCGGAGCGAACATCCGTGCCATAGACTTTGCGATTGGCGCCGCGCCGTTCCATAATCACGGCTCCCTCGATGGTCAATCCTACCGCGAATGGACCACGGACGGGGTGATGCGGTACACTTCAAGCCCGGGCCTTCATTGACATGCGTGTGCTGCGCCTAATAGTTTTAACAGGGGCGACAGAGGCACTGGCATCTAACCTGCATAGAGGCCGCGTGTGCGCGAGTACGTGTAAAAGGCAGCAGGTTTGTTGAGTGCCACATCTGCCTCTGCAGCGCGACCAAGGGGACCGGCTGCCACGCTCAGGGAGCCGCCCAGGGTCACCTGACCGCGCTGTGAAAAGGCTCGCACGGCGCGATCAGAGTTGAGAACAATGACAAAGTTGGTAATCTAGCCCAAAGTCGAGAAATAGAGATTCAACGGAGCCCGGTGAGAGCGGCGGCGGGAAGGCACAAGCGATGGTGGTGAGATCCCGATCAATGAGAGAAGTGCGAGAAGAACGACGGGGGCGAGACGCAAGAGGCACCAATCGGGCTGTGCGTACCTCGCCACCAATCTCGAGACCACCACCCATACCGCCCATGCCAATGCAAGTGGGCGCTGACCAATTACCGCTGCCATCGCGAGCCACCACAAGACCACTGCCCGCGCGCACCGTGACGACAAAGCCAATGCGAAAGACGGTGATAATGGCCAACCCCTTGGCGGCTGCCAGAATGCCTATGGAGCAGGTGGAAGATATTGCGAAGCAGCAAGGCAAGGGCTGCGTGAGCTGGCCTGTGAAAGGCGCTGATGATGGCCTGCACTTGATGGGACTGATTCGACGGCTTGGCGAAGAGCAGACCGCGATACCTTGAGGGATGAGCTTGTCCGGGCCGCGATTCGCGGATGGGATGGTGAATTCGTTCAAAATGGTTGCCGCCCGCCGACACTCCTAATACCAGCACCGTCGTTTCGGCAGCGAGTGCCCCGTGA